AATGTGTCCCCAAAATGAGCCACAAGAAATCCATAAATATCGACTCGAAGCCATTGGAGCAGTCAATGCAGAAAGACCAAGCAGCAGTCAAAGAACCGGCATCATTTCATGCTCAATTCAAATGTTGTTCAATCTCATTCAAACAATTTGTATCGTAGTTTTATTACCACAATAAAACGGATTAAGCGGCTCGCCCTTCCCTTCGAACTGGAAAAAGGATACAATGAAGTCAGACCCGAGAAAAGAGGGCGTTCCCTTCACTGGTCGTGTGTGTTCGCCTTTTAAATTGGTTGAATTTCCGCACGAATTAAATTTTATTCCTACCAAGTAAAGGAGCGAAAAATATTTCACGCTTCGTCAGTTTGTCGATTGGAGGGGAGGGATCGTTCGAGGGTAAGCCGTATTATAGAGTCCTTTCCGGAATATTTCACACTTCGCCCGTACAAATCAGCGACACGTGGCAAGTGCCATATAATTTATAACGCCGAAAAATGGGCAAAGGAGACCTTAAAAGCTGGCTGGGTGTCAAATTTGATATGCTCCAATCTGCTCAAGAATTTTTCAAATATTTTTTCACCGTAGGAAACTTTAAACTTTTTGTCAGTCGTTCGTTCTTTTCGAGACTTTCCACTGAAGCGGCTAACTCATTTGGCTTAAAATTGTATTATCCTCATTCACCAGCAAATGGAAAATTAATATTTCCCTTTGTGTCATTTAACAGAATATTTTTGTAATTTTCTTTTGAGTTTCCCAAAGAAAGCGGTATCTTCAATCAATTTGCTTGGCTTTTATGCCGGGACTATTTCTTTTACTACAGCAGACCTTTGTTGGGGGTCCCTCGGTAGCAGTCTTTCCGTACATATGTCTGATTCATATCTAAATCTATTACAATTCATATTTATATGCCGGGCACACAGATAGCCACCCCTCCCTTCTGAAAATTTTTATTCGTCGGTAGGAAAAACAGTGCGTTATACAGGGGTAAGTTTTCACTATATTTTTTCCAGCTGCTTAAATGATATCAATATTATGTTTAAATGGTGTTTGGCTAAAGCTTCAACATAAACAAAACAAAATTATGAAAGTCCAGGGTTAAGTTACAATTAGTATAAGAACATCTTTTTGATTGTCTTTTTGTATATTTTAATTTTACAGAATTTTCATAATATGTCAGAAACAACATGTTTCAATTTTAATTAAACTGAAATTAGATTATATTTTATAAGAGACATTTTAATAAAGTTGGTGGAAGAATATGTATTTCCTTAAAATCTTCTATACAGATTCGTTTACGTTTTCATATGCAAATTACACATATGTCTCGGACTGTTTGCATTCGGGTTAAGTCAAGTGTTAAAGAGTTTTTCCGAGAGACGTCTTCGTCTCGTTTCGCATCGTCTTGTGTCGCAATTTCTTTTGGTCCTGCTACCCCTTTTATGAGTCCTTTCCGTTTCGCCGTTTCTGCTTAGCCTAATATCCAAATAAACATACTTTATCCGTTATTGCCGTCAAATTTATGGTTTCTTAAATGCCACCCCGACCGCTGATGGAAATATGAGATGGTGGCTGGGATTTTGATAAGGGTTTCTGGGGTCTCTTTCTATAGAGTTAGCTAGATCTGTTGGTCAAACGTTCGACAGCTGGTAAAGTTTATTGGGTTTGGCGATAAGACAAAAGAGAAACTTTTCTTTGAAGTTTCTGGTTTTGAGATATATTATCCTCCAGCTTCTGTTACAACGAATACCCGATGTGCATTGCCAATTGCAATTAAAACAATGTTACAAGGTCACTGTCTGATTTTTTTTGCAAAGATAAGAAAAAAATACAAAAAAGTGGCGCCGCTAACGAAATTGCAAATTTTGCACATGTACGGAAATGCAACGCTGTGTTGTATGTTATTACTATATGTCTGCATATATATGTATGTATGGATATGTATCTGGAATGCAATTGAAATCGGTGACAACATAATGCCCTTTAAAGCTACCCCAATGCAGACGACAGCAACAAAAACAGAAGAACTGCAACACCAGGAAAAGCTTAATTTTCCAGCGGGATCTTTGCGCAGGTCCGAAACTGGAAAATGAATTACGTAGTGTCCTTAAGAGGGAAGGGAATCCCCTCCATTTAGGTGTATCTGTATGTGTGTGTGTGACTTTTGCAATGGTGGCCATTGCTTAGGTGTGAATTCTGCAAAGAGAGAGGGAGAGAGAGAAAGAGAGAGAGTGCGTTTAAACAAGTGTTACTAAAAGAGAGAAAGAGAGAGCAAGGACTAAATACGAATTAACCGTAACAACAACAAACATTTTGGAGCAAGCGCATAATTCATATTTTACCAAAAACGCCCACGCCCACCGTGCGTATGTACGTATGTGTGCGTTCAAGGGGTGTGTGTGTTGCAAAGGTGCTTTTCAATTATCTTTACGAAATGTTAAATAAATACAGATATATATACCTAAATACAAATGCGTCTCCCATTGCATATAAAGTTATTTTAAATACATATGTATGTGTGTTCTTATTTACATACTTATTTGCGATAGTATTTATAGTGCTAATTGCGATGGACCTTAGATACCTAATGTCAAATAATTATTATAAAAATTGTATAACAACCTAAAAGAAAATTCACAGATATATCATATTAGGTTGTGTTTAATAGTTCTTAATATATCGATAAGTTCTAATCAATATTAGAAGAGATTTATACACACGTCGTATGCGTAATTTCCTTTAAATGTGTTTTTTCTTAAAAACCCGTCAAATGAATGTTAAAATAAAACCATTATTTCAGTTATGGAATTTGTATTTGCCCTTTCAAGCCACAATGAAAATTTTCTTGATTATTCTAAGAATTTCTTAAATATTCTCATTACTCTTTTTGTGAGCGGAAGACGAAAATAAAGACATCATTAGAAAATCATGTAGTGCATTAGTCGAACTGTCGTCGCCACGCCCCGCACTCCATGTGCCTCCCCCCAGGACTCAAGGACCCAAGGACCCCATCCACTCCAGGAGGCAGCCGCAATTGCCATTATGTTGAACACGCAAGTCAATTGATGCAATTTGTCCGACCAGCCGGAGAGTGTTCGTTCGGGCCAGGAGCAATTTCCCCAGTGACAATCTGACATGCCGTAACAGGTTCACGGTCTGACGAATAGTGGGTGGTGCCCTGCAGGGATGGAAGTGGGTGAGAGTGGGTGGGGTTGAAACCGACCGCCTGCTCTCATCAACAGTTAGCAGCTTCTGCTAGTGATTTAAGGGTTGCCGGCCAGCCGGTTCGCCCCTAAATGAATTGCGGCGATTTATTGCGGTAATACTCATTTAGCGGACCTGCCCCGGGGGTACGAAAAAAAATAAAAGAAACTACGCTCGAGTCTAAGGAATGGACTGAGAGATACCCAAGCCTCTCAAATATGTTTGTGGCCCTACAAACGATAATTAAATAAACTATATTACAAAATATCCAAGGGGATACTGCTCAAATCAATAATCGTATTTCCTTGGACATTTGAAAATTTTAAAAACTTTGTATGAAGTATGCAAAATATCTCTTTTTCTGCAAAAATTCAAATTAGTAAGCCACAGAATCTCGCTTTAATAATTATTAATATTTAAAAAAAAGTCTTAAGCCCTAAATTCCGTCAAAATCAAACCTTTTTTACCAGAATACAGGGTAGAAAAATTGACTGAAGTCAAGTTGAGTGCAAACAATGCACACAATAAAAATAAATCTCTCCGGAACAAGTGTGTGTTTAGTTACACCCGTGGGAAGTCCGGGTGAGAAGTTGTCAATTACTTGCGAATCGATGTGGCCAAAATCCGCTTTGGCATTCATGTCACCGCCAGGTGACCGGGACATCCCCGAATAATCGCTCTAATTGGGCGCTTTCACAGAAGCCAAGCCAAGAGAAAGTACGTGATATGCATTTCCACCTTTCTAGGCAATTAATAAGCCAATTTCAGGTTCCAACCAATCGGCGGCCACGTAAATCAGCATTATGTCGTGGGCAATGAAAATGAGTTCTAAATTCAATTACAGGCCTTGTCTTCTTGGGCTTCCTAAGTCCTCATTCCCGCATAAATCAAGAGTTCTGGCTGCCTGGTCCTGCCTGAGATGCTAATTTACCCGGGTCCTGAAATGTCTTAGTAGATGCTAAGCGGCTTTCCCGCTCATAACTCACCGGGACACTTTGTCACATTATGCATTTAAATTTAATGTGTTATTTATGGGCGGATTTGTCGACCTTCCCGCCCGCGATGATTGTTAATTAGAAAGTCGGTCTTTCAGGCAACACTACTATCACACCTCTGTCTCCGATTCGTGGGAGTTTCCAAGATGCATGGGGAGTACTCTATTAATTACACCCCCATAATGGTTACTTCCGCTGGGCCACATAATAGCATAATTAATCGATATTAAATGAACAGCAGCGGAACAATAAACGCCGGAAGCCAGCCACAAAAGGTTAAATTAAACGAAGTAATTGTTACACAGCCTCAGCCTGCTGAATTCGACCCCCTCACACAGTTTGCAGGTCCCTGAGGAGGGTTGTCCTGGCTGGGTCCTTTACAATGCATAATAAACAGTCGACCGGGCACGAAGCAAACAAAAGTGGGGAAACGAAGCTCGTTGAGATTTTGATTTTTAAACAGCCCAACCAGGGGGTGGAATTGCCGACTGGTTGGTTGGGAATCAAAAGACAAGGCTGTAAAGCGCACAAAGTCACACGGCAGGTGGCAGGTGGCGTAGAGAATTGAAAGAGTGGGTGGGGATTTTACCACACAAAGTGATTTAAATGCACTTCTAATGGGATGAAATTATATACTGTCTGATGTACTACCTCCCCCTCTTTTTGAACCAATACCATTTCCACTCCTATTTGTGGTTTCAAGGGGAGAACATGAATATGCATGGGATTGCGCTTTTGATGTGATTTTCATCTCAAGTGGGCAGCCGAAAAGAGGGCACCTTCATCTTAAGCTTAGTTACGACCAACTTAAAGTTAAACTGTTCGTTTTTTAATTAAAATTTGTCACATAAAACAATAATTATGTCCTTTGAGGAACGGCGTCTTGATGGCCGGCTAAAGCCGCTTAGAATAATTTCAAAACAAAAATTTGTGACTGCTTCATTACAGGGGTCACATTTAGCATCTTATCAGAGCTTAGCAGCTGGGGTCACCGCTCACTTCGATGGCCAGCCACGGAATGTGATTACAGCTTTTGCCGCTTCAGATGGAATTTTAGAGGTCTTAAATGTCCATTGGGTGGGGGAAAATTCAACTCCAAATTCCGAATAGAGGGTCCATAGGTATAGCGATGCAAGCGCTTTGAACGAGCTCTGAACTCATCCACTGAGCCAGGAAAACTAATGATTTCGTGAACCAAATGCGGTTCTGGAACATAGAAATCATCACCTAAATTCAGAAATGAATTATAAATAAATAATTAAATGTAAGAAACATGATTTTTTATTGTGACATACCTGGCAAAACATAAATCATAGATCCTTGGCAATCATAGGTTACTGGTAGGTACATAGTGGTGCCCAATCCACTGCGCTTAATGGCAAAATCCAACAGACTTTGATACTCCTTGATTCCCATTAATCGTGACAATTCATAGACCTGCGGCGGTAGAAACCAAACTTCACCGAGATCTGCTTGCCGTAATAGTTCCAATGATGTCAGCCACTAATAACATATAAAACCCATTATGTATAATATCTTTGCAGCCGTAGAAAACTCACCAGCGTCTCCTTAACTTCGGAAGGTTCTTCCAACAGATTTGGCTGTTTATCCACAAAAGCCATAAAGAAAACTGTTTCGTAGCTGCAGATATTTTAAAATTAAATTCAATTAAAAAACCATGATTATAACTCACCCCTTGCGCATAAATCCCGGACTCGCCCACGCCGACCACTCGTGCAGGGCCCACAAATCCGGCACCACTTCCAGCTCCCTGCAGAGGGTCAGAAACTCGCTGGGCTTGTTGTGCACTCTTCGCTGCCAGGCCTCCAGATCGGGAACTTCCTGAGCACAGGCAACTGCACCGAAATCAAGCTGACTCCTCTTCCGACAAAGCAACAAGCCCACCTCTTCAAAGCACTCCCTCACGGCGGTGAGTCGCAGTGTAATCTCCCTGCAGTAGCAAAGGTCAAAGATTAAACTCCTAATCTGTATGCGGTGAACATAATCTTTGGACCCACCGCGACCAAATCCGGGAGCGTTTGAAGAACCGATCATAGCAGCCAGTCCCTTGGGGAGCCAGAATGGCAGGACGATCATCGCGAATGAGGACCAGGCGACGAAGTGCCTCCTGCGGGACACCAAACTTCTCGAGATATTGCAGCCAAGCCACGCTCTCGTCGGCCTCGGAATCCAGAAGTCCACCGGGGAACACAGTTTGGTTGACCATCACTGCTGTGGCATCACTACGCTTCAGCATTAACAACTATAGGTTCAAAGAGATTAAAAGATATATTCCCTTCCTGTAAAGAAACCTACATACCTTGTAGTCATTGCTTTTTTCAGCTTCTTTGGTCACCAGAATTACACTGGCCGAAGTTCGCCACTTGGGCGGAGAACCAGCATTGCTCATTTCAACGTATATTTAACAAAAGTTTCAGAAAAACTTTTACTTCCGACCAAGGCAAATCAAATCAAAATATTGTTTTGCTCCCTCCAATCAGCTGTTTTACCGATTGGAGGAGCAGGTGATTTCCCTTTTCTGTCGATAGCGATAAATGCTCCTGATTGAGGAAATGATCGATGGCCGATTATCAGCGCGCCGAATATTTAAATTTTCAATTCGTGCAAAATTCGTACTTTTACCATTTGTCCAGATAAATTACAAAGCGAAGATTCGAAGAATGCTGGTGGGTGGTTAAACAAAAAACCCAAACAGATTAGGTAGGTCTGCACACGTGTTCGCAAACCTATTTAAGTGCTGCTTTTGGACATGAAGAGACACTTGCAATTGGTGTTCCCCATCGAAAGCAACTTGCAGTTGAAATGAAAGCCTTGATCACGTTCTTGTTACTGGGCATGTGCCTAATTGCCAGCCAGGCTGTGGTTGTGGAGGAGAGCGTTGCAGATCTTCTGAAGGATAATGCCAAGGGCCTGGAGGTGGCCAATGGACTTCTGTCTCAAATCGCAACGGTCAGCCAGGAGACACAAGTTGGCCTGAGCGAGCAAAAGGATGCTCTGAAGGCACTGTCTCTCGTCGGAGAGTTGCTGGCTAAGCTGAGTTTCGCCTTAGATTCGAGCTCCAAGAACCTGGTGGCCACTTTGCTAAAAATCTCCCATGAGGGCGAAGTCTATGGAAATCGCACAGAGGCAGAACTCCAGGAACTGGCTCGCCTGCAGGAAGCCACCAAGGAGGTGCTCAATGTTGTGGCGGCCAAAGTGGATGTCTATCACAGGAATGCGCTCCGCAATACCGGCAATATTGCTCAGAAAGTCGATGATCTGGCCAAACTGATTAGCCGCACCGTGCTGCCCCAAGTTAGCGGCCTGAAATGCACCTTCAACAGCCTGGAAACGTCGCAAATAAATGTCGAGGTGGAACTGAAGAGTTTGGCTGGAGTAAGGGAACTCGCTGAGAGCTCCAATCGCAAATTGGATGTGCTGGAGTCCCAATTGAAGCAGCTGAATAATACGCAGGAACAGCGCCTGGACATCCTGATCGATGCAGTGAAGCATCTGCGGCCTTTGAACCAGTGGAAAGTGGAGACAGTTTTGCGTGAACTAATCATTTCCCAGAAACGGATCGAATTGGACTTGGATGACTGCAGCAGGCCCCCTCCCGTTCCCCATCATGACCATCATGACCATTATGACCATCATGACGAGTCCTACCTGCCCACTTATGGAGCTGAGGTTCCCAAGCCGCAATATGCCCAACCCAAGCCAAAGCAGGTGGATCTGGAGCAGGTGTGGAGCATTAAGGAGCCATCAAAGGAGGGTACGTTATAGAGGTACCCAGATATGGTTTACAAATATTAATTTCTGTTTCTATTCCAAGGCGAACAATCACGCAGCCAGAGAGTGAGTGCATATGCAGAGGCACCGGAACCAAAAGAAACCCATCACAGCTCCAGTGCCGTGTCCTGGAGACCATCTCTGCCCTGGGAGACAGTCCCTCCCCGCCAAACCGCTCCCATTAACCGACCTCAACCCTGGCATCCAGCACCTGCCTATGGCCACAACCCCAAGCCTAAGCCGAAACCTCAGCCCAGAGAAGACCCTTACGCTTCTGGATCCCATAATCCTGAACCCCACCAGCCGAAATCTCAGCCCGCACAAGCCCATAAGCCTCAGCCCAACCACCCACAATCTTATCAGGAGCAAGTTTACATTCCACAACCAATCCACTCCGGGGAGGCCTTTAGGATTTGGTACGGAGAGGGTTCCGACTCCCAAGGTTACTAAAGTTTCAACCAGCGAGCACAAATCAATTGATTTTCGAGACCGATAAACTTTGCAACAATTTTTAGAGCACTTTTATAAAAAATTTGTATCACCATTTTTACCAATTTTGTATATATTCGATAACAGATAATAAAACTGAAAAAAACTCTATAAATTTTACTGGCTTGTATTTATACAATTTTAAATAAATGTGAGATCTATTTAAATTTTGGATTTTTTGTATGCACAAGATGGGAATCAATAGCGAGACAAGTTAATTTTAAATGGATCTTTAGTTGACTTGCGGATTAAAAATAATGAAAAATGGCAACAGATAAACTATTAAAAAAGACAGTACTTCAATTTTTTATGTAATGATTTTGATGCTTCCATAATTTGAAAGCTACAAGAAACTATTTTCTTAAGTATTTTTCTAAAAATTTGATAAGGATTTTTAAAGTGTAACGCTTCTGGGTAACATATTATCTAACTAAAATTTCAAATCAACCGAAAAACTCCGTTCGTACATTCTTTTTTTTTGGAGTTTAGACAAATATATGATATCTTATCTTATAATGATATCTTATAATAATAGATAAGTATTGTAAAATATAATTCCAAAGTCAAAATAACGAAATAAAAATGTGTTTAAATTGTTGTAAGCTACGATTTTCTACTATCTAGTAGACGTAATTTCTGAATGAAAGTTATAAAGAAGTAGATGGGGCACGTTTTTTGGGCATTACTACCGTTACACACAAAAAACCAGGTCAATCTCCACCCCATGAGACCTGTTTAGAAACAAAGAAGAATTTCGAGACGTGACAATCTCAGTGTTTTCCCTTAGATCGCCAAAAAGTCGATGAACTAAAAATTATTTAGTAAAACAACAAAAAAACATGATTCGGTTATGGTTTGTGTTCGGTTATTAGGTAGTCGTAGTGCAGATTTCGATGGAGAAATAAACATATATAGATTAGAGAAGAGTTTGCAGCTGCACCCACTGAGTAATGTGTGGGTGGTTTGTGGACTGATAGAACTTAACCCACTCGGAGACACGTAGTCTACACTAAGTTGGGCTACTTAAAGTGCAGTTAAGATCGACAGAAGACACAAAGCATTCTTCGTCCATCAGAGAACCACCATGAGAACCCAGTTAATTTTGGTAGCGATCTGCTTTTGCCTTTGCAAAGCTTCCTGCGAGGATCGGGATTCAGTAAACAAGATCCGTGGTGAAGTGCTGAAGCTTTTAAAAGGCACCGAGGAGCTAAACGACGGGTTGCGAACAGTGAAAAATGTGCAGAAGGGTATCGAGGAGAAGTTCAAGCATCAGAGGGATGAGATCGATCTTATTGCCGCTCTGGAGGTTGCTCTGTCCCAGTTGGAAACGAAAGTTCATAGCAGCTTTGACGCTACAGCTTCTGGAGTGAGAAACTTGACAGAAATTATTAGGGCAGTTCAGAGCCAAAACGAACGGTCCATTCAGAACCTTACCAATGCGGAGGTGGACATCAGGAGAGTCATTGGGCAGTTTGATGTCGATCAGGACAAATACGAGAAGATTCTGGATGCCTTGGCTGCATCCGTGAAATCACAATTAGCGGGAATCCAGCAACTTATTGGTCAGGCAGTCATTGGGGAACTCATCGGGCTGGATAACAAGGCCAAGGTTTTGCAGGTGCAGCAGCGCAATATTATTGGCCAAGTAGGACATCTGGAGGAGTTGAATGCCCTGGCCAACCGTGCCAATCGTAAGGTGAATCAGCTGGAGTGGGGACTTGTCGCGCTTAATCGCACCCAGTCTGAGAACCTTAACATAATTGAAAATACTGTCCATGGAGTGCAGGTGACCTCCTCACAAATCGATCTTAAGCTCGGTGCTTTGCTAGATAACCAGAAAAACATTGAAAAGTCGCTGGAGAACTGCAAGAGAAAAAATCCGCCAGATCACAAGCCCCAACATGGGTCGACCCATCCGGAACCATCCCCGAACCACCAGTGAAGTTTTATTCAATTTTATAATTTTACGCCTTACTTAAAATTATTTATTTTGTAGATACAAGCCGGAAGTGAAGCCGGAGGTGAACCCAGGTTATGAAAGCAGCTATGCCTCCCAGGAAGAGGCAGAGCAACTCTACAAGCTGTGGTACAACAAAGGACAACAGCAGTGAAAAGGATAACATGATTAGGAACCCTTCGATATCTATTTACAAATCTCCACCCTGTAGCATCTTTTCAACGTTCTCAACCAAATTACAAATGCAAATATTAATTCTCTTGATTATTTCCTGTTCAAAAACAAACTTCTAACAATAAAACTTTTAATTATGGAACGATTCCGAACGTCGGCGAGTGCAGACGTGCATTTATTTATTTCTCTTGTGCTCCGAAAGACAATCGATAAAAACAAAAAACAAAAACCCCGATATAAAATAAAAATAAACGGCGAAAAGACGCTTATCGCGATGAAAAGTCGCAAGTTAATATTATTTTGTGTTTTTAATTAGTGCTTCTAATACTGAAATACAAAAAAAACCAAATAAAAAAATCAAACAAATAAGGTGATGAACCCAAACGAAGTTCGGGCGCAGCGCCAACGTAAGCAAGACGAGCGCCGGCTCTCTCTGCAAAAGAGCAATGCATACTTTTCTTTCGTATCGACAGCAGAAGCACCAACAACAAAAGCTTCTGCAGTAGTCGATCAACCGCGATCGTTAACCCCAACACCTTCCAACGAACTCAAGCCTATTCTTAACGAAAGGGCGCGCTCTCTTTCTCCATATATGTCAGCGACGACGCAAAGCGGGGTAAGCGACAAATGCATTTCCCCTCTTCCTGGCCCTGCCTCACCCCAACTGCCCACATGCCTGGCCACGGTTACCAGCACAGTAACGTCATTAGCAACTGTAAATGCAATGACAACAACAACATCAGTTTCGTCGGCATGCCCAATACAGTCGAGCGTTTTACCTGCTGTCTCAGCGAATTTATCAACTGCAGCTAGCGCAGCACCGTCAGAAGCTTCAACTAAAAAGCAAGGTCCGTCCATACAGACTGGCATGGATCGCTACATAAACATTAAAAGAAAACTAAGCCCACAGGGCACGAAAATGGGCAACGCCGCAAAAATCAATAGGGCTTTCCCAAGCCAAGGAACCGTGCAAAACTCTAATACTGCAAATAGATTTCAACTTTTGGCTGACACGTCCGAAGAAATCGCTTCTACAGTTTTGGATACGGACAAAAAGAAACCGAGGCCGCCTCCGCTTTACATTCGAGAGAAAAACTCCAACAACCTCGTTAATATAATAATCGATCTGATTGGTAAAGATAGCTTCCACGTAATCCCCTTGACTAAAGGAGAAATACATGAAACAAAGGTCCAAGTCAAAAGCGAAGAAAGCTTTAAAAAACTGACGGAGCTCCTAGATGCCAAGAAAAAGAACTACTACACCTACCAGCTAAAAAGTAGTAAAGGTCAACAAGTTGTTATAAAAGGAATAGAACCAGACGTAAGCACTGCTGAAGTCGAGCAGGCACTAAAAGACAAAGGTTTTAACGTAAAAACAGTTATAAACATACGTAACCGAAATAAACAACCGCAACCTCTCTTTAAAGTGGAACTTGCACCTGACTCTAAGGCGCTTAAGAAAAATGAAGTCCATCCCATCTACAATCTCCAGTTTCTAATGCATCGCAGAATCACGGTTGAAGAGCCGCATAAACGCAATGGCCCAGTCCAGTGCGCAAATTGCCAGGAATACGGACACACCAAATCTTACTGCACACTCCGCTCTGTATGCGTCGCCTGCGGAGGGCTGCATACCTCAGCTAAGTGTGAATTAAAAAATGAGCCAAATAGCAAAAAGTGTAGTAACTGCGGAGGAGACCACACAGCAAACTACAGAGGCTGTCCAGTATACAAGGAGTTAAAAAGTCGGATAAACCAAAGAGTCTCAACAGCACGATCTCACCACACACCATTGATACCCTCTAAACTCACACCTGAAGTCTTCTTTTCGTCAGCAGCCCGATCATCACTCGGCAGTTCCACTACAAATAAAAACGTAAGTTTTGCAAGCGTTTTAAAATCGGGTCATGCGAGCCCCGCTTACAATGTCCAACCACCACCTACAGTCTCTCACCAACTAGCAGAGCACACAGAAAATAGAATGGAAACGATGATGCTCAGTTTGCAACAAAGTATGGATGAATTCATTTCATTTATGCGGACGACCATGCAAAGTATGTTGACAAATCAGAATATTTTGATTCAGATGCTCCAAAACACTTTATCAAAATAATCAATGGCTCCCCTGCGCATTGCACTGTGGAATGCCAACGGTGTTTCACGGCACAAACTTGAGCTAGCACAATTTATGAACGACAATGAAATCGACGTAATGTTACTTGCAGAAACCCACCTTACCAACAAATATAATTTCCAAATCCGAGGGTATATGTTTTACAACACCAATCATCCTGATGGAAAGGCCCACGGAGGCACTGCAGTCCTGATTAAAAACCGCATCAAGCACCACTTTCACAACACGTTTGCTACTAACTACCTGCAAGCCACATCTATCAATATACAGTTGGGTTGTCACAATCTAGCTCTAGCAGCGGTATACTGTCCTCCTCGATTCATGATATCCGAAGCCCAGTTTACTGACTACTTCAACTCACTAGGCAAATACTTCATAGCAGCAGGAGACTACAACGCCAAGCATACGCACTGGGGATCTCGCCTCGTGACGCCGAAAGGTAGACAACTGTATTATGCAATTATAAATCCTAGCAACAAACTTGACTGCGTTTCCCCTGGATCACCTACACACTGGCCTAGCGACCCCAGAAAACTGCCAGACTTGATAGACTTCGCAGTTACAAAAAACATCCCACGAAATCTAATTAGCGCCAGTTCTCTCTCGGATCTATCATCAGATCACTCGCCTGTACTTTTTATCCTAAACCAACAGCCAGTTAGTAATGACAGCCCCGTCATGCTAACTTCTAGAAGCACAGACTGGCTCAAATTCAAAAAATACGTAAGTTCGCACATCGAACTTACACCACAGCTAACCGGCGAGGACGACATCAACAGAACCGTATGCATGCTAGAGTCAGTTTTGGCCTCAGCGGCACGAATCGCAACACCACCAAGGCAAAACACAACACATAACATAAAGCATACAAACGCAGAAATAGAGCAGCTAGTCCTAGCAAAGCGTCGTTCCCGACGTGTATGGCAATCTCTTCGATCGCCATCTGCAAAGCAACAGTTAAAAGAAGCTTCACGCAGACTCACCAAGGCACTACGACAAGAAGAAGACAGGTCCCAACATCGCTATATAGAACAACTATCTCCATTCAGCTCAAAATTCCCACTATGGAAAGCCCACTCAACACTGAGCCCTCCAACAGTAACGGTTACGCCAATAAGGACTCCTGCAGGCTGCTGGGCCAGAAGCGACAAAGACAGAGCCGACACATTCGCTGCCCACCTTGAAAATGTGTTCCAGCCAAATCCAGTAACAAACGTGCGTAATATAAGATCGCAAACTGAAGACGACCTTCCTATTGCCGAACCAATTGTATTTCGACCATGCGAAGTCATAAAAATTATAAAAGAGCAGCTACAACCGAGAAAATCTCCAGGCTGCGATCTAATAACTCCAAAAATGCTTATAGAACTCCCACTATGCGCCGTTGGTACCATATGCCAGCTGTTCAACGCGATGACAAGACTGGGCTGCTTTCCAAAGAGGTGGAAAAAGTCAATCATCATAATGATACCAAAACCAGGAAAAGACCACACCCTCGCCTCCTCATACAGACCGATTAGTTTACTTTCCTGTCTATCAAAACTCTTTGAAAAATGCCTTCTGACCCGTATCATACCATACTTCAGAAGACATAATATTATCCCAGCACATCAATTCGGCTTTCGCGAAAAACATGGAACTATCGAACAGGTGAACCGCATAACTTCAGAAATTCGAAGTGCATTTGAAAATAGGGAATACTGCACTGCGGTATTTTTGGACGTCTCCCAAGCATTCGACAGAGTATGGCTTGACGGCCTAATGCATAAAATCAAAATAATGCTCCCTAATAACACGCACAAACTCTTGAAGTCATATCTTTACAACAGAATATTTGTGGTGAGATGCAATACTTCCATATCAGCTGAACGTAACATCGAAGCAGGAGTTCCTCAAGGGAGCGTTCTCGGGCCAACTTTATACCTACTCTACACTTCTGATATTCCTACGAGCAGTCAACTGACTATGTCCACGTTTGCCGACGACACCGCGATCCTCAGCCGATCTAGATGTCCACAACAAGCCTCAGCGCAACTTGCGGCACATCTAGAAGTAGTGGAGAAATGGCTCTCAGACTGGCGAATAAAAGTAAATGAGCAAAAATGCAAACAAGTAACATTTACCTTAAATAGACGAAACTGCCCAAACCTTACACTAAACAACATCGTGCTCCCCCAGTCAGATGATGTAACATATCTTGGCGTACATCTCGACAGACGGCTTACCTGGCGCACGCATATTGAAGCTAAACGAACTCATCTAAGGCTGAAGGCAAATAGTTTGCATTGGCTGATCAACTCCCGCTCCCCACTCAGTCTGGACTACAAGGTCCTTATCTACAATACAGTTTTGAAACCAATCTGGACTTATGGCTCCCAGTTGTGGGGCAGCGCCAGCAACAGCAACGTAGAAATCGTGCAGAGAGCCCAAGCAAAGATCCTAAGAATTATCACTGGGGCACCGTGGTACGTTCGGAGTGTAAATATTCAGAGAGACTTGAATGTACTCCCCGTCCGAGATGTAATAGCGCAGCACATGCAAAATTACTACACAAAGCTGTCAACTCATCCAAACCACCTCGCTAGAGCATTGACGTTGGTATGTAGCCGCTCCCGCCTTCGTCGTAACGACCTTCCCATCCAGCGATAATTATTAGGACAGTCTAACATAAATACAGTTTAACAAATTGTTAGAATAATGTAGTACTTTAAGATTTTAACACATTTTGTTAGTCTCGTAAGAGAAGATTCAAAATAAACAAGCAAAGTCTAAAAAAAAAAAAAAAAAAAAAAAAAATTATGGAAAAACAATTATCTCACATTAAATCTAGATAAATGCACATTATATCAAGGAATCTGTTTCCAAGTTTATAGTTTTTTTGGGTCCACGGGATGCACTTGACCGTCGATCCTGTTAAAGTTTATAAGAAGCTGTGATTGATGCTGGTTCCAGTGCTCCGATCTATGTATTTTGTCACTAGCCTTCGAGCGAAATTCCTCGACTGATAAGCCAGTCTCGATTTTGTCGCTACTGGCATCTGGATCGGCGGGATAGGCGTTGTCTCCTGGCAGGAGATGCACAGTTCCATTTTTGCACTTGTACATCACGGGATGAATCAGTTCGATGCCCTTGACCTCACGCTCTGCGGCAAATTGTCGCAGACTCTCCAAGGAGGAGAAGTTGAGGCAACGAGAAAGTTCATAGAATTGAGGTGGCGGCAACCAAAGCTCTTTTTCAGGCAAGCTTGTAAATAATCCAATGGGGAGCGCCACTATTAAAAGAAAATTTTTTTATTAATACGAGGTTTCGAAAATGATAATCCTTTTGAAATGATTGAAGACCCTTGCAGCCCACTTACCGCGCAATCCTTGACCTCATTGGGTTCAATGTGAACACTGGGTTCCTGCTTCAAAGCGGTTACAAAGAAAGCTGTTTCAAAACGCTTCTTGAATGTGGACGGTGTACGCCAGACAGACCATTCGTTGAGTGACCAAACGTCCGGAAACACCTCCAGCTGCTTGCAGAGCTCTAGAAACTGTCTGGCATCGTTATGGACAATGTGCTGCCAGTGGACGCGATCAAACTGTTCATGGAACTGTCCATAGCCACTGGTGGAGGTCAACGATTTGCTGTCCCTACACAGCAGTATGCCCAACTCCTCGAAGGTCTCTCGTATGGCAGTTAGACGCAGAGCCAGCGATCTACAAAATGCATGAAAAAAGTCAGAAGGATACTTCACAACACAAAATTTGACTATCATACGGATCTATAGCTTCCTTATCTAGCTTGTTGAGGAAAATTTCAGGTCTGGGTCCATTCACCTGACCTACTTCTTGCAGCTTGGCGGCACTAAGATTGTTACGCCGGAAGTGATCCAACCAGGCCGGAGAACTGTCCGTGGCATCGCAAACTCCTCCCGGGAACACCGACGATTCCGGCATAAAGCTCGACTTTTGTGTTCGTGTAAGGAGCAGGGCCTAACCGGACGATTTGGGTGAATAGAGCTTCTAAAATATATAAACTGTTACTCACATTGTAGTCGAATGGCTTCGCCTTTGTTGATGAATCCTTCGCCAGCAGGATTAAGCTCGAAGAGGAGCGGATTTTGGGCAAAAGCTTGGACATGTTTAGGTAACACGGCGTTATCGATGTCCTAGTCGGTGCTATCGATAACTGGCCAGCTGATGCTTCACGTTTTGAATACCCTCACCTGTTGAGGAAAAGGGTATATAGTTTATTTAAACAAAATTAAATATTAAAAATTAAAAAAAATATATATATTTAGGTGTATTTCAACCAAGTTTTAAGAAAGATATGTAGCCCATTATTTTAGATTTATGTATTAACTTAAATCCAGCCAGGGTATATTAAAGCGTATATCTCGACTTTTATTATTGCATGTTGTTTTTCTTAGTATGGCAGTCAAGATCAAAGGTTTGTTTAAGTGGATTAATGAATTGAATGGCACTGTACTCTAAACCATGGGGCCTGCTACTCAAACTGGATCTTATAGACCATCTGCTAGCTTAATTTTAGCTGCCAAAGAGGATTCCTTAAGGGATTACGACTACAGAGTAAGTTCAAAATAAATTAAAGTACCAAAAACAACTTGTTTACCTTCCCTTGCAGTTACTTCTGATTAAACGAACTGAACGCACTTCCTATGCTCTGAATCACTGTGTATTTCCTGGCGGCGTGTTTGATTCCCAAGAGGATGAGTCTCCTGAATGGATCAAATATTTTAAGTCCTTCGGAGTGACTGATGAGCATTTAAGAAAATTAACCCACAAACAAGACACTCCTAGACCACAATTTCTAAACGCCGATAAGCACTTTTCTAGGGACATTGCCCTGCGTCTGACTGCCCTCAGGGAAACCTTCGAAGAAGTAGGGATCTTGATCTGTACGAATCAGAATAGTTTCAAGAACTGGGATTCAAAATTAGACCACCCTTGTACCCTGCTTCTCGAGCCAAGCGAACGATCTGAGTGGCAGCATAGGGTTCACAATAATGCTTCACAGTTCCTGGAACTCTACAGGTATCTCAATGTCATTCCTAACCTCTGGTCTCTCCAGGAATGGTCCATTTGGAGGACAGCAGCGACTGCCAATCGAAAATATGACACAGTATACTATGTCACCACTCTGGATAAAAAGGCCGAGGAGGTGAGTCTTCTGTTGGAACCGCACGAAGTGGCCTCAGCCCATTGGATGAGTCCTGCAGAGGCCTGGACAAGCTCTCAGGATGGGACCATTTGGCTTCCGTTTATGCTACTCTACGATATTGCTCGATTGATGAACCTAAATCGCTGGCAGGAGCTTCTCAATTTTTCTCGTGAACGGAGCTCCAGAGGAACCACAATGATACAACCTGTTTACTTTCGCTGTGATGATTGCATGTTTGGAGTGCTTCCAGGAGATGAGCTATATCCCAAGGACCCCGGCGCTTGCACACAATCGATTATATTGCCGGGGTCAGTCAACGAAATTCATCAAAAGGCTCAACAGTATAATCGCTATATTGTATACGATTTCCACCAAGTGGTTCTGGCTTCCAATGTCCCACCCAATGATGGTCACTTGCCACTGCAGCCACTGGTCAATACCAAACTGTCAAAGTTGTAGTAAAAATTATATTTTCTGGTTGTCTACAAGAGTTTACCGCTCTCTAACTCTGATTGGATACCACGACAGGCATGGCACAGGCCATCCTGCGTTTTCAGTCGCTGCTTTGCCAATCCTTCTAGGTCTGCCCCGTTCTTATATAAAGCCACTCCAGCTTCTGAAACGGATCTGGAGTACTCGATGGCCAGTAGAGTGTCCGAGAGCTCCGAGTCCAGAGCAGATTGGCAGTGGTCGCATGTGGCCTGATCTGGATGTGCATTAATGGCAATTTTGTCTCCGGTTCGAAAAACCGTAGACACCGTGGAGGCGTAGTTTTGCTGAAGGTTGGCCACGAAGGCGGATGTGAGGTTTTGTAAGCTTGCGGTAGGTCCACTTTCCTGGCCATATCGGGATCCGCTCTGGACCAGCGGTTTCAGTTGTTGGGCATGTGTGTAGAATTGAATCTCCTGCTCATTAAGGTCCTTGAGGGGTCGCAGCAGTTTGACTTCTCCAGCCAGCCGATCGTCCAGCAAAGCCACGTCCAAGGCGGCACTGCCACCACGCCCCAGAGCAATCGCAGTCAGCAGTTGGGTCGCCAAATCCACACTTATACTGGGTTCGAAGACATGAGTGCAATCCAACTGCTGGGCCACAGAGGCAATGAGGTTTTTGCGCTGCTGTTGTAGGTAATCTTGGCGGGCTGTGAGGCTACGCAATTTCTGGAGTTTCTGGACAAGCTCGTTTTTTTCGTCTGAAGAACGACTGTACTTTGTGATGGGTTCTGCAGAGTTCGAGGCACCCAGCTCGATCACATGGAACTCAAAGGGTGCATACTGGTTGGACAAGTTTTTGAGCGCGTCAATGTCCACTGGATCATGTCCCTGCACATGCTTATCCTCCACAAAAACTACACGTGCATTACAATGAAGTCGTTTAAATGTGTTTTGCGTTTGAGCGAAGTGTAGCATATCCAAGAGCACCAGAGACTCTGCGGAGCCGTCAAGTACCAAGAGCACCTCGGCGTTTCTGGGCAGGATCTTGGCTGCGCCTAGGGCAGCCCGGAATTTGTGCCTAGCGTACGCCAAAAAACAGTCACGGCACTCCGCCGTTCTAAAGTTAAGTTTATAGAGTTGACTGGAGGCTACGCCGCATTTGTTGCAATCCCCCGGGCTAAGGACGATTCCCAAGGGCAGGGATTCCGGCACCATGCCGTGGGCGGCTCCCTCGTCTCCAAAATCATCTTCGCCAATGCTGCACATGGCACTTATTTACAAAACCTTATTTCACAGATAAACGAAATTGCCAGGGATCCATAACATCAAATGGACGTCGTGGCAAGCAATCGATTTTCAAGCCAAATGTTTATAGTTTGTGTCAAGCAGCCACAAGAATGTCTACTTGCTGACTTTAAAGTTTAAGAATTATTAAAATAAGTATTTTGATTTATTTAACAAAATATAGCTGTGGAACTTTCAAAAATATTTCGAAATAATATATTTTGGCTATATTTAAGTCACTTAATCAGACGACAGCACTGGTTCGAGGGCATTCGCTACGTCAATCGATAGCTCTGGCGATATTTCGACTACGCAGCCTAGACTCGTCAAGAAGCAACCTTGCAACAGGAAAAGTGCAGTGAAAATTACAAAAATAGCTGTTTAAAACTAAATTTGTTGTACAAATATTATTCATAAGTTATATTTAAGCCTTGAGGTATGTGCCGTTGATGTGTATGAAGGGAAAATCGCGCTATAAACCCATAAAATTTGGGCGCAAAAAACTGGGTGCTGCTGAGACGTGTATGTGTGTGTGAGTGTTGCGTGTATATATGTGTGTGTGTATGGCCGTTTGGCTGTGTGTGTGTGTCATGCTCGTACGCAAGCAAAAAGTATCGGATGGCAAAATCGAGAAACTTTCTTATTGACGATAGCCGAGAAAGAAGAAGAAGCAGCTCAGCGCTGACATTTAATTAAAAGGGCAGGAAAAAATTTCGGCAAGAAGTGAAATAAACGAACGATATGTTATTGCAGAGGATCAAGAAGAGAAAGCGTTAGCCAGAAGTCAAGAGTGCACACAAAACTCGCGAGGAGCCGTTGTCTGTGCGCCAGAGGTCATCTTAAAAATACATTTTCGGGCGTGTGTGCCCCCCGAGCACGATTTAACCCCCCGCCCAGATTAGCCCAGACCAACGCAAGTAGCCCCAAAACCTTAAGGAAAATTAAGACGGCAACCAGTATCAACATCCCGCCACAGAATGATTCTCGAGAACTCCGACAAGCTTAAGGATTGGTTGAGCGTCGTCCTGGAGCCACTGTAAGTCCTGGCAAAAAGAAAATTAATGTAAATTATTGATTTTAAATTTTGCTTACAGCTGCGATGCAGACTCCTCGGCTTTGGCGCGCTATGTCATCGCGTTGCTCAAGAAGGACAAATCGGATAAGGACCTCAAGCGGATCATGATCGAACAGCTGGATGTCTTCCTGTCCGAGGAGACGACGCGCTTCGTAGAGCGCCTCTTCGATGCCATTGCCAGCGAGGAGTACCTGACGGTGCCAGCCGCCCCCCTGATAGCGCCTTCCAGTGCCTCCGCCGCTGAGCTGGATCTCGACCAGGAACTGGCCCTGGCCATTGACGGGGCCCAGGACGATATCGAGGCCGTGCTGGCCGCCGATTCCCCGCCGCCGGCGCCTAAAGATAATGTGATACACCCAGATAGCAATCAGGTCAAGCTGGATCAGGTCAGCCACGATGCCAGGGAAGCCGAAGCGCTGGCCTTTATCAGCCAGGAAGCCGGCATTGCCTCGCACGCCTCTACAGATGCCAAGCCAGCCTTTGATGTAAGTTTTATTGAATCGGCACTTATGCAACTTCTCTAATGGTCCTTTTTTTAAACAGCACAAAACCAAAGAGTCCCACAATCCACAGTCCGCCTCCAACTACCAACACCACCATGTGCGCAGTGCCAGTCCACCGGGCCGAAGCAGTGGCGTTAGTGGGACTGGTGGGGCCAGCGGAACAGGCTTGGCTTCGGGCCATGCTGACAAGGAAAACCAGCCGCGCGAAAGTCGGCGGCGACGTGCTTCCCTGCGTTCCCGCTCGCGCTCCCGATCGCGTTCCAACGAGCGCGCCTTTCGACGCTCCAGGTCCCGCGACCGGCGAGTTAACGAACGTGAGAAAACCCAACGCCAGTTCCGCAACAAATCCCCTCCTGGCTCGCAGACCGATAATCGACATCATGGCCGTCGCAACTTTGATCGCCGGCGCATCGGTGGCAATGTGGACGACCGTCCACGTTTTGGCAACAATAAGAGCCGGCGCTCCCACAGCCGATCCATGTCGCCCGAGCGAAACGTGCGGCGCAACCAGACTTCTCCAGAGCGAGTCCAAGCAGCTCCTGCCAGTCAAGCACCCGCTCCAGTGGCAGCGCCCACGACAGTCGAGCATCCGGCTGCCCATCCTCGCCAGCGCTGTCGGGACTTCGACGAGAAGGGATATTGTGTCCGGGGCGAGACTTGCCCCTGGGACCATGGCATTAATCCGGTAGTGTTTGAGGGAATCAACAACTCGGCCCTCATGATGTCCATGCGTGAGTACAATCCAGATGCGCCTGAAATTTGGGCGCGAGGCGGAGGACCACCGCCAGGAGCTGGCCAGGGACCAGTGCCCCCACCGACGCAGCCGGGGCAGACCACCATTAATCCGTTTAGTGGAAATGTGCGACCCAGCACGCTGATAGGCAGTACTGGGCCCAATCCGATGGGCGTGCCCAATCCCGCTGATTATGCCCGCAATCCAGGTGCACCGCCGCAACCCGCCATGATGCCATTCCCCTTCAATCCCACTGCGGTGACCACGCCGCTGCAGCGTCAACTGATACCCATACCCGTGGTCGATGGCGCTCCCTCGGGTGGCGTTGCCGAGATTGGCAAACGACGATTTGAGCTGGAAGATACGGTGGCCATTGCCGATGTGCCCTCCAAGCGAAAGGTGCCGATCAACAGTCGCCTTGGCCCCCGTGTTAATCCCAACATGCAGCAGCACAACAGTTCGTTGGAACTGAGAAAGGTTCCGCGCGGATTGAACACCATCGCACATTTGAACAACCATTTTGCGAAGTTCGGGAAGATCGTCAACATCCAGGTATCGTACGAGGGCGATCCAGAGGCAGCTATTGTGACCTTCTCCACCCACGCAGAGGCGAATGTGGCCTACAGGAGCACGGAAGCGGTGCTGAACAATAGATTCATCAAGGTCTTTTGGCACAACGACAGCAGCGGTGCGGATGTGGGGCAGATGAACCAAATGGGCGGCGGCGGTGGAGGCGGTGGTCGGAAGAACGCAAGCCAATACCATCTGCACAATGTTCCCGCCGTCCCCACGCCCAATGCAGATAGTGCGAAAATCAGCAACGCCAATCCTCTGACCGAAGCTGGCGCGGGTAACATTGGCACACCGGCGGCAGAACAGGCCAGCACAGCAGCTCCAGCCTCTATGCGTCTCAAGCTAAACACGACGACGCCGGGTGGCGTTGCTGGAGGAGCAGCAGGTGCCGCTGGAGCTGCTGCGGGGAGACCCTTGAATCCGGCTGCAAATGCCGCAAGCCTGCGCAAAAAACAGGAGGAGCAGCAGAAGGCCGTTCACCAGTTGGCCAACGGACTGCGAAAGCGCAAAACGGAACTACTCCAGAGCTACATGAAGCAGATGAAGACTGCCCTGGAACTTGTGGAGCGCATGGACCAACAGGATGCCCAGAGGGGGCCCACCCTGCAGACAATCAAGGTGCTGCAGATGACAATCGACAAGCTACGTAAGGAAATCCAGGCTGAGCAAGATCAGCTACAGGCCCAAATCCAGCAACAACAGCAGCAACAGCAACCGCCCGTGAAGAAAACCAAGGAACAGCAGAAGAAGGAACTGCTGGACATGGAGCTGGAGCTAATCGCCCAGCAGCAGGAGGGCAATGACACCACGGCCATACAGAAGCGACTGGAGGAGCTGCAGCGGAACCTGGGCATCGGCGGAGGCCCAGCGGCGAACAACAAGTCTCCCCACTTCGCAGCAGCTTCCGGTGCAGCCGGCGCTGGCGGAGGACGAAAGCGTCCGAATCTGCCGGAGGGACCGACGCGTGTGGACAGGCGACCTAAAGCCATTGTGGTTACCGGCTTTGCGGCCGAGGAGGCAGACTTTGTCCTGGGGCACTTCAAGGTAAGTTTTACTAAGGAAAAATTAAATTATTTAGATTTAAAAAGTGTTTGTGTCCAACTTAAAAAAATACCAAACTGGGTTTAAAAATTTTACCATTACATAAACAATTATCCCGCATTCTTCCACAGAACTTCGGAGAGATTTCCAAGCATGATGTAGACCGTGAGATTCCACAGTTAATACTCTCGTTTGCAACCCGCTTGAATGCCGAACAAGCTGTGCTCCGGGGCAAAATGTACAAAGACAAGCGACTGCAGGTAAGTGACGAGCAAAGGATACTTTCCAATAGAGGAATATCATGATAATTTTCGGTATGGAACGACAGATTTCGTGGGCACCCGTGGTGACACCCGCACCCGCTCCTATGGCAGCGCCGGTTGAGAAGTCCGCAGCACCAACTGCCATGGCCGCCAGCTTAGAGAACCCCAAACAGTTGATCCAGTCCGTCAGCGAGAGCGAGAGTCTGTTGGGCAGCGATACGCTGCCGGAGCTGCGTCTGGAGGATGAGGAAGAGGACGAGGAGTCCGAGGATCGTTCCTGGCGTCGTTGATGCACCGCCCTGCGCTGCTGAGGCGGCCGGCGAAGCTCCAAGTGGCTCACAAGTGTTAGGAAACCCTTAACATGTATTTGTTGTTATTCTATATCTAACTGCGGAGTGTGTGGCAGTGCAGAGAAGAAAAAAAGATCACAGTGACGCACTCGGCACACTAACTGCATAATTAAACGCTCTAAATATTACTAATATTTTACTGAACATAAGTTATGAATCGCATACAAATACGAATGAGTTTAGCTAAGCCTAAGTCCGAAATAACAAACACTGAAACTACAACTTTAACAGCGAAATGCAACCAACTCCATGGCTCGATGCGAAAAGGCGCGAGGCAAAACATTGGTTAAAAATCGTGAACTACCTTTGTATTTACACATTTTTCACGCTATCCTTTTCTTACATACAAATATATATATATGCAGATATATAATTGTTAAGATTTTATGTTGAGTTAAAAACGATAAAACACTAAAAGAACAAAAAAATTGCAAAAGAAAAAGTCCCCAAAAACAAGCGCAATGAAAAGTCAAAAGAAAAAGAAAAAAATCGTAGCAACGTGAATGCAAAACAGCAAGTTATATAGAGAGATATAATAAATAAAATAAATAGTTTCGTATTTCAGGAAAACAAATGAGTTTTATGGGTGGGTGCGTGGGAGTATTTCCTATTTACAAAAATAGAATCCCGAATCATAATGTTTTGGTATCAAGTTTCACAACTTGTGCAAAAAAAGTGACTGTTAAAAGCTCTATCTGTTAAACGCTCTATCATTGGTGTGACCAGCAGTAGTGTACATACATGCAGGCTGCGTTGCCAACTACCTACAACACACAATCGATATCAGAATATAAAACTACTCATACACTTATCGATGCTTCTCTTCTACTTATGGCGCGATTAAAGTCTTTGGAATTGTTGCATATTTCTTTGAATGAAAGCTGTCTTGAAATGTTTTCGCCCCGTCTTCGTCGCACACAGAAGCTACTGCGCTAATCCCGTCCAGGAAATGAAGTTCCTAAATGTGGCGGAAAAGAACGATGCCGCCAAAACCATTGCTGGATTGCTGTCCAATGGATCGGCACGTCGGGTATGTCAGGACATAAAATAAATATAGTGTTTATTTATCAGATCTAATTTGATACATTACCCATAGCGCGAGGGCTACTCAGTGTACAATAAGGTGTACGACTTTGAGGCTCCTGTGCGCGGTCAGAATGCCAAAATGGTCATGACCTCCGTATCCGGACATCTACAGCAGCTGGAATTCATGGTTTCCTACAAAAACTGGCGTGTGGTGGATCCGCGTTCCCTGTTCGATGCGCCGGTGCGAAAAACCGTTGGTTCGGACTATGAGCCTATTAAGAGAACTCTGGAGCGCGAGGTGCGCGGCTGTCAAGGATTGATTGTCTGGACGGATTGCGATCGCGAAGGGGAGAACATCGGCTTCGAGATTATAGATGTTTGCCGTGCCATAAAGCCTAATCTTACGGTTTACCGAGCCATTTTCTCGGAGATCACAACAGTGGCGGTGCGTCGCGCTCTCCAGCAACTAGGACAACCAGACAAAAGGCAAAGCGATGCCGTGGATGTGCGCACGGAACTGGATCTCCGGACTGGAGCCGCCATCACCCGCTTTCAGACCATGCGTCTCCAGCGATTGTTCCCCGAGAAGATCGCCGACAAGCTCATCTCGTACGGCAGCTGCCAGATTCCCACTTTGGGATTCGTTGCTGAGCGCTACAAGGAGGTGGAGGCCTTCGTTTCGGAACCCTTTTGGAAGATTAAAGGTAGAAGTGCCTTATCGAATTGATAAGTAAAGCTTAATCTTATCGCTTTGTGTTCTTATAGTATTGCACACCATTGACGACTTGACCGTGGAGTTTAATTGGGCACGCAATCGTCTCTTCGATAAGGAAGCATGTGAAAACTACCTTCTACTTTGCCTGGCCGAGCCAGAACCTCGAGCGCTTGTCGAGAGCGTTACCGTCAAGCCTAAGCACAAATGGCGTCCTACTCCGCTGGATACCGTGGAAATGGAAAAGCTTGGCTCAAGAAAACTCAAGCTGTCGGCCAAGGAGACCATGAGCATAGCCGAGAAACTATATACCAAAGGTTTCATCAGCTATCCCCGCACAGAAACCAACCAGTTCTCCAAGGAATTCGCTTTGGCGCCGCTCGTTGAGATGCAAACGGGTCACCCCGACTGGGGAGCCTTTGCACAACGAGTGGTGGAGTGGGGCCCGAATCCCCGCAATGGCAACAAGTCGGATCAGGCGCATCCTCCCATTCACCCCACCAAAATGGCGGACAGTAAGAGATTATAAATTGAATACCAACATCTAACAATATTGTAATTATATATTTTAGATTTGCAGGGAAACGAGGCTCGGGTCTACGAACTGGTGGTCCGACACTTCCTTGCCTGCGTGAGCAAAGATGCGGTTGGTTCCGAAACGCTTGTGCACATCGACATTGCCGGTGAGAAGTTTACGGCCAATGGTCTTGTTATTCATGAGCGCAACTACCTGGACGTTTACGTATATGACAAGTGGAGTGCCAAACAGATCCACCACTATGAAAATGGTCAGCGTTTTGAGCCCACGGAAGTGTCGCTGCACGAAGGAGCCACCACTGCGCCGCCTTTGCTGACTGAAGCGGATCTGATTGCGTTGATGGAGAAGCACGGGATTGGCACAGATGCCACGCACGCTGAGCACATAAACACGATCAAAGAGCGCGGCTACATCGGAGTGCTGGACAAGGGCTTCCTGGTGCCCGGCGTCATAGGCATGGGTCTGTACGAGGGCTATGATGCCATGGAGTTGGCTTTGGCTAAACCCCAGCTGCGAGCGGAGTTCGAATCGGATCTGAAACTAATTTGCCAAGGGCAAAAGGACCCCAAAGTGGTGCTGGCCGAACAGATAGTCAAGTACAAGCAGTCCTACCAGCAGATTACCGACAAGATCACCGCCATGGATGCGAAGATAGCGGCTCGCATTAATGAAAGGCCATCTTCTGGTCAGGAGGGAGCCGATGCAGGTGGTCAGAATCAACCCACCATGCAGACCCTCTTTCAGTGCCCAAAGTGCAATGTGGCGCCTTTGGCTCTCAAGGCAAAGAAGAACCAGCAGGGTTGGTTCATTAGCTGCACAAACTTCCCCGACTGCAAGAACGCCATCTGGCTGCCAACGGAGTGCAAGGATGTGACCTTGCTGGACGAGTGCTGTCCGAATTGCGGCGATAGCCATCGAATGCTCAAGTTCCGGTTCGCCACGCCCTACTACCGAGGGGTGTTCAATACGCCAAGCGGTTGGTACAAGACTTGCCTGCCCTGCGACAATCTATTTCGCACCACCTTCAACATCAATTTGGATTCGGTGAAGAGAGTTGGTGGCATTGTGGGCGAGGCGAGAGGAGGAGGCTGGGGTCCCGGACCAGGACCGGGAGGCGGTGGTGGAGGAGGTGGCTCTGGCGGAGGAGGAGGAGGAGGTTCTGGCGGAGGAGGGGGTGGTTCAGGCGGTTGGGGCAGCGGTGGCAGGGGACCAGGTGGCGGTGGTTCGAGCTCTGGAAGCGGACCAGCTAATCCTTCAGGTGGAAAGCAAAAAAAACCTGACAACGGACCTAAAAAACCTGCAACCAAAAAACCTCCCAGCGAACCGAAGCCTAAAAAGGCTCCAAAAGCAAACGCAACTAAAAACGCAAGTAATAAATCCTCCGGAAGCTTACGCAGCTATTTTACCAGTGCATCTGCAACAAATTCACCGACCAGCGGAATGGATGGATTCTTCGATAGCAATGATGGTTTCGAAGAAGCCATGTTGGCTGCTGCGGATTGTGTAGAATCAAGTCAATCCCAGCCCAAACCCAGCAACTTAGTGCCACTAGATGATGACATTGCCGCTGCCTTCGCTGCCGACGATGATGCCGATTTCGAGGCTTTGGTAAATGGAGGAAATGCACCCGATCAACTGGACACAAGCCTGTCGCAATGGGTGCGCGAGCAGGATGCAGCTGATGAAAGACCCATAACTTGGGGCAGTCGAGAGCGGTATGGCACGGCGGCTCCTACTCCTCCGCCGAAACCGGCAGCCAAACGACCAAGATGGGGCAGTGACGAATGGAACACTCCTCCCCCAGCGGCAACCGAACCGGAAACAGTTCTGTGCTCCGGATGCCAGCAGCCAGCCCGCCAGCACACCGTGCGCAGGGATGGACCCAACCAGGGCAGGCAGTTCTACAAGTGCCCCAAACCGGATGAGTGCAAATTCTTTCAGTGGGCTGATGATCCTGCATCCTCATCTCGAAGTAGTGCCGCTCAGACGACAACTAGTGCATCTTCCTGGGGCTCCAATCGAGTGGCCACATTGCAGAGCACTAGCCAGAGCAGCTATCCGCGTGGCCAAACAGGCATGCGTTCCAACTCAAGCAGCACGGTCACCATAACCCAAACGAAAACGAAGCAGGAGAGGAGTGCCACGACCACAACTGCAGGCGATGGGCAGGAGGTGAAGTGCAATTGTGGTCAGGTGGCTAGCAACTTGACCGTCCGAAGGGATGGACCCAACCAGGGCAGACCATTCTTTGCCTGTCCCACGCGGGAAAAGTCTTGCGGCTTCTTCAAGTGGGGTGACGAGGACCAAAACCAAGGTTAGAATATTATTTCTCCGTTTAAACCTTAAAGATCCAACTAATGATGTAATATTTTGGCCAGGTCCCAGCAGCAGTTCCAGTTCATCTTGGGGATCGGGCAATCGAAATCCACCAGGACGTGGTCAATCCTCGGCTTCCACATCGGATGGTCCAAAAACACGTAAATGTGGCCTTTGTCGAAAGGAGGGGCACACCCGAAACAAATGTCCTCGCAAGGATGACTTTGATATGTAGATGAGGAATACCTGCCGCAAAACAGATTTGCAAGAAGCAAAAATGTATTTTCATGTACATTGCATAACAGATAGATTTAGTTTTTTTATTTAAAAGTATCTTTTGAAAACATTTGATTAAAGCCTTATGAAGCCAAGAAAAAGTAGTGTCGACGAATTAAAATGCTGAATTTATAATTTAAACCATTTATTGGAGCGAGCTTAAATTATTGCGTAGATGAGAAGGATTTGGATCAGGTCTGCGTATCCCCTCAGTACATAAACACTTATAGCGAGGAACGGAAATGTAAAATACACACAGTTATATAAACTTATGTACAAAGTGTTTAAACTATACCATAAATAGCTTGTATAACTTTTTTAAGCGAGACTTGAATGTCAAAGATACTTGAAACAGGTTTAAAATGAAATGTTCGGGCACTCCCAGTGGAATGTCATTAATGCCTATAAATATATATCATATGTATAAGTGTTACTAAACCTAATTTGGATAAACGCTTGAACGCTTTTTACATTGCATTTTCGTTTTCGATACATATATCATAAATATATAATAGGTTCTTTTTATTGGAAGAAGTAAAATTCGTTAGAAAACACTCATACATATTGTATTTTTGTTTTTTTCTTTTTTTGTTTCAAGAAGTTCAATTGTTTTAAAATGTATATGTATAAATAATTGTTAATAAATAATTTTTTAAATAAATTACTGAACAGTTTGAGATGCATTGGAACGGTAGCGAGTCTGTGGAAAATACCATTAAGTACAGTACGTTTTTGCTTAAATTAAAGACAATATATACGATGTTGAGCCTAAAAAGGGCAGTATGAAAACATGCATAGTATCATTTGGAATGGGTTAAGTACAGCTCAACAGATCAGATATGGAGACATATTTCCAATTCCTGTATTTCATTTGGATCGTATTTGTTGGATTAATTGCTTAAGGAAGTTCTGGTTTCCGAAGGGGAGAGCAATTTCGAAGAGTCAGAATGGATTCGGAAACCGAGCTTAGTTTTAAATGGATTTGCATTTAGATTTCGACTTCCGGCGTGAACTGGCGTCAGAAGTAGATCTCCTCCTCCTCGGGCTTGGCTCGCGGAGCTTGTCCGGTGGCCACGCCAATTCCCGTCGTTCGGGCAATTCCCGTCCTGCTGCTCGTCGGTGTTCTTGAATAGTGGGCGGCGGATTCTGTCCGGGTTACGGCGACCGCAGTGGGCGTCGTCGTGGTCGTTGTCGTTGTCTGCTGGATGATCGCCGGCGAGCTTCCTGTTCGAGAGTGTTGCGCCACCAGGCCCGTTGGAGTCGTTGTATTATTGGAGGGCGTGGCGGTAATGGTTCTCCGGTCGCCCAGCTTGAGGGGAAACATCTGCTGCACACTGCCGGAGGACGAGGTATACGGCGCCGGAGAGGCGCTGTTGAAGCTGGCCGACTTGTCCACGCGAGAACTGGAACTGCCGCTGGACGAGAGCGAGGAGAGCTTCATGGGCAGCTTCTGTTTCACCAACGTGGAGTTGGCTTTCGGTGCATTGTTGGCGCTGAGCAGGTTCACCGGCGGCGTCTTGCAGCTGGATGGACCACTCAGCCACTTCTCCTTGCGGCGATCCACGGTTCCAGCGACACTGGGTGTACTGCTCCCCGTGCCAACAAATCCGTTGTCCGTCTCATGGTTGTCATCGATCAGTGAAATAGGCAGGGGATGGTTGGTGTTCACCGGAGGCAGCGGAGTACTCGGCGAGAGCAGCAGGCCCTGACTGGAGAGCAGCTCCATCTTGCGGTACAACTGCTCCCGCTGCTGACGCACATCCTCCTGCTCGGCCTTGATCTCCTGCTGCAGCTTGAGCTGCTGGGCCCGCATCTCGGCGAGCTCCTCCTGCTGCTGCTTCTGCTGACGCTGCCAGGCGGTCTTCTCCTCCTGCTGCTTGTCCTGCAGGTTGCGCAGTTCCTCCAGCTGATCCTTGTGCGTGTAGGCACTGGATCGCGGACTCTCCCGGTAGAGGGCCAACTGCAATTGCAGGTTGTGGATGGTGGTCATCTGCTGCGAAATGATGCAGAGCAGGGTCTGCAGATGGTGCGACACCTGCAGCACGGCGTAGTTGTTCTCCAGCGGCTGTTCCGCCACGGAGCCACTGCCGCTCTTTGGTTCCCGCTTCTCCTCCAGCTCCTGGAGACGGGGCGTCAGCACCAGTTTGGAGGCCAGCTTGCCGCGCTTCTCATCGAAGCCGGCGAACGTTTCCGCCCGCTTGGGCAATGTGGGTGAGGCGTACTGCTCGCTCTGCTTCTCGCCCACGCTGCTGAAAGTTCGGGACACCGGTTGTCCCGTGGCCGCCGTGTAAATTGTGGACGCCAGCTGGCTGATGTCCTGCACCGTATTGAGCACTCTACGCCACAGCTCGGCCGTGTCACAGTCGGCACTGACGAGATCCTTGTAGGAGCCAAAGGCCGCCAGGAAGTTGGCTGCACTGCTGTTCGAATTCGAGCCGGAAACATCTCCAAAGGGCTGCTGCTCCTTGAGCAGATTAAACTGGAGCATCAGCTTCTCCTCCAGCAGGAGAGCCTGCTCGATGTCCTTCTGTCGCATCTTCTCGATGGTCTCCCTCTTGTTGACGCCAATTCGCAGCTTCTCCTCCGCCGTCAGATCCTCCGCCTCGATGATATCCGTGGCTGGACAGTCGAGCACCGCCTGCCGGATGGTCTGGATCCAGGTGTTCTTGTCCTTGGGCGTCTGCACCTTCAGCTCGTACATCTCGGGGAAGTCCGGATTGGAACTGATGATGTATATCCCTCGGGACTCGGTGCCCGCCTTCTCGCGGATGAGCAACTTCTGGAGAGGCACCACACCCGCTTTGTGTTCCGGGGTGAAGAAGGAGTACTTGTTGTGGCCGGAGTTCTCGCTGAGGAAGCACAGGCAGTCGGTGAGCACCACCACCATGACGAGCTGCGTCTTGGCCCTGCCCTGCATCAGGGTGGCCAATCCATCGAATTTCAGACGACGTCGCGACTCCACGCCGAGCTCCGTCTTGCGGAAGGGTTTGTTCTTGTAGATCGCAAAGGATTTCGCATCCACGCGACCATAAATCTCCAACTGTCGCTCGCGTAACTCCTTCTCCGCCACACACGCATCCACATCGACCAGCAGGGACTTCACCAGATTGAGGGCATGCTGCAGCTTGTCCGTCTCCAATTTGTTGTCCCTGGCGCTCTTCAGCAGCGGTTCGATCAGCAAGGGATACTTGGTGAGGCGCTGGGTAACGAACAGGATGCACTCGGGAATGCCCTTCTTCTTGAGCAACGGATTCTGCAGACAGTGCTTGTACCACTCGGCGAAGCTGGGCTCGGTGAGGCAGAGCTTGAACTGATCCAGAGCACTTCGGTGGTTTGCGCAGAACTCGCCGTAGGCCAACCTCAAGCACTGCGCCTGCTCCAGAGAAAAGAAGTCCAACAGAATGTCCGCGATGCTGTCCACCATTGGCTGCTCCCGCTGCTTGAGCCGCAACTGGCGCAGGAAGCAGGTGTGCAGATCGGTGAGCTGCTGCAGGCGCGGAAACATGCTGTTCAGGTTGAGCGAGGGGAAGTGCCGCTCCAGACTCTCCACGAACACCTTCTGCATGACGACCAACGTCTGGCAGTGGTGCTTCTCGGTCATGATGAACTCATAGATGTGCTCCTGCCGCTTGATCTGCAGCTCCTTGAGCGACTTGAGCAGCTCCCTGGGCACATTGGGCGTCCACGAGTCGTGCTCCTTGAGCACAATGCCCAGAACGGGATCTGCACCCAAATCCTGCGCTTCGATGGGCGGCTCGTTGAGGAACTGCAGATCGGAACGTATCAGCGGCTGATCCTCCGGATTGCTGTAGGTGTTGGCATCCGGCCCGTCGTAAAAGTCCTGGCCCGATGCCATCTTCTTCACCTTGCACTCAAGGTGGTGTTCCTTGATCTGCGCCAGTGTGATGGCCGCTCCACACACGTCGCACGCACTCAGTTGTCCCCCGACTAATGACTTCGTTTTCGCTTTGGGCTTCTTCTTGCGGAAGAAGATGGAACCTCGTTTGGGCCGCTTCTCTACGTTGTCGTAGACCTCGATCTTTGCGTGGGCGCGCAGCAGGCTTTGGTTCTCATCCTCGCTGTCGGTGAGGTGACGGGCGATCGCCTTGATGTCCTCCTTGGCGATAATCGAGCTCGTCGATATGCTCTTTTGCAGCGGTATCCGGCTGATTATTTCCGTCGCCAGGCTCCGCTTGGCCGCAATCCTCTCAAAGTCACGGGCCAACTCCGCCTCGTTCAGCGAGTGGGTGGAAATGCCTGCCGATGATCAAAGTTAGGGACTTGGTTAGTAAGTAATAATCACTGGGGTTCGCCATTCGGGTGGAGCTACCAATGCCAAAGCTCTAGAGCGGCCTGCAGATAAGGGGCTTTTGTGGAATTCCTTATCGAAATCGACACTAACTTGGTAGCAGCCCCTACACTTTGCTTCAGCGGTATAACTATTCCAAACAAACAGTTCGTAAATGGTGATTTTAAAGTGATTAATATATTTGTATCTTAGATTTATAAAATCCAATAGTAAATGGTAATTGATTTCAGTTATTGAGTTGCTATTTATAACATTTTAAATGATTTTAAAACCCTTTAACAGAATTGTGTAGGAGATCAATGATTCTCAGTAGGTATGAATTATATATTTTCCGGTTTTATAATTACTTTTCCACCTTATTCATAAAAAACAAACCCACCTGGGGTTATAAAGATAAAAGGGAGCTACATTACTTTTTCAAATGGCTTCTTTCATTCATTCCAAACTCACATTCCAGGTTTGAGTACTTTTCACAGACACTTGATACTAATTTGAATTTGTATAAATAAAAGATTCCCAGACTAGAAAAATGGTTTGGCTACCCAGTTCTACAAGCCCAACGTTGAGCAAAATTCTAATGAAAACGTAGCGTAACTTTGAAATTAGTTGAATACTAAAATATTCAAGGTAATTACCGCTGTTCCAGATTTCTTCGCTCCACTCGTCGTATTCACATTTGAGGTCATTAAACTATCTATGCAACTAGAAAATCTTCGTGCATGGCACACTAACCCAGATAGCAAACCTTAGCATAAACAACCTACCTCCAGTGCTGTTCCTCGCCGACCTTCTCCGCTGCTCAGTGACGCGGATGGTCTCCTGCTCCTCGCTGTCCAAGCTGGACAGGCTGACGCTCTTGTTGGTGCAATCGCCACCGCCACTGGCATCGTCCACAGCTGTCCAGGACTTTCTGCGGTCCGTGTGGAGAAGCAGGCACTGTTGCGGTGCCGTCGATGTCCACATGGCGTAGTTGGTACCAGCAGTGGTGGGCCCTGTTCCCGCGCCCGTAAGATCGGGCAGCGAGGCACTCAGCAAAGCCGCGTTGAGTAGTCCATGATTTGCCAAATTACCATCCTGCATGTGTTGAGTGGTTGAGGAGGAGTTCTTCATCTGGACTACTGTTTCCCGGATATTCTGCAGCTGGCAGAGCGTGTCCTCGAATATGTTGTTGTATTTGGAGGCCAAGGCTGGACTGTGTGGTGTAACATTGATTGTGGGTATCATGTTGTTGTTGTTAATGTTGCTAGCAGGATTGGATGTGGGAGCAGGACCAGTACAAGAAGCACTAGCAGAAGCGGGAGCAGGAGCAGGTGCGTTTATCACCGGTATGCAGTAGTTCTGACTTTCAATCGAGACCCCCACACCATTGACCACCGCTTCCGAGGATTCACTGCAGTTGGAGTTCAAGAAATCGGTGACAACATCATTATCGCTATCCTCGTCCATAATAATGGGCTACCCTTTTCTTTTTCTTTCTTTTTGGGCCAAATTTCTTTTGTTTAGCTGGCTTTTTTTTACAGCTGGGTGCCTAGAAAAAGAAAGTTTTAGTATACAACGCACACACACACACTCATTGAACGGGTACATGTATATACATACACAGCGAATAGCACTTGTGTATGCACTTGCTCTTTGCTATTTATTGATTTTCCCGCCACCCCCCGAAAACACCTTGTTGCGCGGGGTAAATTGTTGCGCCTTTTTCGAAGGACGTCACTTGTCCTTGCACCAACAACAACAAAGCAGCACTAGCGAACGACAACAACGACACAGCAGTAGCAACGACAATAGAAGTGCGTGGGCGGGAGTGTATTGCAATTTAAAACGAAATAACTGAAGCTGGGTCCGCGGGCGGGGAGGGGTGACTTTCCGTTGCACTTAATCGAAAACTAAATATAACCTTAAGCTAATGAGATTTGCCAGCGTTTTAACATTTAAATGCGATTTGAGTAGTGCTGGACCGGAACACGATACTATCGATAATTTTCACGATCCAGATTCTAGACACGCGCTGAGTGACCGTGCTTTAGGTCAACGACAATTTATACCTATCGATAAATGTTAATCAGTGTTGGTTAGCACTTACCTTCAAATTTGAATTTAAAATGTACATATAACGGAGTTTGTTATAGAATTAAAATAGAGGTATGCACCTTCAAAATCTGATTAAAATTAGAAAAGTTATGGACTTACAGCTCAAGTGAATATCAGCTTCAGCTTGCCGATGCTAGCTTCCTTTCATGTTCAGATTATATATGGTTAGCCTCGGTGGCGGACTTAGAATTTTAATCTGGGGGGGTTTTCGAGTGAAAAAACATTTTTCAGTGTAAATCTAGTCTGTGGAATTTATATGTTAATATCGGGAATAAACTTCGATTACCCAGTCAATTTACAGGTTTTAGTTCATAAAATATGTATTAATTATTAAAATTTTTAATATTGTTGCATTGATATTAAATAAAATTAAAGGTGTCGAAGCTAAGTTAAATATTATATTTTAATGTGCTTGTGCTCGCTGTAAATAAATTACATAAGTATTTATAATAAATGTTCTTAAAAGTGTTCCATGTCATACTGAATAAAGAGAATTATATGTATAATAATAGAGCCAAATATGGTAAAAATTGAGCTAGGACAGATCTCGAATAGTCCCATGATTTCAACTTTTAGAGGGTTTCGCACCAGCTGCAACTGGAGGCTGTCGAACTAAAAAAAAATAAATTCAGATACAAAATTTTTTATAAGCTTAATTGAGCTTACCGATTGCTCGAGGCGTTCGTCTAATCGAGAAGCAAACAAGGTTCGTTTCTCCAACAGATTTCTCATCTCCTTTTGCTCATTAATGACGGAAACAGTAATAAAAATATTGATAGAGGCTTCCAAGTGTAAAAACAAGACACCAATGTTTTTAACTGATACAAAGATACTCCATTGACCATATTTAAGATCATAGTAGAAGAGATAAATGCTGAACACAGACCATATAAAGAATCCGCATATGTACACTGCGTTCTGTACCCCAAGCAACTCCGTAAAACGCGTGAAAACATATTGTAGCTGGCTCTGGGTTTTAGCAATATCATCCAACTGATCCGAAAGGTTGCAGCATCTGGTAATAATAGTACCCCTTCTCTGGGGAAGGTAACTCAGCGTCTCACTTTCTTGAATGATTGGTCGGAGTTTATTATTTAAGAGCTTATACTGAGCCTGTACGAAGAGCACCAAAAGAGTATAGTGCATTATGGCCATTTTGTTAATGACCAAACACCACATGTTCACATAAGACTTCGTAATAAGTTCGCTTCTTAAACGACCCAATACAAAAATGATTATTAGGAGATGCAAGAGGTCAGCAGCAAAACTGGTGAAGATCTTTGAAGTAAGCCAAAAGCGGGAGATTCTGGTTACTGTCGGATGGGCCAGATTAAGGCGAATAATTTTTCTAACGAGCTGCATCAGGTTTTTGCGCTGGCGCCATCTATTGATCATCGTAAGATACCCTAAAATTTATTTTATTGTAGTTAGTCTTTTACTTATTTTAAATACCTTCAATATTCCCCAGAAGTGTCATAGCGACGATTACAAACGCGCGCAGTTTGTATCCATTTCCAAATAAGAAACCGAAGTCAAATTGATGGGTGATAGTATAAATAAAGCTAGTAATAACCGCGATATTGATCGTCATGGCATAAAGAGTACATCTCCATGTCGTGAAGACGCGGCCAGTTCTAATGTCGAACACAAAGTTGTTTAAGCCGATCAAATAACTATATAAGTTAACTGCCTTCAGCAGGAAACGAACACAATCGACCATTTTGTAGGACAAAAACAGACTGTGTTACTTTTTCTAAGCGAAGCGAAAAGTAAATTAAATTGCGGGGACTGACAGTGAAATATGGAAATAATTACGGAAGTTTTTCCCATCAGATTTTAAAGGGCTGCATGTATTGCATTATTTAATTATTTTTATATAGCTTTTGGGGTCGCATAAAACGGTTTACAACGGGTTAAATGTCTGTCGTACAGACCTTAAGCACTTCTTTAAAAAAGAAAAAGACCTTTGCAGACATCAAATATGTCGAAACAATTACATAAAGGCTAAACAACGTCGAAGCTTTTCCATTTTCCATATTTTCAACGATTGGTCGTATGACAGCTATATAATATAGTTGTCCGATTTTGATAAAATTAAATTCGTAATTTGAAAAACAACGATGTTATATTATAATTTCATATCCGTTATTTCTATATAGATTTTTCGATCTTTCCTGAGGCAATTATATGATAACGTAGTCGGATCTTAATGAAATATTTTTTGTCGATTATTAAACAACTCCATATTTTAAAAATCATGCTCGTAGGATAAGAACCAACGATGTTATGAATTTATTTTCACTAATTCTGTATATATTTTTCGATCTTTTCTATGGCAGCTACATGATATAGCAATCTGATTTTGATAAACTTAAACTCTTACGAAATTTTACATTTTCAAGGTTCGGTTTATTTTTGAATGTGTTTGTGCTCGCCGTAAATAAGATACATTTTACATACAATTTTCTTAAAAGTGTTCGAAGTCATATTGAATGAGGAGTATTGAATGCATTTGAACAGAGCCAAATATGACAAATGTGTAGCTGCGGCAGATGTCGAACATTCCCATGACATCAAAGTTTAGAGGGTTTCGTACTAGCTGCAACTGGAGGCTTTCAAACTAAAAAAAAATTAGTTTTTAAATAAAGTTAGGAATTGGCACTGGGTTTTAGCAATATCCTCCAACTCATCCGAAAGGTCGCAGCATCTGGTAATAACGGTACCCCTTCTCTGGGGAAGGTATCTCAGGGTCTCCTGAATAATTTGTCGTAGTTTCTTGTTTAAATGCTGGCACTCTACCTTAACGAACAGCATTAAAAGATGATAGTGCATTATGGCCATATTGTTAAAGGCCAAAGACCAAAAGTACAACATAGTGAACATAATTATAGGTAAATTTATAGTCAGTTCGCTGCTTATGAAACATAATACAATCATTGCTAGTACGAATCGTGACAAGTCAGTTGCAAAGCTGATTAAGATCTTTAAAATAAGCCACAAGCGGAATAATCTTTTTACTTGCGGATGAGCAAGATGAAGGCGAAGGAGATTATGTACCAGCTTCTATTAGGCATCGTAAGAAACCCCGAAACTTGATTTATTTTAGTCTGTTTTAAATCTTTTCTTCATACCTGCAGTTATCCTTAAAAGTGTCAAAGTGATGAGGACAACAATGTTTAGTTGTTGTCCTGTTTTAAATCTTAAATCAAAATCAAACTGAGTTAAGCAATAGATAAAGCTTGCAATAATCCCGACGTTGATCGTCATGGCATAGAGAGTACTAAACCATGTTGTGAAGACGCGACCTGTTCTGGCGACCACCTCAAAGTTGTTTAAGCCGATCAAATGACTATATATTATATGTTAACTGCCTTAAGCAGCAAACGAACACATTTGAAAATGGTGTAAAACTTTATAACGGTTCCTCAGCGAAGCTAATTCAATTGCCGGTGTGACTTTGAAATATGGTACCAATTCTGAGGATGTGTCCGATCAGATTTGAAAAGTAATAAAGACGGCTCATTTGAAATGCATCCCGATACGTAATAGGGATACCTTATAGGGTCGTAGGTGTATACATTTAAGTATGTATTGGAACTCTTTTAGCGTAATTAAATTTCTCCGATGGCTGGGTAATTTGTGCAGGTTTCCTCTTAGTAAAATAGTCCTTGAATTCAGGAAGATATTAAAATTTAAATGTAACTCCAAAATATTCCATTTCAAATTGAATAAGGTTTTTGGAAGGCATTATTAACGAACTCAAATGGGGGACGAAAAGTTGAGCGGAGTTCGTAACAACTGCAGCAGCATGCTCTCAAGCTGTAGTTAAAAATATTAAAATATTAGTGATTGTTAACTTAACATATGATATTCCTCCATTTTTCTTTTTCTTTTATTTTTCTTTTCTGTCGATAATAATAAATCCAATATCACCAATTGTTCAATTAACTTTTAATGAATTTAAGGATTATATTTTAGTTTAATTTCTTAATGTGTTTGTGCTTGCTGTAAATAAAATACATAAATTTGACAACACTTATTCTTAAAAGTGTTCGAAGTCATATTGAATAAGAAGTATTGAATGCATCAGTATAGAACTAAATACGGTAAAAATTGAACTGCGACTCATTTCAAATATTCCCATGACTTCAATTCTTAGAGGATTTTGTAAAAGCTGCAACTGGAGGCTCTCAAACTAAAAAATATATCAAATTTTGTTTAAAAGTAATACATTAGATTATTTAAGCTTACAGATTGCTCAAGGCGTTCATCCAATCGAGAAGCAAACAAGGTTCGTTTCCCCAACAGAGTTTTCATCTTCTTGTTTTCTTCAATGAGAACAAAAGTAATACACAGATTGACAAAGGAATCCAAGAAGTAGAAAAAGCTACAAGTGTTTCCAATTCCAACACTAATAGCCCTTTCACCATATTTGAGATCATAGTAGAAAAGATATATGATGATCACAGAGAATATAAAGGATGTGCATATATTCACTGCACTCTGTATGCCAAACAATTCATTGAAGAGCGATAAAACTGTTTGCAGCTGGCTCTGGGATTTAGCAATATCCTCTAACTGATCCGAAAGCTCGCAGCATCTGGTAATAACAGTACCCCTCCTCTGGGGAAGGTAACTCAGGTTCTCGCTCTCCTGAATAATTTGTCGGAGCTTGTTATTCAAAAGCTGATATTGTGACTGTACGATAAGCATCAAAAGATGATAGTGCATTATAGCCAAATTAAAGATTGCCAATAGCCAAATGTGCACAAGAATATTCCAAATTATTTCGCTCCTCACGCGACCTAATAAAAAAAGAAGTACTAGGAGTCGCACTAGGCCAATACTGAAGCTGGTGATGATCTTTGAAACGAGCCAGAAATAGGATGATTTGCTTAGTTGCGGATGAGCCAGATAAAGGCGGAGGAGCTTTCTAACGAGCTGCATCAGTTGTTTGCGCTGGTGCCATCTATAAAGCACTGTAAATAACCCTAAAATTTATTTTATTGTAGTTTATCTTTTACTCATTTTATATACCTGCAAAATTCCCCAAAAGAGTTATAGCAGCGACTAAAAACCTGTGCAGTTGATGTTCACTTTCAAAGAGGAAATCCAAGTTGGATTGTTTTGTGCACGTATAAATATAGATAGTTATAAGCACAATGTTGATTGTGATTGCGCAGAGAGTAGTAAACCATGTTGTGAAGACGCGACCTGTTCTGGTGTCGACCTTAAAGTTGTTTAAGCCGATCAAATGACTATATATATTAACTGCCCTCAGCAGCAAACGAACACAATCGACCATTTTGAAGAACTAAAACCGACTTTTTTACTTTCCCTAAGCGAAGCGAATAGTAATTGCAATTGCGGGGACTGACATTGAAATATGGTAGAATTTTTCCCACCAGATTATAAAGGACTTTATTTACTGTTTTTTTGATTAAATATGTAATCTACCTCGGGGTTGCACAAGAAATATTACGGGTATCAATATGTGTAAAAAGAATTGCTGATGACTATATCAGTTCAGTAATTAGGTATATTTTTTTATTTATCGAATTCATCCAGCTCTCCGAAAGTAAATACAACTTAAAAGTATTCCAAATCAAATTGAATTAGTATTATAGAATGCAGTACTCCTGATCCCAACATGGCCATTGAAGTCTCGCGTGTGATGACATATGTCTTGAGTATGTCGATTTTAAGCGGGTTTCGTATCAACTGCAGCTGCATTTTCTCAAACTGTTTTTAATAATAATTAAATTATGGTTTTAATTCAGATTGTGGCCTAGAGCATCTTACAGCTTCCTCCAGACGAATATCCAAACGAGAGGCAAAGACGGTTCGCTCCCCCAAAAGACGTTTTAGCTTTTTGTGGTCGTCAAGTAGATTAAGAGTAATAAATAGATTGAGAAAGGCATCAAAGTAGTAAAAGAAGTACCAAATGCAGGTCAGAATCATTGACGTCAGGGACATATCCAGATTATCATATCCAGTTTTGAAGATACTGTACGAAAGGTAAACAGTGGCTATCGAGAATATGTAGTACCCACTATAAACCATTAGCCCCTGGATGCCGAGTGCCTTACTCAACTGGGTCACCATTGACACAAGCTCACTTTGAAGCTGAGCTATATTGTCCAACTTATCGGCGAGATCGCAACATCTAGTCATGAAAGCACCCCTCCGCTGGGGAGGGGAAGGTCACTTAACTTTTTGCACTGATCGATCACCTGCCGCAGCTCTGTGTTGAGTAGATTATAATAGGCCCGGGCGAAAAGAATTGCCAGATAATATTCCGTAATGGCAAGGTTTACAATTGCTGACATCCAGAGCTGTAGAAATATCTCCAAGGTTTGATCGGGCTTCGTTCGTTCCCCCCATGCAATCCAGATGGATATCATTTGCAGCAGGTCAGTGACAGATGTAATTCTGCATCACCTGCGGTCTTTGCAGAAACAAACGAAGAACTTTTCTGGCGAACTGCATCATCTGGGTTCTTTGCGGCCATCTGCTGAGGACGGTGGTCAGTCCTAAAATAAAATAGATGTACTACTTCATTTTACCTAGAATCTTTGGACTTCAAGATTCAAATATCAAACCTGTTAATATCCTCAGTCCCAAAACAATAGCGAGAACATACTTTAGCAACATATTTGACTTGCCAAAGATTGTCCACACATTAAGTTGCCTAAATGACATTATTATCAATATAATTAAAATTATGGCGTGGATACCGGCGGCATAGACCGTGCTTCTTGTGGATGTAAAAACGTGACCTGTCTGCCAGTCGAACTCGAAGTTCCTAACCCCGATTAGGTTTCCATATAAGTAGACTGCCTTTAATAAACAACCGATCCATTCGACCATTTTGGCTAAATAAAAAGGTTTGTTGAGCTGTCTACGTTACGGTTAGCTAATTTGATTAAATCAATTAGTTACTTAATTAGCAGTTATGGGCTAATTATACCCTTGCGGAGCAAAAGGGTATTATAATTTCCGTCAGAAGTTTGCAACGCATTGAAGGAGACACCTCAGACCCCAAAAACTATATATATTCTTGATCAGCATCATGATCTGAATCGAAATACGTCTGTACGTCTGTCCGTCTGTCTGTCTGCCGGATCGGCCGACGATATCGGATAGCTCCAATACGAGAGAATGAAATAAAAAATTCTTACACCGTTGTTTTTGATCAGATCGACTTCATTTCTTCCAGATGACGATTTCTAACTACTATTGAATTTCGGATTAAATTTCATGAAAATCGGATAAGTCTATCATATAGCTGCCATAGGAAAGATCGAAAAATATATATATAAATAATAGAAAAAAATATATAACGTCGTTGTTTTTAATTCCACGAGCATGATTTTTAATATATGGAGTTTTTTAATAACCCTTGAATCCAGAAAAAATGTTTATAAAAATCGGAATACTATATCATATAGCTGCCATAGGAAAGATCGAAATATATATAAAGAAATAATGAAAATAAAATTATAACATCGTTGTTTTTCATCTGACAAGCATGATTTTTGGAATATAGAGGAATATAATTTCTAACGACTCTTAAATTACGAATTAAATTTGATCAAAATCGGACAACTATATCATATAGCTGCCATATGAGCAATAGTTGAAAATATGGAAAACTAATAGAAAAACCGTCATGGCTTCAATGTTGTTTGGCCTCTATGTATTTGGTTCGACATATTTAATGACTGCAAGGGTATATAAACTTCGGCTTGCCGAAGCTAGCTTCTTTTTTCAAAAAACAAATATTTTTCAATGGTAATTTGTCTGTTGTTGAGGCAAAAAACGACTTGCAGCCAAACAAAGTATAGTTTTGGAAAGCAGATAAGCCCAACTATCTATTCCACCGAATGCAATTTAACTTATCTTTGAGTAAGTTGATTGAAACAGATCAAATGTGAATGCCATCGGATAGGAAATTTTATTTCGAATTCAACGATGTATGCCATTCCACATATGAAAGAGTACTTCCTCAGATATTGAAAAAAATTGTAATGCTTAGTGGTAATTACTATGTGCTTATGAAAGTATACTGGTGAAAGTGATAGCAGTAGGTACGCACAAGCCGTACCAAATAAAAATGCAATTAATATTGCAAAAAAGTTTTTCAGTATTAACCTAGTCTGTGGAATTGATATGTTAATCTCGGGAATTAAATTTATATCTGTTCATTTATATCTAATAATAATAAAATTATTCAATTATAAACGAATAGTTTCAAATCAATTTTACCGCTCTGCAAATGCAAATGGGTAAAATTTGGCGAGTTAGGTTCGTTTTTTTCGGGGTTTTGGATCCCAAAAACCCCTCCGTAAATCCGCCACTGGTTGGCCTGTTCTGTTGAAATACCCCCAAAATATGTGTGTTATTCGACGAACATTTATTATTTAGTAAAATGATGGCCGTGCGATACAGTACAGGGCTACAGTTACGTTACAGCTACAGTTAAGTACAATTGAATCGCAAGTACAGTTATGTCGTTACTAGTCGGTAAACGCGTGTCTGTGCGCCTGGAATGTGCATTAGTTAGTAGGTAATATGTATTAGTATCACTCTGTGGCAACGTCCTCCCCGGGAGACCACTCGCTCTAGCCCATGGTGGTGGCCAGATGCTTGTTGGAGGTCACGGATCCACCTCCGCCGCCGCCGCCACCGCCTCCTCCTCCGCCGGCGGGACCATCGTTGGTCACACATGTGGGAATGGCACTCGACCACTTGCCGTTCTTGAGGCACTTGAGCACCTTGGAGCCGCGCAGATCCAACCCGGCATCGCAGGTGAACGTGATGCTCTCGCCGATGGCGTAGTAGAACTTAACGGACGACATCCGACCGCTGATGACGGTGCCCGGATAGGAGCAGGCCTGCACGCACTTGGGCAGGCCGCCCGACCAGCGCCCGTTGTCCTGGCAGGCAATGATCGGCTGGCCCTGCATCATGTACTCCGGGTTGCAATTGAACTGGACCACATCGCCCGCACGATAAGGTGCCGAGCCCTGGGCGTAACCGTTTTGCGGCGCCCCCGGATTGTCGCACTGCACCTCGACGCAGGTGGGCAGCGGTGCTGACCACTCGCCGGTCGGATTGCAGATCGCCTCCGACGGGCCGCGCAACCCATAGCCGGAGGAGCACGAGAAGGCCGCCCGGCCGCCCACCTCGCGCGACAGCACGGAGACGCGCGGCGAGCTCGCATTGCTGCCCATCCCCAGCGGGATGTCGCCGCACTCGACGCTCTCGCAAACCGGCAACGGTGCGCTCCAATTGCCACTCGGCAGGCAGAACAGCTCCGAGGCGCCGATCAACGAGTTCCCGTTCGCGCAGGACAACAGCGCCCGCGTGCTCAGCTTCGTGTCGTTGGTGTTCACGATCAGGCCGCGTCGCATCGGTATCTCCGGGCAGTTGATCGCCTTCACCACCACCTCCACGGCGTGCTCGTGCCGCGCCGGCGTCATGCAGGAGTAGAAGCCGCTGTCGTCGCTGGCCGCGTCCACGATGCTCAGCCGGTACTCCAACGTGGAATCACGGCCCTCGTCCGCCTCGGTCACCCAGCCCTCCGTGTAGTTCCTGCAAGACAAATTCGGATTAGGGCGAGCTCTTTACACTTTAAAGACAGCAATGAGTCCAAGGAGTGCATGCAGGGTTAGATAATATCCAAATAAAGATTTATATATTCATTTTGTTTGTAAAGCAATATTTCTGTTTTCAAGGAACGGGAAATGAATGCGAAATCTACATATTCATTTTCTAGCCAAATATAGGACTGCGTATACATAAGAAACATAAACCTTGCTGAAATTAGTTAGTAAGTAATAAAAGGTGAACCCAACTTCCCGATACCCACTTGTGCGTGTGACTGACGTTCCACTTGGGATTTCCAAAGCGCCGCATCCAAAGGCATTCCATGTGCAAAGTGGTTCCCGGATAGACGATCAGCTTGCCATCGTTGCTCTGGGCAATGGGACCATTTTGATGGCGGAAGAGGATAGTAGGGGCCTTTTCCACTACATTTTGGAGTAAGTCAGATTAACTAACCTCAAACTAGAAATATTTAGTACCCACTTGCATAGTCGTTCTCCTGGTTTAGGCCAGAGCACACGGGCTTGGTGTTGGTCCATTCTGAGTGGATGCAGGTCCTTTCGTGGCTGCCCGTCATTGAAAATTTGCCAATGTCCATACATCTGGGTAAAAATTTGATGCAAATAATATTAGAAATAAATAAAAGGAATTTTCACACTCACCTAGATATAATTGTAGCTCCTGGAGGAAAGTCAACAACGTCTTCACGGATTTCCAGGTCATTATAAAAACTAACTACATTAGCTTCGTTGTTTCTGAACACACAAGTACCATTCTCTAAAAACAAATAGAAGAAATGTTTGAGATTATAAAATGATTTATGATAAAAATAAAATATGCATGCTATTATTTATTCTATATTTACCGTATACTTTAAAAAAAACCTAAAAACTCACCGCAATTGTAGGATCTTCCAATCCAAAGACCATTGTCGCAGATGATCCTCCAAGTCTGGCGATCCCCAGCTGCATTTGGAATGCAATTGAAGAAGATCTCTGTGCCGCTCTCGTAGGCGCCATCAAGTTCGGGATGCTCAGCATTCCTTTCAAAAATTTAAAAATAATTAGAAACCCAAGTCTGGAGAATCCAGAACTTACTTGTAGACCAGGGCGCCATCGGTAAGCATTGGAGGACCACACATCTTCATGTCGTCGTGCTCATCGGTGCTATTGTCGTGGTGATCATGGTCGTGATCCAGTTCGTTGTGCTCCACTTTGGGATGAGCAGTGGAGGTGGCATGCTCCAGTTCCTGGCGCGATTTCCTCAATCCGGACTCACAGGGAATGCTGGGTGGCGTGAGGATGCCCTTGTGGCAGGACATCTCAATGGGATTGGCATTCGTGGAGAGTTCACACCGAACGCTGACACTGCTGCCATGTCCAATGGTCAATCCTGCACGATAACCTCCCTGAAAAATATCATTAATATTAGTTCCTACTTAAGATGCATTGATAAGTAATCCTTACATCGTAGATAACTCCTGGAATGTTGGGTAAAGTGCAGGGCACTGATGTGCACTCGGAAAAGGCATTCACCGACCAGGATCCATGGGCACAACGCAGTTGAGCAGAGCCCTGCAATTTTATAAGGTTTTGAGATCTATTAAAATAAAATTACTAAAATTTTATGTTATTTGTTTGTTATTTACAAAAATATAAATATTAAATAACTATTATAATTATTAAGTGCTTTTTATATTAGAATGTAATATGTTCGATACGAGGTTTAACTTCCTAATGAATCTTTTAATGATAAACTATTTCTGTTTATTTTATTTATGATTTTCCTACCTGTATGTTGAACCCATCCTCGCACTCCAGGGTAATGAACTCGTTGGACTGGATCTCCTCGTAGGTGGAGAGTGGAGTCAGCGAGGGCTTGTCACTGAGTTGTTTGGTGTGGGGTTCCACTTTGTAGTACTGGCCATGTTCCACGGCGGGAACCAAACAAGGAGCGGAAAGGCACTTGGGCGTCTCCGGCTTCCAGATTCCTCGAATGCAACGTGCAGTGGCATTTTCACCTTTGATGTTTAGCTTAAATCCTGCATTGCACTCCAGATGCAACATGATGCCCACGGCATTTCTGCCCGGAACTTTTCCCGGTCGAACTGTTGTCACATTGGCAAAGGAATCCCACTCGAGATCCTCGCAGGGTCCTCGTAACCTCTTGCCAGAACCGCCCTTTCCAGCTTCTCCGCCATCGCTAATGTCCACTTCCGCATCCGGAATCGTGGCTCCCGACGGAGGAGGTGCCTGTCCAATGCTGGAACTCCGCTTTTGCCGCCTTCGAACTATCTGGGATTTCAATTGATCTATGTAGGATCGAGTGGAGTTCACATGAAAGCTACGTGAGGCCACGGGCGGAGATCCATTGGATAGCAGTTCCTCTTTGGCGGAGTGGTCCTTGTGAATCTTTTTATTGTGAGATGCCTGGTTAATGTTGGGCAATGGCACCACTCCACCTCCTCCTGAGGCTCCTCCTCCCAAGTAGTTATTGCCATTCTCCAGTTCCCTGAAGTTTCCCTTGCCCCGCATCATCATTTGTCCATTATCGTGTCCATTTAAGTTGTTTCCCACCCTGTTCGTTGTTTCGTGGCCGTGGAGCTTCTGGTAAATCCTGTTGTAACCCAGCATCTTCTTCATATACAGCTGATATCGCTCCCTCAGCTTCTCGGTGAACTTCGAGTGGGCCAGGTCGTGCTCCGAGAGGTGGTGCTGCGGAGTGGGATAAGGACTGGCATTGCGTTTTACCCGCTGCACCGAAGGCTGCTCGGAATTTAAAGCTAAGGGGTAAAGGAAAGAAATCGGAATATAATATAACAATATTATAATGTAATATTTCAGTATTTCATCTTTTAATAGCTTCAAAGAAAGAAGACTGAATTTAAAATCATTTTTATAAAACCATAATAATTTGTTACTAAAGGACTTTTTCATAAAAATTTATCTTTTAAATTTGAGAGGTAAATTGAATTTCCTATTTTTTCCTTTTTTAACTTAAATGTAAATATATTTAATATTCACTAAGCTTATTGCTCACCTGCATTGATGTAATTCTGATTCTCGACCAGTTGCCTTTGAAGTTGCCTCTGGCGTCTTAGTAAATACATCGATCTCAACTGGCGGATCTCCAAGGAGCGACGTCTGCGCTTATTCCAACGCAGTCGAGGATGCTGTCCCAGAAGACATTGTGGCAAGTCTAATGGACGCCACTTACCACCCACACAAGTGGCACCAGGAGGACCCACCTAAAAAGAAAAAACTCCAATTAAAATCCCATATTGGGTAATACTTCCTTTCAAGTTACCTCCAAGACATAACCCTTATCGCAATCGTACATAATCTGCTTATTGTTCACGATCTTCTTCACATAAGGCCTATAATCGTAGAGACCCATGTTGCCCACTAGCAGGACCTTTCCATTGGGTATGTAACCGGGAAAGGAGCAGAAGACCTCGTCACACTTGGGCGTTTCACCCGTCCAGTTGCCGAAGGAGCAGGTGAGCACATAGTCGTGCGGATCGGTCACGTCCTTGCCCTCGGGACTGACCAGCTTGAAGCCATCCTTGCACTTGAACCGCGCCTTCATCCCGTGCTCCGTTTTGGGGGCCATCACCATTCCGTGCTTCGGTGGGCGTGGCATACTCTTGCACCTGGCTGGCACACATCGTGGTATGATGCTCCAGGTGCCATTGTTGCAGGTCGGCGGACTGAGCAGGGAGACGGGGAACTCGTAGTTCTCGTCGCACTTGACCTCCAGTGCCGTTCCGTGCTTCACCTTCTCCACTCCTCCAATGCTTTGCGTTTGAATCGGTGACTGAGTTGTCGTCGTTGGCGGTTGAATGATCGTCGTCCCGTTCTCATCCGTGGTTATTTCGATGGGGTAAACGTTTCCCTGCGAGATGGTGGGCACCACACAGGGAGCCAGGCACTCCGGCAGAGCGTTTCGCCACCTTCCGTCGATCTGGCACACACTCGATCCCAACCCATTGATCATCATCTCCGGCTGACAGCGGAATATGATGCTGGCTCCCAGTCCAGTTCCCGCCTCGATGTTCTCGATCCACCCATTGTAGAGCACTCCCGGATGACCGCAGTTTATTTCTATAAATAGTATATATAGGTTTTATAAGGATAATTTAATCGTACTTAAAAACAAAGTCTTCATAAATTATCTGTAGTTACAAATTTTACAGAGAATGAAATCTTTTAAATTGGATCCACTAGAAAAGAAAGTAATTCTCGATATCCTTAGTAACTTTGAATTTCAAAAAATTGTTTAAGATTTTTTCTTTTGTAAATGCACAAACAAAATGTTCATAAAAGTTGTGATTTGGATCAGGATATCCTTGGAAGCCTAACTCGTTTTAAGAAAGCACTTATTTCCAATTTATTATGAAATGTTATTAAAAAATGTTCCATCCTTAGTAATTAAATGGACTTACCCTTGCAGGTGGGCAGAGTGCCGCTCCACTTGCGATCGGCTCCGCAGCGACTGGAACTTTCACCCACGAGGGTGTAACCATATCGGCACTCGTAGCTGACCACCGAGTTGTAGGCCAGGGTGGTGTAGGTGGCCTTGCCGTTCTTGGGGTTCTCCGGAGTGGGACACACCACCGAGGTGACCACTGTGCGAGAAGCGGAAGAGTGGGGATTAGCAGAAGGGCCAAAACCTATTGCCACGCTAAAAGTTACCACAAATCTTTGAAAGCCGCTCGCTCGATCGATCCACCAAATAAAACAACTTCGGTTGCGATTTTGATTAAATTTGCATTCTATTTTTTTTTTTTTTGCTCAAGATTTGCGGTAACTTTTATTTATTCATTCAACATTAATAGGCCAACAACAACAACAACAAGGTATTGCATTAAAATTTGAACAATCTGTTTTTTGTAACGCTAAATCAAATCGGAGATACAGAGTGAAAGAGAGAGAGAATTTGTGATTGTGGTTAACAGGATCGGAGGACTCCAAGTGGAGAGCCCGAGTCCTGACCAAAAAGTACGCTTAAATACATAGTGTTTCGGATATTGGATTTTGGTTTTGGTTTTGGTTTTTTTTTTTTGTGGGGGAATCTGTGCCATTTGCCAGCTCCAAGGAGTCGCAAAACGAAACTCAAATGGTCGCCTCGCCTAGGACAACGACGCTTGGGTGGTGGTTACATTTGCGCTATCCGCTTTAAAGGTCAAAGGTCAGAGGTCAGAGGTTCAGAAGGTTACAATCTCTACCGCTGCAATCGCAATACTCACAGACACACGTGGGCAGCTCCTTGGGCGTCCAGGATCCATCCGATTGGCAATACCGCTCGTGTTTGCCCACCAATTCGTATCCGGTTCCGCAATTGTAGGTGATCTTGCAACCGTAGGTATAACACTCCCCGGCATGCCATCCATAAGCAGGATCCGGCGGTTGGCCACAGGAACGAGCTTTAAACAGTATATACATTTCATTAAGATATCCAGTTTAAAGTTTATTTCTATCACTTACGTTCGCACTGAATATCCGGTCCATACCAACTGGCTAAATTATCGATGGCCAGGCATTTGGCTCTTGGAAATCCATTGGTCACATAGCCTGTGTGGCAATGGTACTGCACCGTGGAGTCCAGATCAAAGGTTTCCTGTTCCGGCAGAGCAGAATTCCGGGCATGTTCAATTTGCGGAGGCTTCAGGCAGTAAACTAGGAATGTTTTTAATATTTCATTAATTATTTTATTTAATTTTGAAGCTTTATTTATCTTACTGTTCTGCTTGCAAGCTGGCTCTGCTCCGGCCCAATTGCCATCCGCCTGACAGAGACGACTTTGGAGTCCCACCACATGGTAGCCATGTGGACAGGCGTAGGAAGCCCGGGCTCCAAAGTGACGACCAGCCACAGTCACCTGACCCAAACTGGGTTGAGCCAGCTCCGGACATTCGCGATCTAGGATAAAAGCAAAAGATTTCTTTAAGCTTTGATATTAATAACTAAGGAAGTAAATTTATTTGAAATATAACTTAAGAGACAATCAGCAAATTTATGCTTTGATAAAGTGTGCCTACAAACCTGTACAAATATTTTATTTGGATAATAAACAAACACATGTAACTAATTAAACATCAAATTTTGTTTTATAGTTTTATTAAATTGTCTTAAAATGGTATAAAAAGTAGACTATCTTATTTTGTTTAGAGCAACAAAAAGATAAATTTGTTGGAATTCTTTTTTAATTTTGATTTGTTGCTTATTAATAAACAACATTCAAATTTTTTTTAATACGATATACCCACCTGGTTTGATGCAGGAATTGCCGCAGACGCCGTCGCACAAGCACTTCTTCTTCTTGCTCTTGCAGTCCTCGTCGGAGGAGCACTTCCTCAGGCATTTCTGGCCGAGCAGCGTGGCCTGCTCCTCGTCGCGGGGACACTCAGTCGAAGGCGAGTTGCGGGGATTCTTGTAGACACGACCATCGTCATCCGATTCCAGGGAGTCGTCGTCCTCCTCCCAATCGTCGTCATCGTCATCCTGCTGGGGAATCTCCGAGGTCGTCTGGATGGTGGTGCTCATCGTGCTGGTGGGCACCGAAGTCACTGCGGGAATATATACAAAAGAAACCCATCACAGCTGTCAGTCATCTGGGAGTTGGGATTCGGAATATAAAAAGCCACCCCTTGTCGAGGCTTCTGTTTTGGCTCCCAGGATTCGCGTTTGTTTTGATCCGCCTCGCGTGCGAGTAAAAACATTGACCTATTTCCCCCGAAAGTTTGGTCCAGATGTCCATTGGCTCAATCCCAGACTCTTTTGGAGTCTGCGCACTGGACGCCAGCTTATATAATCCAGCAGCATATACATTTTTCATCTTGGCTATTTCGAGGATTCCCAAAATTTTAAAACCTTATTTCTTGATTAATTTAATACTACTATTAATAGCACTTGATAAAAGTTTAACTAATGGTTTTAGTTTTTAGTTAGGGGTTTACTTATTAACCTTTGTAAACCAGAATTGTGGTCACCAGACACTGCAGCAGCAGACGATTCATTTTGATTTTCGTTTAACTGGGTTTTCCCTTTGATTTTGTTTAATTTTAGCCGTGTTGGCTTTGGCTTTATAGCATTTTAGCTTTCAGTTTTTGGTTTTTGGTGCAATGCCAATTTTTTGGTAACTTTTTCAACAATTTTTGGGGCCCCGAAACTTCTCACTTTGAGGCAAGGAAACGAAATGCAGCCAAGCCAGCTGCTTTCGGACTTTTCTGCTCTGGCCTTTTGACAGATCAAGCGAGAAGGACCTAATTTGACAGCTCTCGATGGTGGTTGGTCCTTTCAGCGGAAAAAGTAAATGCAAGAAAATTTAGGCAAGTGCGAAAAACATTTGGCTATTTAAAAAATGTTAGCATACTTTTGCGGGCATGAAAAGTCAGCAATTATGTTTATTTTGCTGTTGGTAGAATTATAACCGAGATTTAGGTAATCATTTTATATTTCTTCCTTTTTAATATTTGTTAATTTTTGGGAATTGGCTGATATAATTGTTAAATTTTTATTTCAATAAAATCTAAAAAAACTTATGAAATGTGTCTTTTAATCACACTTTTTACCAGATACTCAATATTAACCTCAGTAACAGATTTCACAGCATAATTATCATTTTTGATTAAGAAACCAGTTTGAATACAGGACCTATTTAAATGATTCCAATCACTTCAGTTTTTACGTTTTACTAGGATTATAGGAATATGGATTCCTATAATTTTTAGTTACTAAGAACTCAACTTTCTCCTAATATCAAGTATATTGTGTGAGCTCTAGGATACTTTTTGATCCACCGTATCGTCTAACGGAAATTCTTGTAATCAATTTTGGGGCCACTTCAAACGGAATGCAGCCCTCGTTTCCGAGAGCTTCGAGAGCGGATGGCGGAAAAGCTCCGGAGCTTTCCGCAATACGCACTCGCTGGCGACCGATTTTCCAACGGAATCAGAAGCAGTGAAAACCCAGAGCGCCGAGCACGAAGACAACGCACAGCGGCGGGAAACGGAAAAACTACCGAGGCGCGCACTGCCATCCAAAAAAATCCAAAAAAAAAAAAAAAAAAAAAGAAAAAAGATAGAGAATCGAGCGAAGAAAAAAAAGAAGCGGAAAAACGCACTCGAAAGATATACACTTTTCGGACGAAATGTCTTCGCGGCGTGTGTGCAACAAACATTTTGATTAGGCAATTAATTGGGCAAAGTGCAAGTGCAGTGGGTGGAAAATGTTTTAGAATCGGTTCGCGAGAATTACGGGGTCGCGGGTGCGGTGGGCTTTCCTTTTTTGTTGTTGTTGTTGTTGTTGTCGTTCGACGGGGGGCGCATGTGAAAAGCGCGTAAAGAAAAGTAAGTGACAGAAATTTTTGTGTATTAAAATAAATCAAGTAACCAACGTAAACGATGCATACACACCACATCGAATGGGTGCAAATGGCATCTGCGAAAGCGAAAAAGAAAAAGAAAATGCGAAACGAGGAGCATGCGAGCGACAAATCTACACACGGATTCACGGCATCTTTGACAAATTAATTGATATTGAACCATTTCGAAATTCCGCTGCGACAAAATGTCGAACTAACAGATTCAAAAACATATATTCTGTGTATATAGAGGGGGACTTATTTTTAGCCTTTCCCCCCCCCCCACCATCCTTCCTTTCTTCCCCAAAAAAAAGAGGAATTCAAATCGGTCGCGAAAGACAAATGTTGTGTGTGTATTGTGGGTTGAACGATCGAAAAGATTTTGATATCCAATAAATACTTAATTAACTAACGGTATACGGTAAAGGGGAATACTTGGCATCCTCACAAATACCATAGGATGGCATTTCGAGGAACGAAGAGGGACGCTCGCGCGTCAACAATTTTCAAGCGTGTACACAAAAATCCAGCCAAGCGCATTGCCCGCAATAAATCCGAGACGAGACCCAGACCCAGACCAACCACCCGCCACCCACCAACCACCCACCGTCCAACCACCCACCACCCACTTGGGCCAGTTCACTCGACCACTTGATTAACGCCAATGCCAATTCAACGCAGAAAATCTCTATAAAAGTTCCCGCAGAGAGCATGCGTTTCGCTTCTTCGGAGAGCTTTTCTCTCGCCATCTCTATGCCCCTCTCTTTCCGGCACGGCTAGCTCCGTCTCGCTCGCACAAGGATGTGCTCGGTGTCCCCAAGCACTTTGTTTTTGTCATTGACCTGTTGTGGAAGAAAAAATTATACAGCGACCGTTCATCAACTATTTACGACCATTATTACGGAACGATTAGAAAATACTGAGTGCTCCTAATCGCGAAAATAAGTGGAAACATCTTTATTAGTGGGTCCTCAAATCGGAGTCCTTAAGTGCTGCTAAATCGATATGGGGATGGGATACCCTGCAAACAGCTGTGAGGTTCCCATACATATTTTTGAAGGCAGGATTGATAAATTCATTTCCAACAAATGGCTCTATTATTATTTTTCAGAATGTTTATACTAATCTAAGTATATTACCTATTGAGAAGATATTTTTTTAATAATAGTGCAGTTAAAATTACCCGAAACAACGATTAGTGTCATATATTATCAGACTGGATCAAAGGCAATTCCAGATTAAGATAAGATAAAGTAATCTATTAATCGTTCTTTTGTTGTTTTCGTATATTGCATTATGTATTACGATGCTTATCTTTCGTTGCAGGACATCAGTAGTCAATTGTAATTTAAAGAGTAGGCAACCGAACGACCGCAATGGGCAACGTGTGTAGTTCCGGGCAGAAGAAAAAGAAGGACAAGGACAGTGCCTCCGAGAAGTCTGACGAGTGAGTGTCTCCTTGTAATCTGTAATATCCTGGATAAAAATAACTTTTCTTGCGTGATTGCAGCTCGCCTCCGTATCAGGAGGCGGAACACAAGGACACCCTGATCTCCACCGACTCGAATGCTGGCGACGAGAAGCGAGCTCCTCTGGCGGCCGTGGAGGCGCTGCCGGAGGTGACTCCTCTGCCGGAGGCCAATTGCAACCAGCCGCAGGGCCAGAAGCAACAACCAACGGTTCCGGGAAAGACCAGCGGAACAGAAAAGGGTGAGTAAAAAATCTTGCATGTTAAAAGTAACCAAAGGTTAAAGGAAAGCTTCTGAAATAGAATCATTTAAATTGAAATCAAAACTTAATCTCAATAACTTGATTTGATATCTACATGATTTGAAAATGTCCTTAAAAAGTACTTGATTCTAGTGAGATATAGTCTGATTTATAAAAAAAAATTAATATTATTCTTTATCTTAAAATTCACTGTAGTACCCTTTTAACATTTTTCAAATTGTAATTTAATTATCTAAAATTTTAATCAACAGATTCCAATACCACCACACCGCAGGGGGCGCAGGCGCCCAGTGACGTGGCGAACGCCAATCCGGGAGCCGGGAACCTGAGCGTGCTGCAGGGCAAGCCGCCGCCCGGCAGGAAGATCGAGCGGGACAAGAAGATCGTGGTGTACATCCTGGCGGACAACAGCACCGAGTACAAGAAGCACAAGCGCGTGGTCCACAGCCTGTACAAACACTTCAAGAGCAAGTGCCAAAACCGCGGCTTCGACTTCATCATCGCCGATGTCCACGACAGCGAGCCGGAAACGGAGCCGGGCAACGGCAATGCCCGGAAGGACTTCTCGCGGCTGCAGGAGGTGAAGCGCTGGACACAGACGCCGCTGGAGGCGCAGGGTGGCCACGAGGAGGCGGCCAACTGCCTGTGCGAGATCACACGCCATTCGGCGGGAGCCTATGTGATCCCCGTTCTCTTTCTGGGCGCCACGCTGGGCACTCCGATGCTGCCGCTGACCATCGAGAGCCAGGACTTCACCTCGGTGCTGGGCACCGCCAGTGAGGCGGAGCGTCTGCTGCTCGAGAAGTGGTACACCATTGACAACTCGTACCAGCCGATGTGCCATCGCCTCCACGCCCAGCAGGTGGATCCCTACAATGGCCAGGCGAACGCCGAGCTCAACGAGCTGCTCGCCGTCCTGCTGCGCCTCTTCTCCGACGACGTGAAGGACTCGTATCTGACCACCGTGGTGGAGCAGGAGATCAACAACACGGTGCTGATGAGCCAGGAGCTGGCCAAGCGCTGCATCTGGATCCAGACGGGCAGCCAGATGTCGCGACCGTCGGAGAATGCCAGCCAGCTGGAGCTGGAGGTGCAGCGGAGGATTAGCCATGTGTACTCCGGTCTGAAGAGCCAGCTGAGCGAGAAGAACCTGATACGCCTGTTGCCCACGATGAGCATTTTGGATGAGGAGCTGTCGGCGGTGATCGAGAACCTGCTGGACAAGGCGCTGGCCGGGATCTTCGAGGAGCACCAGCAGAAGAGCAGCATTCCGTACAACACGCTGGGCGTGGACCGGGTGCTGCTCGAGGAGCTGCGTCTGGTCGGGCACTACTCCAAGCTGCTGGCCCAGAACTCGGCCAACTTCGACATCATGAACGACGTGAAGCGCTATATCAGGGACAACACCGCCCATCCACTCGTGGTTTCTGGCGCCCGGGGCAGTGGCAAGAGTGTCCTCGTCTCCAAGATCATGGAGAACGTGCACCGCTGGAAGCCGGAGGCGCAGCTCATATTGAGGTAAGAAATCCAGATTAAATAGGCTGACAGATTGAGCTTGAATTAAATTTAGATTAGATTGGATCACAAACTAAGAATTAAGATGATTAATTCTCCCTATTTCCATTTTATAATGCTGGAAATTGATTCTTCCTCTTTAGATATGCCAATCTCAGTGCCCGCTCCTCGGATCTCACCTCATTGCTGGGTTCAATGGCCAATCAGATGTCGGTCCTGGAGACGGGTCATCAATGCCAAGTGCCACACGTAAGGAAATCACATTTAGTAAACCGAACTCAGAGGGATAATAAGTATTCCTTTCCTAATTAGACTCTCGAAGCCTACTCTCGTGTGATCAAGGAGATCCTGGAGCGGCAGCAGCGCTTCTTCGTGCTCATCATCGACGGCGTGGACGAGCTGCAGCGGGACGAGCTGCTCGACTGGATACCCCAGCAGCTGGGCAGTGCCAAACTGATCCTCACCATCAGCGAGCTGGAGGACGAGGCCGAGGAGCAGGAGGACGGAACGGAGGCTGGCGACTCCTTTGATATGCTCGCTGCGCTGGCGCAATTGGGCATACCACAGCGGTGCTTCCTGCGTCTGAAACAATTCACGGAGCGCCAGTGGCACGACATCCTCAGTTCCGGCGGCGGTGACTTCTATGCGGCCAACGGGGCACTCAAGCTGCCCGACGAATGGAAGACGCTGCACGGGAAGACGCCCTACCACGCCAAGTCCTTGTGGTGGCTCGCCTGGCTGGGACATGTGGCCCAACCCATTAGCGAGATTGGTGACATCTCGGGGAGGATTCTGCAGGTGCTGGAGTCAAAGTTCGCCGCCGATCAGGTGGAGCTGCTGCTGCTTATCGTCCGACTGTCGCCGTGGGGCATCCGGGAGAGCGACTGCCTGGGTGTGTTCCAGAAGATGACCCAGCTGGAGGCGCAGGTCGCCTTCAAGATCTGGTCCAAGTTCTGCTGGCTGATGGGACCAATGCTGTTAGGTCTTAAGAATATTAGGATAGCGGACAGGAGCTTTGGACGCGCCGTCCTGGCGAGGTACGCGCAGAAGCAGTGGCTGGTACATGAAGCGCTGCGGGACTACTTCGACCGGCAGGACAGCGAGTTCAAGGGTAGCCAGGGTGCCAACACGTAAGCCCTGATCCTCTAATGAACTCTCAGCATACTATAGTATTTATCTTCAAACAGCTACAATTACCAAAAGTACTTAAAACTGCCTTATCATCACTTCTGTGCCGTGATCGAGGACAAACCGGCGACGCACAAGATCGACATACTCTTCAACTGCTTTTACTTTACGGACCTGCAGTGGATCGCCAACAAGGTCCATGCCACGGGACCGGAGCACCTGCTGAACGACATCCTGCAGGCGGAGTGGCTGGCCAAGTCTGGATCCACCGGTTACATTCACATCCACTTCCTTAAGCAATTCCTCGAGCAGTATCTCCACGAGCTGAGCTACGATGGGCAGCAGTTCTACACGCTGATGAAGTACTACCTGAAGACGCGTTTCAGGGAATCGCCGGAGCTGAAGGACGACGAGAAGATACGCTCCTGGTGGGAGTACACCAACGAGCTGGAGTTCGCCTTTCTGGAGATTTTGAACGCCGATTTAGATGCCGAAAATGGCAATCAGGAGCAGGAGAAACCCACGGAAGATGGAGCTCCATCATCGAGTGCCGTTAAGGGCTACGATGTCCTGATGAATCTTCCCCAGCCCGGCTGCTATGTGGCCTCCATGAGCACGGAGCGAGCTGAGATCTGCATCTGGGATGTGAAGAACTGCTGTCGCATTCGTGAACTTCAGGGCATCCAACAGCCAACGGCAATGTGTCCTGTGGGCAACTACGAGGCAGCAGTCCTCTGCCGCCGCGAGATTCGGGTCATCAATCTCGACGAGGGAAAGTTTAAGGTGAGTGTGGGATAAAATCAACTTTTAATTTATAAAAACTGACATGGATATTCCTCAAATTCCAGGTCACACTCAAAGGCGTCATGAACCAAAAGATGCCGTACTTTGGTCTGCACGATCAGAACCACTTGGTTTGCCTTTCCCGAAACCGGATGTATGTGAATCTGATGAATCTGGAGTCGGGTGACTGTGTGACCACATTTAAGGCAGGAGAAGACCGTTTTCTCAATTCGCTTTTGGTCTCTGGAGATGGAAGGTAAAAACCTGAAACCCTGGAAGTTGAAAAAGTTTCTAAGTGGCTCTATCACATTTTAGGATCTTGGTGTGCGGCGATGAGACCCAGAAACCCTTCCCACTGCTCGTCTGGCATCTATCGCAGCGCAAGCTGCTCTACGACCTCCGAATTCCGCACCACGATTTCATCACCTCGCTGTCGGCAATCACACACGAGGGCTCCTACGTTTGCGTGGTGGCCAAGGAGCTGAACGAGCCGACGACGCCCAATTTCATTGTGGTATACGACCTGCAGAGCGGCACTCTGTTCAAGAAGTGGAAACCCAGCTGCAACACCGTATCGCTGGCCATTTCCCAGGTGAACGCCTGCGTTATCGCCGGTCTGGAAGATGCCAAAATTGTGATCTGGGATCTGGTCACGGGTAATTGCAAGAGCACCTTGATCGGCCACAATGCACCGGTGACTTTCTTGAAACTGGATCCGCTGGGCAAGGTGCTGCTCTCCTACGACAAGGAGGGTCGCGACTCTGCCGTTCGCATGTGGGAGTTGAACTCAGGTAGGTCGAGGAATCTTCACTAAGAAATTTGTAAATATTTAAGAGGGTTTCGTTTTGTTGCAGCCAAATCCCTGGCCGTGTTTAAGCCGCCGGCGCAGGTCAGCACCTGTGAGATCCTGCCCAACGGAGCCTTTGTGGTTCTGGCTCTCAAGGATCGAAACTCCCTGTTAACGTTGGCCTTGAAGAACTACGGCGGAGGATCGAGCGCTGCCCTGGATGATGATTGCGGCACTCTGTACGGCAATCCAGACAACCAGCACAAAGTTTTCGACTTGAGTAATTAAATCAATTAACGCTAGTTATCATTATTCAAATTATAAATGAAATCTACCAGGGGTCGAGCCCATGAAAAGCAGAACTCCGAATTATTATAAATATGGCAAAACAAATTTCTCATGCATAATTCATTAGATGTATGTAAAATTCTTTGAGCAAATCTTACCAAATGTACAAAGCAAAGAAAATCCAAAGAAAATTAAAAATTTAAAAATCTATTCAGTTGATTCTGGTGTTATTTATGTGGTTGCAAACAAATACAGCAAGTTCTTGGCGAATTGGATAATCTCGGTCCCGCCAAGCTTCGAGGTGCCATAAATGCGGTCCACGAAGGTGATGGGCACTTCGGCAATGGTGTAGCCATGCTGTCTGGCCCGCACCAGCATCTCCATTTGGAACACGTAACCCTTAGACACACAACTGGCAATGCATTTCTCCAGCACGTCCTTCTTGTAGAGCCGGAAGGAACCGGTCAGATCACTCGCATTTGGACGCAAAAGCACCTGGGACAAAAAGTTAGCACCGCGAGAGATGAGCTTGCGTTTAAAGTCCCAGCCGAATACTCCTCCATCACCGACGTATCTAGTGCCAGATACAATGTCATAGTCCCCTTGTTCCTGCAGCTTTATAAACTCTGGAATGAACTTGGGCTGGAATGAAGTGAATACATGTTATTTTCACCCAGTTCACTAACTTTTCCCTGTTATCTATACTTACATGGTGACTCAAATCTGCATCGATGATAACTATAAAGTCTCCAGTGGCATGTTTGATGCCATGTATGTAGGCCGTTCCCAGTCCCAGTTTGGAGCCCCGGGGTCTCAGTACAATCCTGTCCTCGCCATAAATCTTCTGCAAGTCCTTGGCCACGTCCAGCGTTCCATCCGGACTGCCGTCATCAATAACAATCACCTCGTATTCCAAACCGCTGAAAAGAGGGAACTTTAAATGATTGTCTTTGCCTTTAAAAAGCCTCCACTCACCTGGCCTTCATGTATTTCACAATTAGCCAAATTATGATTGGCAAATTGTCCTTTTCGTTGTACGTGGGCAGCAGTATGCTGTATTTATGCCCATTTGTTGGCATGTCTAATTCTTTTTCGAAGCCGTGTAAATAGTTCTAATACCAATAAGAAAAGTGTTGTAAACAGACGCATGAAAATCAGCTGAGAACGAATCGTTTAAATTTATCGATAACTTTGATCTTGTTGGCAACGCGAAGACCGAGATTTTGTGGAGGAATTTCCCGTATCTTTGTGCAAGTTTAGTTTGAGAACGGCCGCTAAAACAAATTGTGGTCTTTATGTGCGGGTTTCCCAAAGTTTCGGACATAGTTGTGCGCTTTTGACGTCGTCAACATGGCCAAGAAAATACCGTTTAATGTGGTGTTCGCCTCAGGTAAACAAACGTAAAGGATTTTTCAAACGGAAAAAGCAAATAGACAATATTAGCATTTTATAGTTTGCTTATTTGTTTTCTTTACTTTATGATTTTATTTCGTTTTGTACTTATTTTTAGTTGCGGCTGGAGTTGGCTAAAGGCTGAAGTTTTTTACCTCCCATTCTCTTTTTCAAACCCCACTGCACTTGAGAAATCGATAAAACACGCATACGCCTAGTGCGCCAGGACGTTGGGATTTAAATTAAATTTGAGCTAGTCATTTAACTCCAGCTAATATTCAATTTAGCATATTCGCAGCGGGTAAATCAATTTCCTACAGTCTCGGCCAATTTAACACGGAATAAAACCACTGCAACCACGATGACCATAATATTTCATTATAATATTGACAGATTGCCGGTTGTCGACTCTTTGTGTCTGCATATGCAATTAGAGTGGCGGCCAGATTTTTCAATTTGGCTAGGCGCCAAGCTCTTTATTTTCGTGCTCGGACCTGACAAATTCCGGTTAGCCTCAGTTGCTTCAGACTCATCCTCCCCAGAAATAGGTTACTGACTGTGAGCCGCCTTCTTTTTGGACCTGTACTTAAGTTTAGTTAGGAGCGACGACACCGGTGCAATGATAGTGAGCACATAAACCAAAGTGGTGACCAGCATCATGCCAGGAATAAAGTCATTGTCCACAAACTTGGTGAAGAACTTAGAGGAGTAGCCCAGGTAAATGGCACCCATGCCCAGGGTAAAGGTGACCAAGCCAAATAGGTTATGCCGGAAACGCAGCTCCGAAGCAGGCACCACTTTCAGGACTGGTTTGGGCTGGAAATAGTTCACAATCCCGCCCACAATACTGGCCGCACAGCCAAAGGCAGCAGCTCCTCCTATAAACCATCACAGAAATTAGTTTTCCCGAAGCTTGAAACTCGCTAACTCAATTATTTACTCACCCACTCGGCCATGCCAGGTGTTGAAATGCACCTCCTTGCTGGAAAACTTGCCCAGCGAGCCCAACAGGACCATGGAACCACCCACGATTTGCAGGATGGCGTGGAAACGCGACTTGTTGCGGTGTGAAAGCCAGCGGGTGAGGGGATTAACTTTCGAATGTGACATCATGGCCTGGGCTATTAGGACGTGGAACTGAAAGCAGGAAAACCCTTTTAAATTCAACTCCCGATAAGATAACAAGTGACGATTCATGCCCGTTATCCAGGTCAATCTAACAGTATTGATTATATTGTCTATAGCTTATCGCCTTGTACTCACTCCAATGCCGGTCATAAACATATGCATGGCAGTACCCTCGAACTCCAAACTACGGGCCAGGACGAAAAAGAAGGCGGCCACCAGGAAGATCAGCATGTGATTAACGCTGTTCAACAGGCTTTGTATTTGCAGCCAGGCAGTGGCTCCCGTATAACCTTCCGGCATTTTGTGTTTTTTTTTTTTTCGAGACCTTAAGTCAGTTATTTAATAAAAGATACTGAAGCTAATTTTACTATCAGGTACAGAGCACAGAACGAACGGCTGAGTAACTAAACTAGCATGTTGCTCGCCATCGCTTAAATACAAAACAGAGAACGTGGAACCTGGAGATAGAAAGAAGAGAGAACCACATGTGAGATAAGATTGCACAGCTGAGTTCGAAAAAAGAGAGCCAACATAAACTGTTAGGTGCTCAGAACATATTAAACTTTGAAATTTGACTTTAAATTTATGTTTTACAAACAATTTTAATTTTTTTTTTTACAGTTTTTGAGAAAATCTTTGGTTTTTGTCTGGTATTTACTAATCATATATATAATTCGTTTATTTTTTTTGCTAACGATTTTATAGCTACGTTTTGGTTTATTATTCTAAATTCAGAATTAAAATGTTTTTGTTATGACCGCATCTGTTGTTAAATTGCGAAAGAGAATTCAAAAGAGAAAATAATAGTTATCAAGGGGAATATCTTTTGCTTAGTTAGCAAAAAAGAGACCGGATAAGAGAATGATTGTCACCTGCCGACATTTTTTATTAGGCACTGCAAGTAATGATGATTTGAATACTTTTGTACTCCTTTCAGACGAAGATGTCAACTTTCCAGCAAGCGAGCTTAATAATCACGGACCTACTGTTCACGGATGGCGAAGTGCTCCGGACAGCAGCCTTACCTCACATGACATAATCCTCCGTTTCCAGCAGCCGGCCAAGATATATCGTATACAGCTTCTGGCCCACCAGTATCTCATCCGTAAGATATTCAATAAAAACAGTTGACTCCTAAATAACAAAGAGGTGTACAAACACACAACCTAAAATGATTTAAAGCAGTTAATTTTGGCGTAAATCTTTATCAGTTCAAAGGTATTAGATTTGTCTATGTTTAAAAAAATGGTTTGCCCTCAAGTGTTTGTCGAGCTGACGTGTTCATTCGATTTCAAAACTCAACTGTCTTTTAAATAATTCTTAAAAATGCTACCTTTAATTATATACCTGACAATATCTTTTGCTTTTCAGCTGAGAAAGTGGAGCTTTGGCTGCACTACTCGCCTAAATCCCTGCCAAGCACACCATCCTCCCAGTACTTTGATTTCCTGGGCTTCGTTGCCCTCGCGGATAATGCAAACACCAACTACAAATCCCGGGAGCTACAGAGCGTCACCGTGTGTCCCCGACGGGGCACCCACCTTAAGTTGCGTCTGATTGGCGTACAGCCCAACGACTTTAATGCCACGGGTCAGATCTCCTTGCTCGCGGTAAATGTCCTGGGCGAGGACCTGGAAGTGGGTCCAAGTAATGGCAATGGCGATGAGCATTTGGGCAACGAGTCCTCTCCACCTCTGGACACAGCCACCGGAGAACTGGCACTGGCCTCCATTTGCGACGACTTACTCTTCTCTATGTACGTGGAGGAGTCTATCGTGCAGTCCATCCGTGAGCTGGAGCAGCGCAAGGTTTTGGCCGTTAACGCTGAGCGGTTCGAGTATGCCCGCAAACTAAAGCTCTGCATGACGGCTTTGAGGAGCGCCGGTGAGCGTTTGGGACGCTATGCACTCGCCAAACGCCAGGCTGTCCAGCAGGAGGACTTCACCACGGCGCGACTGCGGAAAGAACAGATCGAGATGTACCGAGCGGCGGTACTGCGTCAATTACAAGTCCATCAGCTGCTGGAACCGCAGGGTGTGCCACTCAGTTCCAATGACCAGAGTTGCGAGATCTATGCGGGCGGGAAACCCAGTCTGCCGGCGGCTCCTAGTCTGCAGGATGTGGCCCAGGCACTTGCAGAAGCTGCCTTCAGTCCCAAGAGCATGACGAGTCTCAGTTTGGACGACAAGTCCTCTACGGATGGCTCCCAGGGACAGCCCGGAAATGATAATATGGTGGCGACTCCTGCTCCCGCTCCTGCGCCAACTTCCCTGCAGGCAACTCCCACACCCACGCTGGGCGGCTGGCGCAAGTCCCATGACGAGCTGCCCCAGTCACCGCGCCTGCCCTCCAGACACAGTTCACCCATGTCCAGCCGCCAGGGATCGCTGCGCAGGCGCAACAAGAGCGTGCCTCGCAACTCCTACGAGGATTACGAAGAGCGTGCCATTCCCACCCTGCGACAGTGAGTATGAGTAGAGTGTGGCGTATTCGTTGTGTGGTTGTCTAGTAAATAGGTAAACAATTGTGGAATAGTAATTACTTTGTTGTTTTGATTACACAGCTGTCAGTAACAGTGTTGCATGACGACTCCTTATTCGTAGTCTTAGTTTAAATGTTAGTCACCACTGGCGACCAGTAGCCAATCGATAGATCAACACTAACTGTCCGTTGATTTGAAATTAAAAAAAAATATTTTGGAGTAAAAACAAAAGTCGGCAAAATAAATATTTTAATAACAGCTTTAGATATACAGAGTGATTTGAATTTAAATTGCCAATTTATTTTGTTATGATTTGATTTCCATTAAAAAAAAATAATTTCAATATTGTTAACAGTTATGGTAATGAGAACATAGATCTTCGGTAGCCGAAGCAAGACCTAATTTGCTGTTTAAACATATTTAATTTTACCTACTTTTCTACTTCTATATATTGTAACCGCATCCGTAAACGTTGTCATTCCGATACCACAAAACACAAACCGCTCACAGTTCAAATACTAATGAATTTTTAAGGGAGTGCCAAGGTAATGCGCTACTCGAGGCGGATCCAAATCGGGGACGTTCGCGTTTGAACGACCGCGAACGTCGCCAGGCTGCCCTACCCATCCTAGTCTTTGGTAGTGAGCTGGTAAGTTTTTCAAAATACAAAATAAACTCTTTTGCTTTAATGTTATTCTTCTTTCTTAGGTGGAGCAGTTCTACTCGCGTCAGTTTCAAGATCGTGAGGACGGCTTGCTGCGTCTGCGCAACTTTCTGAAGGAGCATGACCTGGTAGATGCTTCGGGCAATGAGCACGCCGCCAGTCCCAATAAAGTGGCCCGCAGTGCGGCCCTGTTGCTCCATCGCGCAGTGAGGGACGCCGTTTACTCCGTTTTTAGCCAAGCCACTGAGACGGTGAGGATGCTGTTCCTAGAATATGTTCCGGGACGCGTTTCGCCTAACGAAGTGGCCCGCTGTGTTGACCGCCTGCTGCCGGAACTCCTGGCCAAGTCTGGTGATCCTTCGGCTCGACTACACACCCTCGCTCAACACACGATCCTCAGCATCGCCGCCTGTCCGGAGGTAGCTGAGCAGCACCTGGTTGCACCAGCACTGTCGCGAAGTGTTGGATCTGGAACCCACCAGCGATTGGCCATGAGTCGGCTGCAGATGCTGGAGCAACTGGTGCACACGCAGGGCATCAGTACGGACAAGCACAGTGGACTAACCTGCAGGGCACTATCCGAGTGCGGTTGCTCTGGCATTCATCATCCAGCGGAGCCTGTACGTAAGGTGGCCGAGCGCATCCTGCTGCTCGTCTACAAGGTTAACCCCCGATTGGTGCGCAAGCAATTGCCTCCAGATGACGACATTACGCGACGCAATCTCTTGTACCGACAACTGTTCACCGAGTTTGATAAGTTGGACCTGGACCGCAAGCAAGAGTTACTAGAGGCCAACAAATACGCAGGAGGTCATAGTTCAGGGGATGCGGCCACGCCGCCGGCGGACAAGGCATCAACAAGCTCGGATGCTTCTCGACTGATGAACAGCCGGAGTGGACATGGTCTGGGTTCTGTTTCTAACGCCAGTAATGGATATGCAAGTTGTAATGGAAAACAGCAGTACAATGAGCAACTTAAGCGCTCCATGCTATCTGTGTCAAACTCTCGCAAGGGATCCGCTTCGAACTCAGAGTCTACTGAAGACAACGGTCCCAAAATGTAAATATTGAAATTAATTTTAGGATTGTAAACTGTGCATAAACTATTATTAATTTCTTAATTCTAATAGTCGTTGCCCTTTTTGCGACTGGTCGTGTGTTGGTAGCGATGCTAGCCAGTTGGACAGACACTACTGGAAGTCCTGTCCTTTTCTCACCAAGTGCCCACAATGCAGCCAAGTGCTGGAGGTAGCTGCCCTCAACTACCATCTGACTAGTGAGTCAAAAATTTTACCTTTAAGAAAAAAACTAAATGCATTTTGTTAATCATGTACAGCGGAATGCGATGCCAAGGAAAGCTATGTAGTCTGTGCCCGCTGCACTGAATCGGTGCACAAGCAGCTATACGAGCTGCATCAAATGGAGGATTATTGTCGGGGTAGGATCGAAATTTGTTGACCAATTTCATACAGAAGTTTATAAAATATCTCACTTACAGAACTAAAAACGGGAGCGGCTCGATGTCCCTTGTGTCATGACGATGTGCACTTGCCTCAGGATGGCGGTTGGAAATTGCATCTCCTTAGTGCCGGTGGTTGCCCCGGGAATATACGCAAAAAGAATCTAAAAAAGTCAAATTAGGCACCGCATATTTAACCGATCTATTGGCATGCGTAGCGAATTTATTAGAGCAACTATACTAGTCAGGAGACGTACTCAAAGGAGCTAACTAATTGCATTCGCATTAGCCATAACCGTTCCGTTTATTAAAAAAATTTTTTTGCTCACTCTCCACATTTCATTTAGACACATTTTGTTAAGCGAATTAGTTAGATTAATTTATATTAAATTATTTTGTAATTTTTGTAAGCAATGTGATTTGTTAACTAGAACACGAATTTTTGAAACGTCCTTACAATAAATAAAGCCCATCCATACAGTTTTGAACATAAATTTAAAACGCTTTAATTCAAGTATAGCATGACTAGTGTCTTCTTCCATTTAAAGCGCATCTATATTCTGAGCCCACAGTCGGTAATAAATTTTTAATTGCTTTTCACATAAGGAATGTGCAACACAATTGCATGATTGATTAAATATTGATGGTTATATGTGAACAAATGTGTTCATATGAATAGAAAAACTTGCTACTTGCATTTAAACTGCATTGTCATTTACTTAAGAAAAATATAGAGTGGTTTCAAAATGACTACATAGAACATATATTTTTTTGACAAAAATAAACGTTTAAATTTTAATTTAAAATGTAGTGAGTTACCAGACTATTATATTCGTGCGCACAACTGTTTTGTGTTAGTGTTGCAAAACATCCCCGGCCAAATGCGTCAGTGTTGGTGGTTGTGCGTGTGCAAGCGTGAAAAAAACAGCCGGCGGCAGCGGCGGCAACAGCAGCGGCAGAAAAGAAACAGTTTTTGCAACAAAAATAAACGCGAGCTATAGCTGAAAATCGTGCCCGGTATTTTCGCTTCGAAGTTCGGTTAACATTCTGTCATCATGTTTTGACCAGCCAGCTAATTAAGGTCTAAAGCGTTCAGGCGTTGCTTTTATCAAAAAACCCCCCGCCTCCGCCACAATCCTCTCAAAACCGTCGCGTGTTTTTCCGTTTAGATTAAAATACTTGAAACCCGCAATTTCGCAGACAGATCATTTCAACTCTATTCAAAATGCAGAAGATAATCAGACGATTAATGGACCACCAATATTTGACGCGAGCCCAAATCAATGGATTCGACAATTACAAGGTGGGCAAGGACTAAAAACAAGGACTTTGCAGGGACGGCTGTACCATTCTTCAAGGGGGGTTGACCCTCTTAATTCTCAGAAACGAAAACCAGTTCTCTGTGCTTCGTACTTGTTTTCAATTAAAATTCTTTTTATAGAAAGCCACCAGACAAAGCAAAAAAGCAAAGAACATAGCAAAAAAAAAGAAAGCCATTGAAATAGTCGTTAAACCGATGAGTTTCCCTCTTTAATTGGAAATTTCTACTTGCAGTACAGCGCCATCGATACTTCCCCACTGAGTCAGTATGTGATGCATCCCTTTTGGGATTGGCTAGTCCAGGTTGGTGCCCCGCAGAATTATATCATGCAAAAATCAATACTCTTATGGGGCACACCACTAATCAACCCACCAAACTATCCACCCACTGCAGTTCTTCCCGCGCTGGTTTGCGCCCAATCTGATGACCTTCCTGGGCTTCCTGTTCAGCGCCATGAACCTAGTGCTGCTATCCTATTACGATTGGAACTTTGAGGCCAGTTCCGGGGAGGAGGGCACCACACCCATACCCTCCTGGGTCTGGCTCTTAACGGGCATAAACATCTTTGTGGCATACACGCTGGACGGAATCGATGGCAAGCAGGCGCGTCGCATCGGATTGTCCGGTCCGCTGGGGGAGCTCTTCGACCACGGCTTGGATTCGTATACGGCCATGTTGATCCCGACCTGCCTATACAGCATTTTCGGCAGGAGTAGAGTATACTCAGTGCGTCCCATGAGGATGTACTACGTCTGCCTGACGGTCTACTTCAACTTCTTCGTTTCGCACTGGGAGAAGTACAACACAGGCGTCCTATATCTACCCTGGGGCTATGACCTGAGCATGTGGGGCAGCACGGCCATGTATCTGGTCACCTGGTATATGGGCTTCGAGCGCTGGAAGCTCGAATTATCGCTGGGATCCTTTGGAACTCTGCCGTTGGGCAATGTGATGGAGGCAGTGCTGCATGTCAGTGCCATGGCAAATCTTCCACTAGTCATCATTAATGTTTATAAGTACGTGTTGCTTTCTGTTTATTTAGTTCCATATATTAATGTATCTGCTATTTTTAGCTCCTACGTACATCGCACTGGACGCCTGCTGTCCTTTTGGGAAGCCATAAGGCCCATGTGGCCATTCCTTACCTACTTTGTTATTCTGCTGGCCTGGCCCTATGTCTCGCCGAACGACATCATGGAAAAGGATCCTCGCGCCATTTTCATGCTAAGCGGCACCATCTTCTCCAATGTCAGCGTGAGTATTGTAAAACCTTTCAGGGTGGTTAAAATGTGTATAAAAACTAGAGAACGAGGCTTGATCTTTAGAAAGAACAATATTAATTAAGGGGTTTCTATTAAATCTTAAAGTTTTTATTTGATTGATTATTAATATTGAAAATCCTGTCAATTTTTCGGATTAAGAGGGAAAAGTGTTTATGGTTGTTGTTAAGAAATGTAATCATTCGCCGTGGTGCTTCACTCCACTTATCAAACCTTGTCGCGTGTGTTTTGAATCATACGAAATCTAGATAAGGGGCGGGTGTGTCTACACCTTTATGTGGCCCCTTGGCCGGGAGTTAACTGCCAAACAACCACGAACCACTTTTAATGAGTCATTTGGCTTGCCTGCCATATCGGCATTTTGCTTTGATAAAACGCCCACCGGACGAAAAAGCTCGAAATGCCACCCTTTTGTTGTGGTGGCCGACGTTGCGCCAAGGATCTGGAGTTGGAGAAGCAGACTGAAGCAGACGGTCGCGAATCGCTGAGGGAGCCCATTTACACAACAACAGCGGAATATGAACCACCGTTGGCATTGAAGTTTTACGCACGCCACGACTGGCCGTATTTTAATTGCACTAGTCAGGAGGTTCGGCGCATTCGGGAGAAGCTTGACCCGGAATCCCTGAAGAATGCCAGGAAAATAGCCAGCCATGACGATGGCGTTGAGGAAAAGTACGAGATGAAGCATAACACGCCGCAGCCGATGACCTTTAACCAGATCTACGGCTGGTATTCTGATAGGGCCTACCGCTATTTGAAACAAGACCGAGGCACATTCGTCTTCCCCCACGAAAACGATCCAATGATCGAGCAAATTTTAAGAAACAAACAAAAGCGCTAGGCGAAGACGTTATGATTCCAACGTGTTACAAATTTAAGTCAGCTTTTCTTAAATATAGTTTCGATTAACAGCTACGATGAATTTTTTTTTTTTTTGGATATGAATACCTATTAACATATTGTTTGAAATCTTTTTTGCAGTGCCGACTGATTGTTTCCCAGATGTCCGTGACAAGATGCGAGGCATGGCATTGGCAAACGCCCATGTTTGTCATCTCATTCTTAGTCAGCCTGTGGATCCCGCTGCTGGAGAGGCCCTTGCTCTACATGCTCCTGCTGGTGACCACCCTGAGTCATTGGCAGTACGGCGCCAGTGTGGTCAATCAGATGTGCGATCACTTTAACCGCGTTTGCTTCACTGTTCACAAACGGGTGCCCCAAGAGGAGTCCGCAGGAAAAGCTCTGCTGGCAGACAAAATCAACCAGTCAGAGAAACATCACGAAGAGCCATTGGAGAAAAAGGATTAGGACATCGGATTGCTCGATTTTTATTTAGCTGCGGGTTTTTTTTGCAAGGTTTTCTGTACATCATTGAGGCTGTTTAGTTAAAGAATTCTTGTGAGATTATATATAATTTTTTCTTAGTTAGAATATACTTAAACATGGACTTTATCCTAGTGCTACAGTAATGTTGGAGCTTGTTTTGGCTTCTTTCCCAATGACTACGTAATGCTCTCTTCCAATGATAATTTTAAAACACTACGGTTTAATCACAACTTGACGTTATCTGTATTGAATTCAAACTCTAATGACCCATCGTAGATCAATTATCTGAACAAGTAAGCATGACAAGTGATCTGATCTGCTGCTAGAATATCAAATAAGTATTAGTTGATAGGTAATAATAGCGGCCAGATAAGTTCCAATCCATCAATTCAATTATGAAAGACAGAACCGTTTACTACTTATTCTAGACTTTAGCTTTTCAATTTTATTGCAATGGTCATGCATAATCCTGAAACTAAAGATAACGCTCGCTTCCGCTGACCTTAAAAAAATATAGCAACCGATACTTCAATGTTTTATATTCGTCTAGAGATAATCGAATAATTTCCATGCGCTATGCTTAATTTATTTCCATTGTATTACTTCAAACTGCTCCATAAAAGCAAATACACACACTACCAGCAAGCGTTTCTAACTAAAATAACCGCAAAGACCTCTAATTATTTAATCACATAAACATATTCATTATTTTTAAAGCAAATCCCAATGTCATTCAACTGTAATGTGACGTCGTCCATAGCGCCACTGCACGCTTTGTTGTTTGAGATCTATTCATGTGCCCACCCGAACCCGGAATCCCTCTTCCCGTCACAATGTGTAAAAGACAAGACAGTATACAAATAAAGCAAAATATTTTGAAATGCTCACATCGAGTTTTGAGTTGACTTCGTCATTTGATTTACGGCCATATGCTGACCGCTCTTATCGAGATTCCAGATCGCAAAGCAAGCATTTGGACTGCTTAAAAATACATTTGTAGGCCATGATGACAACTGAAAGTCCTTAATAACACATTAAATTTTAAAAACAGATTTATTTGGGTTGTTTTATTATTCAAACAAGTTTACAAATAAAGGAATTTTGGTAATCAGATCACTTTAATCTGAGAGCTCTTAATGTATGATTAAAAGAAAAGGCTAACAAATAATTGATGTTTATCAATATAATATTATTAGGAGGTTTTACTATAGATTGATCGCCTAGAATTATGGTCAGAATCTTTAAAACTCTGTTTATGACCGCACCTGTAAGTAGATAAATGCTGCACCTATGTTTGGCGAAGGCATAAATCAATTTAATAGAACTCCCATGATCGGATTGATATCGTTTGCTCAGGTGATGCGTACGTGATCTGGCTGTTAGGCCAGTCAATGGGTGAACAAAACGCTTCCTCATTAGCTAATTGGCGTGAAAATCGACTGTGGACCCCACTGTGCCGGGCGATGGGAACCGCGGTGACAGCGGCCCTTCCTCCACCCCCGCCACACCCCGCCTAACGGCCGAGCAATATCAATAAACGGAGATGGACACCGGCTACCAAGTCACGCCGCCGAAATGGGCACGGCCGAACAAAAAGAGACGGTCTGAAAGTAAGTGGCATGAATAAAAGCAAAACCAGAACGAGAATCGAGCCGAGCATTGGGAAGAGCGAAGAAAGCCGCAGCAGCAGAGGAGTTACACCCAACCGAAAAGTGGGTAAGGAATAAAGGTTATTACAAATTATTAAAGGTAGTTTTTTGTCTGGTTAAATTGGTAATTAACACAAAAGCGCAAAAAAGATTTCAACAAATATTTGGTATTGATATGCCTAAATTAAAAAAAAAAATTCTAGCTATATTAAAATGTTTCTCCTTGTTATTATTATTAATATTTGATATTAATATCCCTAAATTCAAAAAAAAAAATCTGGCTATATTAAAATGTTAAATATTGTTTTAAAAAATTGAATGTTAATTGTCATTAAGAAAATCATTATTAATGTATGGTATATGATAAGGGAGATAAATAATTTTACACAGACTTAACATAACCGCTTTAAGATTATGTATTAATTTTTCTCTGTGCACCGTCGACGGCAGCGCCAGAATATGAAAGTTGCGCCTGCACTGACTTTGGAGCTCTCCCGTCGGCCTGGGAATCAGTTGCGAGGCAGAAGCGCGCGAGTCAAGAACACCGAGCGGAGCAACTTAACCCGGAGATCTAAGTTACCTGAAAAAGAGAGATGGCCTGGAAGAAGACTTTCACGCTACTGTCGCTGCTGGTGGCAGCCACTATAGCAAATCCCCTGAGTACCACCACGGAGCCATCAATCCAAGCAGCTCCCAATCCCGAACAGACCCACACCCCGATAATAAAGGAGGAGGAACACTTTCCGGCCATTGCTCCGCCCCAGGCCATCGAGTCCAGCGGATCCAGTGGCCAACCCATCTTGCTGCAACCTCCACTGCCTTCCCCCATCGGAGATGAGGATACATTGCGTCGGAGGACCATCACCTACGATCAGCGACAGGAGGGACAGTACAACATACGCGCCGATCTCGAGAACTTTATGATCCTGTTGATTCCACCCGGGCCGCAGGAGGGGATCGGTCTGCTGGAGCTGCTGGGTCGCGGAAACACCAAGGGAAGTGGCTCCCTGAAACGCAAACATCCACTGAGGAGCAACTCCTTGAAGTCCTTCTACCAGAAGAGCCAACTCCAGAAGCCGCACAACCATCACCCATCCTCGCCAGCGGTGGCTCTACCGGAATTTATTGAGGGGAGATCTCCCTACCATGTGGACATTTCGGCCACTGATCCCGAGCAGGCTCAGCGATTGCAGCGCCAACAAGTGGACGTACTGCCTCCTCAACTGATACCCATGCCGCAACTGATTAAACCCTTTCACTTGGAGGCGGAACCGGAGTTGATTCAAGCATTGCCCCCAGTTTCCGCCAGCAGCAGTGGTTCCAATCTCCTCGAGAGCTACAACCACCAAGGATCACAATACTTTCGCAATTCCCGCTCCCTGAGAGGCGATAGCTACCTGGATACCAATCGTCTGACTGGTGGAGACTTCCACAGTCCCCGCTCCATCAGTGCTCCCATTTACCGCAGCGATATTGGAGGCGGAGCCAATGGGATGTATCCGCCCATAGATGCACCATCGTACATGTCCGACCAGTCGCGCTCCTGGCAGCTGGATGAGGAGCCCACCAGGGCTCAAGCGATGGAGCCGGAGATCGTTAGCTTCGACCTGCTGGCCGACGACGACCTGGCCGAGTCGCGGACCCTTCTGCGGGACGGACTGGCACGCTGTGCCCGCGGAGAGCGGCGGGACAGCTACGGAGCCTGTCGCCAGATCGAGGGCTACTGAGGAGGAGTGAGAACCGCCAGACTGCCAGCATAAATGTTAGTTTCATACATTGCACACACTCTAGAATTAAGTCGACGCAATCGTCTTACCAATAAATAAAAAAACTTAACCGCCACTGAGAAAAAATAATCAAGCAAATGGTTCAATAATTCTCTATCATTAAAATAATCTTTATCTTTTTAAAACCCTTTAGGATAATGTATACGGTTTTGTTTTCTGAGACCCCTTTACTGCTAATAGTAATACATTAAACAATTGTATTATTATTAGAATCTATGAGTTAGGGTCATGTTTTGCTATGCTTATCATATATCATTACCCTTTCCAGAGTTAGATCTCATTAATCACCATTTAGACGTTTACCTTAGGCTAATTGCGGAAGTGGGCACTTGATCTAACGGTCCGTCTATGATCATAATAATATTGATGCGCTGAAGGATGAGGCTGGAAACTTGACAGCCAGGGGGCCAGCAAACGGCTATTACTATTTGAGATACAAAGGCCAGCTGCTCGATAATTTGCAATGTGCAAGTTTTCAATGCGAAACCAGTTTGCAGGTGGGCGATAGCAGCCTCTTCTTCCTGTGGTCAAGTCATTGAACCCTCCTCCAGAACTGCACCCAGACTGAACAACCGAATAACTGAAAGAGTCAACAAAATTCGGAGGCGCAGATATTTATATTGCCAGCAATTAGTATAGTTATGAAGATTTCCTTTTTCTAGTGGGCTAAGCTCGAATCGAGGTTATTGGGTTAACATTTTTCGTCATCATGCTCTCCCGCATTTTTTTGTAAATTGGTTGAACATCTTATAAAGGTAAATAACGGTAACCTCTTTGTTTACTTTACAAAACAGTTTTTTTTTACTTCCATACGACTTTTTTAAATTTATTTAGACTTTATATTTTAGCATTGTAGGCCCATTTTTGCATTAGAGGACGATTAGATCGATTGCATTAAAACGATGTACTCTTAATTACAAGTTCCTTTCATATTTAATAGGGAATGTGGAATCGGAGAAGACCGACCTCAGATCTCATCTTTCGATAGCCTCTCTTAAATGGAACTACTTTCTTATATGGCTGCTAGGAAGCATTAGAAATGCGCTGAGCAAGAGATTCCCACAGCTCCCTGGCAATGCGGAAGTCTTTGGGCTGATCGCCGGGCAATGAACTGTGTCCAGAAATCGGGTTTTCTTGGTCTTCTTGGTCTTCTGGTCCAGGTGGGCTCACCTTCACTGTGCCTCAGAACATAGAATCATTCACCGCACGTCTTTGGAACTCATCGGTCCTGTCGTTTTTCGCTAGAGAAAATGTGCAAATTCACCAACCGGCTGTTCGTCTTTGCCCTGCTGCTTTTGGCATTTGGAAAAATTCTGGCCCAACCCGTTGGTGAGAAGATCAGGCCAGGGAACTCAAGGAACGTGGTCAGCGATCTGTTGGAGGTCCTTTATGATGACTACTCTGAAAATGGATTCCAGCGGGAGGACATCCTCTACGACCAAAGGCAAAAGGGCGCCGAGAACTTTCAGTTAAAAGTGGATGGAGTCGTCATCGGATTGGCTCCTCAAATGGGCTCCAACTGGTTGTACACAATGGCCGAATATTATTTGAGTAACATCTAAAAACAAATATTAATAATTTCCAATGTAAAGGGTTTTTCTCCTCAGCTGAAATGTTGTTGCGACAATCTACTCCGGAACCAGAAACAATTAAAATGTTTGAAAAGGATACCAGCACAGATACAGAATCTATAGTTTCCGAGAGCTTTACAAAAATTCCAGAGCCTGTTAAAAATGATCTGGAAAGCAGACAACAAGAAATAGTTGCGCCACATAATTCAAGCCGGTTAGTGAAAAAAAGGTTAATATTGTCTATTCATTGATTAATTTTTATAAAAATTTCAGAACTCCATCTCAACTGCTCCAATTACTAAAGATGCTTAAAAGTACAAAGGCCTAAAATAATCCTTTAAGAATTTCAGATCAATCGTTTTAAGTTTTTAGCTCGCACATGATTAAAAAAAAATGTTTCTCAAATTTAAAAATATTGGTTTTTCTTTTGTCTAGATCATTTTGCCCTAGGTTTGGTAATTAATAAAATATTTTTAAAAACGAAAAACAACGTGTGAGAAATTACTGTTTATATATGCATGTTTTAAGTTCATTTAAACTAGGGGAAGGTGGGGAATCGTGGGCCACGTTTATATTTTGTTAAATATCTTAACAAATAAAATTTTTTTCCCAAAATTGTAATATGGTATGTTATTCTACATTAAATTAGGTAACTTTTGACTATTACACTTTCTTACAATTCTTTTGTTTTTTCCGACTTTTCGTGGCTTTAAAAAAAATGGTGTTTTGGCGATTTTCAAAAATGGTGGGGAATCGTGGGCCACCCCCGTATTTGAATGAAAATCAAACAATTATGATGCAAAACTTTATTCAATTAGTAGAAATGACAAGTACAGTTATTTTAATCGAGAAAATGGAGAAGGATTATGCACAATCAATCTGATACGCAATTTGGGCACGTAAATGTGTTGGCGGAGGTAGCACATTTTGCATGGACATCTCGACCACATTCCATGCATGCAACTGAATTGTTCTTGGTCAATTTCTTTGGCATTGACTCCAAACAAAGTATGCAGAAGTCAATAAACATCATAAACACAACATACCAATGTGATTGATAACAAAAAATTTAAAAACACGGGTGGCCCACGATTCCCCACCAAAAGTGGCTCACGATTCCCCACAAGCTACTTTTTGCAAAATAACGGCGTGTAATTGACTTGTTTAAGTGTCATGCAAAATTACTTTTGTATGTTGAAAAGGAAAGGTCTAACGATAATGTGAAACATATTTACCTGTGTTTTGTCGTAGCCTTTCGTCCAAAAATGATGGAAATAAAACACACAAAAAAAGTGTTGCCGATACTTTTTTTGGGCAAGTATTGTGCAAAGCGAATAAAACGCGTGCGTTTGTCAACAACCAATGTAAAAATGATTTCAGGTTAAAAGAAAACGATGACAGGTGCATTTCACTATTTATCTCAAAATACTGCCGAAAGGTGGCGGTGGCTCACGTTTCCCCATGGCCCACGATTCCCCACTTTCCCCTACATAATTGTAAAGCAAAAACCGTTATAAAAATACCATTGTGTTTTAAATGCTTTTGCTGCAGCAAAGTGTGAAAAGTTCCATGTGAAATACGAAAATACTAAATACGGTGACTTCGCAGCACGTAAAAATATTTCGATTATCGATAACCATAATATTATTACTTATTATCAAAGACCAGCTTTGGCATTACTATACAATTTTTGGGATAGATCAGCTACTGCGGCCTAGCAGACAGGACCGTGATTTGCAAGAATTCACAGCCACGACCGTTCAAGAACCTTCCAGCAACTAGTTCGAATAGTATATAAACCAGCCGCCGATTCAGTTGCACTTGTATACACAATCGAAAACCCGAACATATACGACGCAGTAGTCGGTATAGCTCAAAATTAATATAATCTGTCACACAAATTCGCTGCAACAAGTTAATCCAGAACTAAGACGCGTCAGCAAACTAAATAAATTAGCAGGTCAACGAGAACTATAAGAAGGAATTGCGAAAATGCCGGAGAAGTTGCTGAAAATCACCTATCAGGGCTCGGCCCAGAAGAAAATAAATGCATATTTGCGTATGCCATCGCAGATTTACACCATACTGCGTCGCGAAATTGAGCTGTATCTTTTCCAAGAACGTCAGTTGCCGAAATGCGATATCAGGACCTTTTGGATCGGTAAGTTTTATAATATAAAAGTAGAAGAACCAAACCAGCCAAGAAAAAACTTTAGGTCAAGAATTTCAGTGAAGTCTCAAACATTGCAACATAACTGCATTCCACAGTGCTGAAAATTTAGCTATAAAATGAATGTACTCGTTTTATACAAAAAAAAATTTGTTGTGCATTTTACTACTGTATCTTACTGGGATTCACTTTGATTATAAATAAGTAACGGCTTATCAATTACGCTAACCTCTGCCAAATATTTATATACCTTTGAATGTGGTCAACACAGTAATTACTCTTTACAATGCTCAATTTTTAACTAAAATGTTAAATTTAAAGACAAATTTTTATTTCTGCAGTGCTTATATAAAAAAAAATTCATTTTGTTAAACAAATAATGGACTGGTTATGTTGATCGTCACAACCACAACTATAACAAGTTCTTCTTGCTTTTGTTCACTTTGTGATTCACCTGTGATAACAAAACCTAAAATGACTCATGATTTTTTTTTACACTTTTTCTATTTGATGTTTTCAGATAGCGATCAGGATGAAATCGAAATTGTCAACCAAAATGACTACGAGATTTTCCTGGCCAAGTGCGAACCCAATATGCACGTCCAGGTGGCTCCATTGCCATCCGTGGAGGAGGAATTAAAGGCCGACAAACAGGGGGCTTCTTCTTCGGCGAACAGCGCTGAAGCTCCATCTCCTGATGATCCGAGCAATTTCACCATCCATGACACCGTTGAGTGCGATGGCTGCGGATTGGCCCCATTGATTGGCTTCCGCTACAAGTGCATCCAGTGCAGCAACTTTGATCTTTGCCAGAAATGCGAGGCGGCCCACAAGCATCCCGAGCACATGATGGTCCGCATGCCGACCAATAATGGACACACTGTAGTGGATGCCTGGTTCACTGGATCGAATCCATGGGGTCGCCGTTGCGGTCGCCGCTCCAGGGGACACTGCCCATTCCAGGAGGCCGCCCAAGCTACTCCAGCTGGCGATTCCTCCAAGGAAAGTCGCCGTGAACGCCGTCACGCTCGTCGCCATGGCGGTGTCTTGTCCCAGTTTGTGGAGATGATGACCAATTTGCCGCTAAACGAAACAACAACCAGTGCACCGGCTGAACCGGAGAAGCCCAAGCCAGCCGATCCTAAACCAAGTGCTCCGCAGGCTGAGCCCACTGTAACCGCTCAAAAGGCAGCCGAAACTGAGGCCAAGCCAACTGAACCAAAGAAGGTCAACACTGAGCCTCAAACAGCTCCTCCCACTGAGGATCCAGTGACTGCTCCTCGCTCTAACGAGGGCAGCACTCCCACTACTCCAGTGATCAATCTAGAGAATCTGACGCAGATTGTGCCACCCGAGTACATGCGCGCTGGCATTGAGATCTTGAATAATTTCAGCGAAATGTTCGCCAAGATGATTGATCCCACTGAGACTGGGGATTCGGGAATATTTGCGCCCTCAATGACCCCAAGTACTGGGGCCAAGAAGCCAGAGGAAGCTCAATCTGCTGCTCCTTCGGCCAGCCAGTCAACTACATCTACTGCTGCTCCTTCGGTTAATCAATCGAATGCCCCCTCGGCTAATAATTCAAATGCTCCCTCGGCCAACAATTCAAATGTTTCCTCGGCAAATCAATCGAAGGCGCCATCCGCTAACCAATCGGCCACTCCATCGATTTCAGGATCTATTATTTCTGAGGGTCCTCTTGAAACAGAGCCCTTGATTCCGGAGCCAGCACAGCCTGTACAAGTTCCACAAGGAGAGGAGGAGAGGCGCCGTTCGGACAGCTTGGACCAGGATTGGCAGGTTATCGACAACGCCTATTCGGCGAACAACAACAGCAACCTGATCAATCTGGATCAGACCAATCCCACAGCTGCTCCCCAGCAGCCAGTGAGTGATTTTGGTCAGTTGGGCGAACTCTTGCGTCAGCACATTAATGAGGAGGCACGCGTGGAGCAGGCCACGGCCAATACCCAGACCGCTCAGGTGGATACGGTAAGTACGTCGACTTCGACCACTTCGGTGTCCACCAACAGTGTCGGCACCTCTCCAGCAGCTCCCGAGGAAAAGCGCAGCGTGCCCGTTTACCACACAGGTAATTCCTCAAAAAAAATCTTAATGATCTTTTTAGTAACTATCTCTATTTTTAGACGAGCGAATTAATTCCTCCATCCATGCCATGATGGCCATGGGTTTCAGCAACGAGGGCGCTTGGCTCACCCAGCTTTTGGAATCGGTTCAAGGCAATATTCCGGCCGCTTTGGACATAATGCATACCTCGCAGAACCGAATCTAAATATGCATATACAATAACCATATATCTATTACGTATCTTCAATATTTATAGGGCCCATTAAAAAAGGGAATTCTTATATATTATCTGTTTATTATGTAGCTTTAGAATTTTTCTGTGGTGCTTGATTATTCTCGTTACCAAAAAAAAGTGAAAATGTATTTGATGTTTTAAATAATCAACAACATGTTATCATATATATGTGAAACTACAATAAAGGCACAAAGTCAAAATCAATCAAAATGTCTTTAGTTCTTTATTAACGTGTGGGTGTTTTTATTAAGTAGAGTGTGATAGACAATTAGACAACATAAGCTTCCACTAACAAGATAACAAAATGTTCACTTGCAATCCTTTTAAACCGCATACACAATTTCACGATGAAAATGGAAAATTCGTTTGGGGTATTTATCAGTTCCGCGCAGCGTGCTTTCTATTTATAGTGATTGATAAATCTACAATACTTTTTGTGGTATTCGATACCTTCCAAAAACTGCCCTGAAGTATTGAAGTTCCAGAGTATTAGCTAGCTCTCATTCATTAAAAGAGTTTTTAAAGATCTTCTCTCGGCTCTGTTGCTTCGGATCCAATAAAATAATTAGTCGCCAAAGCAGCAATATCTCGCAAAAATCTACGGAATTCGTAGTTTGCTGTCGTTATGGTGGCGATGAATGTGAAAAACTTGAACAGCTTCTGGTGGTGCGGCTTCCATTGTCGGCGACCGAATCCTGTGTTGTAACCGAACATTTGCGAGACCATTAGAGCTAGGAATCCGGACAAGCCAAAGAATCGATGGAGCAGTTTCAAGGTGAAGCCACCGCTGATGAAATACAGCGGAAGACCGCTGAGAACGCTGCCCAGCAGAAGAGCACAGCCGACAATACCTGAGATTAAGGAATAAATTATCATTGTATTTGGGGAAAGAACCAATGAGACCCACCGTAAAACGCGTGATTGCTCTTAAAGTGACGAACTGTGGCATTGGGATCTTCGCGTTTGCGCTCAAGCTTTTGCCACGTCTTGATGCCGATGCCACCGACTCCGACCACGAAAGCTAGTAGACCCAGGGCGGCATGTAATCTGTTTAGGTTCAGAGAACCCAGCCAGGACTCCAAGTATGTGCTATTCCGCACCAGCAACGCCTCTCCCATGAAGAAAACAAACTGCGGAAAAGATATGTACATATGTTTAAAAAGTTAGATCGTGTTTGTAAACATGACTATGAACTACAGAGGAAGCTGGCTTCAATAGATGTATAGAAAGTTATATGTCCTTGAATATGAATAGGTAGTAAGTAATTTGATTTTAACTATTTATTCATAACTGAAGATAAGGAATTATCAGTTTTTTTTAAATATGATCTGCTTCTGACTAGAACAATCTCTTGATAGTTAGACGAACTAACAAGTTTATATTGGCCGCTATTAAACTATAAACCTTATAAATATGTATATGTTTTTGCGTTTCCAACTTATGAATGATATTATAATTCTGTAAGGCTCAAAGCACAAAACTATGGTTCTACATACATGTGCATTTTTGAATGTGTTAAACCTTGACCTCCATCTTTCACCTCATATTTAACTTATAGTTTTTGTGATTGTATCAGATCCCAGATATAAATAAAAGTACTCACGGCGATTGTGCAGTAGAAGGCATGTCCGGCGGTGTGAACCAACTTGAGCACCAGACACTTATAAACAATGGCTACCGTAATCCCCGCCAGAAGGACATGGGAGATCAGGTTGCAGAAACCAAAGTAGAACCCTCCATAGGTGCTCTGTAATTCGGCACTCGCCATTATGTTGTGGAAAAATCCCTTATCTGCTACGTGAGATGCGCACGTCGAACCGATAAGCCAGATCGTGGTATGTATATGTAACTATAAACTGAAACGCGACCGCTCGATTCGAGTGTTAGAACGCTTTTGACCGCCTGACGGCATGAAACAGCTGGAAAAAAAGCCATCGAAAGCTCGCAGTTAGCTCTCTGCAGCCGGAGAATTCCCCCAAAGTGTTCCGATCCGGAAAAAATCACAATTTCAAAGCCATTGGAGCGCGATTTGTGCAAAAAGTGAATCAGCAGATTGCCACCCGTTCACGTGTTTTTACCTTGGCGCGGGAAAGGCGGCAGCAACCACAGGTGGAACTGATTGATATTGTTATTTTTGGAGCATTCTAAAACCAGTTTGGGATAATTGGCCGGGCCAAGTGTACGGAATTAATCATGGTTCTTTACCATGAGTGTTTTCCAAAATAAAAGGAGTCAAGGCTTTTAAATTGTCCTGAACAAAGCAAGAGCTTTAATGATTGTTATAAACAAATAATTTTTAAAGTGCATTTTTATTTGTTAACTTTTCAACTGCTTGAATAAATTGATACATGTCCTTACTATCTACATTTTTTGTTTAGATATTGATAAGGTTCACCCTAACTGATCGGTGTTGTGAAATTACTAACAAAAGAAAATGTTTGATAAATTAATAGCTAAAAGCAAAACGACTAGAAAGAGATAAGACGCAAGAAATGTTTGCATGGGGAAACCCAATAATAACACTATTCAACAAAGATCTTGTGTTTATTTATTCACGATCTATATCTTTTCTTTTTTTTAAAAGAGATTTGGCATGCATGTCGTATGAGTAATTCAAATTTATGTTTTGTATGTTTATACTGTCAATTGTTGTTTGTTCTAGTTTTTTAATTACCTGTAAAAGTATATATGTATAAGTATATAAAAACATTTTTAGTAAGCTGTTTTAGGCAAGCAAAAAATATTATACCATAAAAGGGGCGTGTATAGCCATATTATTTCTAACCTGTTGAGTTTGTTAACAGATAACAGGGTACAAAAACAATTCTTATGCATACAAGTATTACTAAGGAATATACCGAGCAAGAGAGAGCAAAAGGGGAATCACCAAGCAGAAATCCAGTTCGGTAAACATCTCCCCTCTTATATACGGCACTATCTCTCATGCATTAGTCATATCAATAGTATATACCCGTTCAATTTGCAAGGCAATGTGAAATACTGGCAAGTGACGTCATTCTTGAGCAAGCCGAGAGAGAAAGAAATTGCGTCCCACTGCGGACTGTGCCAAAACAACAACAGCTGGCTAAAAAAGATAGAGAAAGAGAGTTGTTTTATATATAACGCCAAGTCAGTCGGCCGGTGTATTCCACATAAAGCGGCAGTTCTGTTTGCACTGCTACTCAACAAGTCCAAAAAATATCCCAAACCCTAGCTGTCACCCAAAAAAACATAAACATTTTTAAACAAAATATATTATTTGGGATTTTACGCGAGTAAATTTTCTAAGAAATATTTATTTGGGTTTCTACAATCACCCCAACTCATGTACGTAAATCATTTAAATGACCGAAAATCTACATCTTGAATTATTGCGGAAAACACGAAGCGACAATTATTAGTGACAATTAAAGTGTAAACTATTGAAAAACCCCAGAGGACCTTAAAAAAGTAGTTGTAATTTTACTATTGCATGACCATAGTTCTGTGACAAATACCTGAAATATCACTCATCAGAATATCTGATTACCCCATGGCAGTACCTTTACTTCTTTTGTGCAATATAAACATTTCAATAAACACGTTATATGCCGTTTCTTGATATGGCGAAATAATTAATTGTTCACAACTTTTTAATATGTGTGTTTATTGTTTTGTCACAGAGTTAATTAATTTGGCATTTAAAAAGAACACATTACAGAATTAATTCTTCAGCCAGAACACAATCACACAGTTATAAATTTCATTTTTTATATGTTATCACAAAGAGGTTGTCGCTTTTTAAAAACTTTCCATTCAATAAAATGTTTTATATAAACTGTAATATTTCACTATAATAATTGTGAATAATTGTTTTGGAAGAGTAAGCCCACCTCATCATATACTTATATTTATATTCAAGTGGCTATTGCCGGCTTTTTTATGACCAGTGTCATTGTTTTGGTTTTGTTTGCCCAACTCGTCATCGATTTGGTGCACACATAGGCCGGCTTATATACACAGTATTATTGACTAATGATTTTTTATCAGTATCATTTAAACGACTCAAGCTCGAGAGCGTCTGCCCGGCTTGGGCTTGGGATTGGGATTCGGTGCTATAACAAATCCGTGAGGCAGCAAACCGAACCAGTCCCAGCTCGGCTTTGAGCACCGACGGTTGTGCCGCGCTCGCAATATCTGTTCCCCAACCAGCAACAACCGAAGCCAGAGAACTAACTTTATTTGTATTTGATTTGATTTTTTTCATTCCTGCCCTCCTTCGACCAACAACGCAAATAAAATGCGTCGCGCAGACGCTTTTGCTGTCACGGCTTGTGCGATTTTGGCCCTGCTGCAGATGATGGAACCGGTAAAGGCCGAGGGGTAAGTCAATTTCCAATTTACTATGTGATCGGATGGGTCAGAAGACACACCTGCGGCCAAAATAATAGTTATATAGAATAAGGCAAAGGCAACGTGTTAATTTTTATGATATTGATATGAGATAATATAATTTTTTTTAATAGTTAGAATCGAACAATATCATCTTGTATTTATTTGTTTAATCCAAATATGAGCCCAAATTTAAATGTAATTATGACTCGAATTGCTACTATTATCTTTAATGTATTCATTAGTAAAATCAAACCCATATTTACCATATATAATTGTTATTGCCACTATAAAATCCCTAGTAACTATATAGATGCTGGTGTGTATATTCAATAATTAAATATGCATATAGGCAGATACGGCAGTTTTTTAATTTGCTTCAAGGTGAAATATATTTTGTTCGCTTTTTTATACATTATTTAACAAAAAATATTATTTAAAGGGCATGTTACAGGGCATTAAATATCAATGTTTTTAATATTCAGCAATAATATAGCGAATTTATTTCAATTTTAAGTAATTTATTTCTTTGAAGTTTAAAAAAACCCGAAGGTCGCAAGTGGTTTTGCTAGATCCCAAAGGTAAATTACCTTTTTTAATGATTTTAAAAATCAATTACGTGTTCTTTATCACATCGCTAAATTGATTTTCTTGTTGAGCTTGAGATGCTAATTGATGTTCCCAGTAAGCCATATTACATACAGATTCTTATATTTCAAAACTAAACAAGTGAACACGTCACCTATTTTGTTTAACTTAATGATTTTGTTAATTAACACCACATTAATCTATGAACAATCGTGGATCTGTACTAAGCAATGAAGCTAATTAGAAGTAATTAGAAGCGAATATAAAGATAAATTATTGAACACAATTAAAAATGCAAAAAAGTAAGAACAATCCCAGTAAAAGTCTCAACAAAATTTCACGCAAATACTGATGATCAGGTTAACCACATCGGTTTGTACGTGACCGAGGACTGTAAGTGCGAGAAAAATGGCTGCTCGTAATAAAACTCGGATTATATAATCGCTGAGCCGGTTTTTAAACCGAGGCAGATCTCGTTCCCGGAATTTTTACCGTTATCTCTAAAGTTATTATAAATGCATGTATATGTATTTATGTATAATTGTTAGGCTAAGGCACAAAATAAAAATCCATTAGTACACAAATTTGTTTTTTTTTTTGACATTTTTTTAAGAATTGATAAAGATTAGGTTTAAGGTCAAATTTTAAGTTCGCTCGGAGATAAGACAACTTTGTTGTTATACAGCACTAACAATTTTTAATTTACGACAAAATAATATTCACAAAGTACTCAAAAACTTTTCCAGGAGCTTTAATATGCTTGCCTACGATATAAATAATATTGTACATATTTACTTGATTAATAATCATCTAATTTGTTGTATCTTCGCTTCGATTGCAGTAAATACACGATTGTGGGTCCCGGAACTATCCACTCGAACCGCGACTACAATGTGGCCGTGGCTGTTCACCAGACCAAGGAGCCAGTTACCCTGAAGGTGGGCATCACTGGTCCATCCTACAACGAAACCCAGACCGTGGAGCTGGCCAACTCGGAGGAGTTTAAGCAGATCACCTTCAAGCTTCCTCCGCTGGAGTCGGGCGACTACAATCTCACGGCCGAGGGTGTGAAGGGGCTGGAATTCAAGAACACCACAAAATTGAGCTGGGAGGAGTTCAAACCCTACATCAAAATCCAGACCGACAAGGGCAAGTACAAGCCGGGCGATACGATCAACTACCGTGTGATCTTCCTCGACGAGAACCTGCTGCCCGACAAGGCTGACGACAAGGTGGTTGTGTGGTTCGAGGACTCCAAGAGGAATCGCATCAAGCAGGAGAAGCACATCAAGCTCACCGGTGGCGTCTACACGGGAAAGTTCGAGCTCTCCGAGTTTGCCACCTTGGGTAGCTGGTCGCTTCAAGTTCAGAACGGAGAACAAAAGTCATATGAAGGTTCGGGTGTTCTGAGAGGCAGATTCATTCCCTACTGGCGTCATTCAGATGAACGGGTTAACTTCGATGTGGAAAAGTACGTGCTGCCCAAGTACTCGATCAAAGTGCAGGCCACTGAACAAGTTTCAGTGCGGGATGGAGAATTGGACGTCGTCGTTAAGGCCAAGTAAGTTAGCAATCAATGAGATAATTCCCATGATCACAAAACCTTATTTATACCTCCAGCTACACTTACGGGAAGCCTGTTAACGGCAAGGTTGTTGTAAATGTGAATATGGCCGAAACGAGCATTTGGGAGAATATCGATGGCAAGACCGTGCGCAAGGACTTGCCAGGTCACTCGGTGATCGGCACCGCCAACATGGAAGGTGGCAAGGCCAAGCTTACCCTGGATCTCAAGAGTTTCGCCAGTTTTTTGCCGTACAAAACCTCCTCCTCATATGCCGAAGTTCTTGCCACAGTCGAAGAGGATTTCACCGGCGTCAAGCTCAACGGAACGGCCGGTGTTCAACTGTATCCCTATCGCTACGAAATGTCCTGCACGGACTACTCCTCCTGCTTTTCATTTAAACCCGACAAGGAACACGATCTTGCCTTCAAAGTCACTCTAGTCGATGGCACTTTCGTCACGGACACCAAGTCGGTTGTAAAGGTGACTTTATTAACTATATCTCACATCGCTAAAAACTAACTGATTTACTTTCAAATTTAGGTCAAGTTCACTGAAGGAATTCGACACAATTATGGCTTTTATGGTCATGGAATAAATTTGGAAGAGCCAAAAACGCCCGAGATTGAGAATAAAACATTCGTTTTCGAAAGCCATTTAAATGAGTCGAGTATTGCGAACTTTAAGGTTACTTTGCCCGATCTTCCGGACATTGCGAACTTCTCCCGCTACTACAACATCGAATTGGAATTTTTGGACGAGAAGCGAGATCTCTACACCACTTATCCCTACAGGGAGCCAAAGAAGGTGGAGAACCCCGACACCGAGGAGGAAAAGGAGTGGTTCAAGGCTGATGTTAACAGGCCCAAGGATACCTGGAAGTAAGTACATGTACCCTAAACATCAATAAGTTTCATAGGCTTACAATCATCTAAAGTCATTTTTACAACCATCAAGCTTATGAAATGTATTTCCTTGAGACCGAACTACCATATAACAAGTTACAATTACAATTTAAACCTTTGTTACAGCCTCAAGATCGGCGAGGAATATCAGGTGACACTCAACTCCAGTCGTCCTTTGAAGTACTTTGTGTACAACATCGTGGGACGTGGAAATGTTCTAGAGACGAAACGTGTCGATTTGCCCGAACCACAAAAAACCGTGAACGTTACCCTGAAGCCCACTTTCCAGCATTCTCCCAATGGACGAATGTACTTCTATTATGTCGATGAGACCGGAGAATTCCGATTTGTCGAGGTAAACTTCAGCGTGGAAGTTGAGCTGCAGAACAAGATCGAAATCAAGGCCCCCGAGCAGGTGAAACCGGGTGCAGAAGTCGAGCTCGAGATCAAGACGGAGCCCAAGTCCTTCGTTGGCCTGCTGGCCGTCGATCAGAGTGTCCTTCTGCTGGGCAACAATAACGACCTGACCAAGGATGCCTTCAACTGGCGCCTCAGCCGCTACGACACATCCACTCCATGGCAAGGAGGATACTCCTATTATCCCGGAGAGCGAAGTGGCGTGGTAACGATGACCAATGCCTATTTCTTCTACAACCGCACCGCTCCTGTTTCCCATATACGTAAGTACTCGTATAATATATTTAACAAGAAAGGAAGCTAGCTTCGGCAAGCCGAAGCTTATATACCCTTGCAGTCATCAAATATGTCAAACAAAATGCATAAAGGCTAAACAACATCGAAGCTATAACGATTTTTCTATTCATTTTCCATATTTCCGACTATAGATCATATGGGAGCTATATGATATAGTTGTCCGATTTTGATCAAATTTAATTCGTAATTTAAGAGTCGTAAGAAAACTCTATATTTCAAAAATCATTCTTGTCTGATTAAAAACCACGATGTTATAATTTTACTTCCGTTATTTCTATATAGATTTTTCGATCTTTCCTATGACAGCTATAAGATATAGTTGACCGATTTTTATGAAACTTTTTTCTCAATATAAGAGTTGTTAAAAAACTTGATATTCAAAAAATCGTGCTCATAGGATAAAAAACAACGATGTTATCAATTTATTTCCATTAATTCTATATATATTTTTTGATCTCTCCTATGGCAGCTATACGATAGAGTTATCCGATTTTGATAAAATTTAATCCGAAATTCAATAGTAGTTAGAAAACGCCATCTGGAAGAATTGAAGTCGATCTGATCAAAAACAACGGCCTGAGAATTTTTTATTTCATTCTCTCTTATTGGAGCTATCCGATATAGTCGGCCGATCCGGCTCGTTCCTTTTGGGAAAGTTTCAGCAAGATAGCTTTAAAACTAAGAGACTAGTTTGAAGAGAAACAGACAGACGGACAAACGGACTGACGGCCAGACGGACAGACGGACAAACGTACAGACGTATTCTGATTCTACTCGTGATGCTGATCAAGAATATATATACTTTATGGGGTCTGAGGTGTCTCCTTCACTGCGTTGCAAACTTCTGACTGAAATTATAATACCCTTTTGCTCTGCAAGGGTATAAAAACCAATCTTTAACTAACACCACTAGAACCTGAGTTATAAGTTCTAAAAAATGATTGAACTTATTGAAATTGAGTTTAAAATATATACTGAATACTGAATTTACATTTACAGAAGCATTTGGTGCTGGTGGATCCGTCTTCGCGATGAGAAAAACATCTGTGCTCCAAGATGCAGCGGTGCACTCAACAACGGCTCCAATGTCGGCTGTGGGTGGACAAGCCGTCGGATTTGCAGCAGAATCCGCATCAGCAAATCCTGTTGTGCGAAAGAACTTCGCGGAGACTTGGATTTTCGCCGACATTGAGAGCACAGAGGAGGAGGTCTTCAAGTGGGTGAAGACCATTCCCGACACGATCACCAACTGGGTGGTCACCGGCTTCTCGCTGAGTCCTACCAAGGGATTGGGTGTCACCGATGACAAGGTGAACATCAAGACGTTCCAGCCGTTCTTCGTCTCCGTTCGACTGCCCTACTCCGTGAAACGTGGCGAGGTGATCAATGTGCCAGCACTGGTCTTCAACTATTTGAACAAGCGACTGGACGTGGAGTTGACCCTGGACAACGAGGATGCCGAGTACGACTTCGTGGATGCCTCCAACGAGGTGATTGGCGATCAGAAGCGCACCCAGTCAATCCGAGTGGGTGCCAATGAAGCCGCAGGCGCCTCCTTTCTGATTCGCCCGAAGGTGATTGGCAACATTCTACTCAAGTTCACTGCCATTTCTCCTCTGGCTGGCGACGCCGTGCACAAATCTCTGAAGGTGATCCCCGAAGGTACCACCAAGTACCAAAACAGGGCGTTCTTCATCAATCTCAAGGAAAAGAAGGAGTTCAAGTCCAACTTTGAGTTGGAAGTACCCGAGAATGTGGTGCCCGATTCGGAGCGAGTCGAATTCGGTGTGGTGGGTGATCTCCTGGGACCAGTGATCAAGAACCTGGAGAACCTGCTGCGATTGCCCAGCGGCTGCGGTGAGCAGACCATGTCCAAGCTGGTGCCCAACTACCTAGTCAGGGAATACCTGCAGAGCATAAAAAAACTTACCCCCGCGTTGGACACTCGCATCAAAAGGAATCTGCAGGAGGGCTATCAGAATATGTTGCACTACCGCCACGAAAACGGAAGTTACAGCTCCTTTGGACCCTACAAGTTTAGGCCAGAGGTTCCCGAGCGGGAAGGTTCCACCTGGCTAACGGCCTACGTTCTGCGTTCCTTTAGCAAGATTAAGGATATCGTTGACCTCGATGAACAGCTCTTGGCCAAGGGCTATGAATTCCTTCTATCTCGCCAGGCAGAAAATGGCAGCTTCACTGAAACCGGAGAGTACTTTTACGGCTCCCAGAAAAATCATCTGACCCTCACGGCAAACGCCTTGCTGGCTCTGCTGGAGGAGGAGAAGCCCAACCAGGCAGCCATTGACAAGGCCGTGGCCTATCTGAGTTCCAACACGGCGGAGTCCGAGGAGCTGCTGCCCAAGTCCATTGCCGTTTATGCTCTGCAAAAGGCGAAGGCTCCGAGTGCCGCGAAACTTGTGGGCCAACTGAAGTTGCTGGCCAAACAGGAGGATGATCGCACTTGGTGGACCGAGGATTTGGATAAGATTCGCTCTATTGGGTACCCAAAACGTTGGTGGTCTTGGGTCTGGAGCAACGATGTGGAGATCACCTCCTATGCCCTGCTCTCACTCCTGGAATCCGATCAGGAGTCGGCAGACTCGGTGCTGAACACAGTTCGTTGGCTGGTGGCCCAGCGCAATAGCTACGGAGGTTTCGGTTCCAGCCAGGATACAGTTGTGGGTCTATCGGCCCTCATTAAATTCGCCCAGAAATCTGGCTACGAGGCGGCTAAATGTGAAGTGACCGTTTCGAACAAGGGCAAACGCGAAAAGACCGAAAAGCTAAGCACATCGGAGGAGAACGACCTTCTGCTCCAGACGATCGAATTCCCACAGGGCACCAAGTCCCTCGAGTTCGAGGCTAAGGGCACCGGATCCGCTCTCGTCCAGATAAGCTATCAGTACAACGTGGTGGAGAAGGAGCCGAAGCAAAGTTTCAAGATCGAAACCATCGTCTTGCCAGAAGTAGCGCCAGCCAAGCTCGAACTCAGCGTTTGTGTGGACTTCATCGAGGAGGGCAAGGCCAAGGAATCTAATATGGCCATCTTGGAGGTGTCCCTGCCCTCCGGTTACACCTCCGATGAGGAAAGCTTCAACGCCATCAAGGAGATCGAGCGTGTTCGGGTGAGTGTCACTATTTGAATTTTTTTTTCATCTATGTAAGCTAATAAATTTTTTCTTTTCTAGTTGGTGGAAACCAAGAACGGAGATTCCGTGGTGGTTGTCTACTTTGAGAACCTGGCCAAGAGCGAGAAGAAGTGCATTCCCATCGAGGCCTTCCGGACACATTCGGTGGCCAACCAGAAGCCATCTTCCGTGGTCCTCTACGATTACTATGACACGAACAAGAGGGCCACGGAGTACTACTCCATCGACTCCAAACTCTGCGACATTTGCGAAGGAGCCGACTGCAAGAGCAAATGTTAATAACATCGAAACCAAAACAAGCGAACAATATCATATATTTGACCTATGTATATCAAATACAATTTTGTGATTATAATGTATCAAATTCTGCGTTTTAATAATTAAAGCAAACCCAATTTTTGAAAATTTAGAATGGGGTTACTTCACAAGAATTGATCGAAAATTGAAGTTTGGTAGAGAATAAAAATACAAACTTTAGAGGTATATCACTTCAAAATCTTATTAAAATTGACACTTTGCTCAATTTTCAGCAAACCAATTTTTTGCAATCTTGGAAATGGATTGTATCATAAAAATTATCAAAAACAAAAGCAACGATGGGATGAATATTTTCCCGTTATTTTTTCGATCTCTCCCATGGAAGCTTTCCGATAAAGTCGCTCGATCGAGACCGTTTCGACTTATATACTGCGTGCAATCACTACAGCAGGTTCACCAAGATAGCTTTAAATCTGAGAGACTAGTTTACATTGAAACGGAAAGACGGACAGAGGGACGGACGGATATACTGTACATTAAAATGTTTGAAGGACAATAATAATGCACAAAAATACACTATTGGAGTTGGAAAACTCCCCAAAAATTCACTCAGCATGGGAAGTAACGGGACGGCGTCGGACTCCGGTGATTCCGTGTCCAAAAAAGTAACGGGACGATGACCGACTTCGGACTAGATGATGCCATGTGCAAAAGGAAATAACGGGTGTGCGCAGAGGGCAAAAGGATGAACGCCGAGGACTAACGGGAACAAAAGGCGAATTAGTCCTCAATGCGAATTGACACAGGTAGCAGAGGTCCTGTAGCCATCATACGGCTAAAACAAGGCGCCTGTGAAGAGTTTTAGGAGGCTTCTGTTGGCTTAGAAAATCTGTTCGTTACACTAATTAATTAGCTTAATTAAATATACAAAGAACATTGCTATGAAATCAACCGTTCACTTTTCACTTAGTCGACTAACTCGACAGCGTCTGCCCGGCTTGTAATTGGGATTCGGTGCTATAACAAATCCGTGAGGCACCAAACTGAACCAGACACAGCTCGGCTTTGAGCTCCGACGGCTGTGTCGCGCTTGCAATATCTGTTCCCCAACCAGAAAGCGGAACCAGAAAACTAACTTTAGTTGTATTTCAATTTTTCAATCAATTTATTCATTCCTTTGGCCAAGAACTCAAATAAAATGCGTCGCGCAGACGCTGTTGCTGTCACGGCTTGTGCGATTTTGGCCCTGCTGCAGATGATGGAACCGGTAAAGGCCGAGGGGTAAGTCAATTTCCAATTACTATGTGATGTGATGTGTGGCCAAAATAATAGTTATAAAGGATAAGGCAAACGCAACAGGTTAATTCATAATGAACTAGTTTTTATTGCAGTTGATCAGGAAACATCGAAAACATCCATTTACATATGCCCTTGGCATTTAATATCAAAATTTGTAAAACACAGCAATTAAATAGCGTAATAATTTCAATTTAAAGCAATTCAGATATTATTTAAGGGGCATTACATTTATACCCTTGGCATTTAATATCAGTGTTTCTTAAACACAGCAATTAAATAGCGCAATAATTTCAATTTTTAGCAATTTATTTCTATAAGCACACAAATTTGAAATATATTTTTGACCTTTTCAAACCATGTTATAATGCTAATGTTTAGGGTTAACAATAATTTGTTAAGAGATTAGACAAAAGTATCGACATTTTACTTTATTAGATTAAATGTAAAGCTGACGTTCTTACTAAATGAAGGGCATATTCAAGAAATTCTATGGTGTCATTCAAGACATAAAATTGTAAATACATATATATGTACAAACATTTGTTTATAAAAAATATTGCTCATCTGAAATTTGAATAATATTAAAAATTTTCATATTTTAGAAAATCAACATTTTCATTAAAAATAAAGGGTGTCGACAAAGTAAATAGCATTGTACTTTCTTGCTTGAATTTATTAACAAATAAAATTCGATTGATAATCATCTCATTAGTTGAAAATTCGATTCCATTGCAGTAAATACACAATTGTGGGTCCCGGAACTATCCACTCGGCCCGCGACTACAATGTGGCCGTGGCTGTTCACCAGACCAAGGAGCCAGTTACCCTGAAGGTGGGCATCACTGGTCCATCCTACAACGTAACGCAGACCGTGGAGCTGGTCAATTCGGAACAGTTCAAGCAGATCACCTTCAAGCTTCCTCCGCTGGAGTCGGGCGACTACAATCTCACGGCCGAGGGTGTGAAGGGGCTAGAGTTCAATAACTCCACCAAGTTGATCTGCCAGATATTTAAGCCCTATATCAAAATCCAGACCGACAAGGGCAAGTACAAGCCGGGCGATACGATCAACTACCGTATGATCTTCCTCGACGAGAACCTGCTGCCCGACAAAGCCGACGACAAGGTGGTTGTGTGGTTCGAGGACTCCAGGAGGAATCGCGTCAAGCAGGAGAAGCACATCAAGCTCACCGGTGGCGTCTACACGGGAAAGTTCGACCTCTCGGAGTTTGCTAACTTGGGTAGATGGTCGCTTCAAGTTCAGAACGGCCATGAATCGAACGAACATGTTAACTTTGATGTGGAAAAGTACGTACTGCCCAAGTACTCGATGAAAGTGCAGGCCACTGAACGCGTTTCAGTGCGGGATGGCGAATTGAACGTTGACGTTAAGGCCAAGTAAGTAAGGTGTTTATTGCTGAGATAGTTCCCTTGATTCAAAAATCGTAATTATATTCCCAGCTACACTTACGGCAAGCCTGTTAATGGCAAGGTCGTGGTAAATGTGAATACGGCCGGTCACTCGGTGATCGGCACCGCCAACATGGAAGGTGGCAAGGCCAAGCTTACCCTGGATCTCAAGAGTTTCGCCAGTTTTTTACCGTCCAATACCTCTACCTTGCATGCCAAAGTTCTGGTCACCGTCGAAGAGGATTTCACCGGCGTTAAGCTCAAAGAAACGACCGGTGTTCAACTGTATACTAATCGCTACAAAATGTACTGCATCCTTCCTTGTTTTTCATTTAAACCCGATAAGGAACAGGATATTGCCTTTAAAATCTCTCTAGTCGATGATACTTTGGTCACGGACACAAAGTCGGTTGTAAAGGTGAGTTAATTATATATCAATATCACAGAAACTTACTGCTATAGTTTCCAATTTAGGTCAAGTTCACTGAACTTAAACGCGATTACGTCTTTAAAGATCATGGAGAGATTGAGATTGGTCCCGAAGTTGAGAATAAAACATTCGTTTTCGAAAGCCATTTAAATGAGTCGAGTATTGCGAACTTTAAGGTGACTTTGCCCGATCTTCCGGAAATTGCGAACATTCCCCGCTACTACAAAATCGAATTGGCATTTTTAGACGAAAAAAAGATCTCAGTCAAATTCTAAGACCCTACAGGGAACCAAAGGAGATCAATCATCCCAACACCGAGGAGGAAAAGGAGTGGTTCAAGGCTGATGTTAACAGACCCAAGGACACCTGGAAGTAAGTACATGTACCCTAAAACATCAATAAGTTTCACAGGCTTACAATCGTCTAAAGTCATTTTTACAAAAGTCAAGGTTATAAAATATATTTCCTTGAGACCGAACTATAATAACCTATAATAACAATTTCACCCTTTGTTACAGCCTCAAGATCGGCCAGGAATATCAGGTGACACTCAACTCCAGTCGTCCTTTGAAGTACTTTGTGTACAACATCGTAGGACGTGGAAATATTCTGGAGACGAAACGTGTCGATTTGCCCGAACCACAAAAAACCGTTAACGTTACCCTGAAGCCCACTTTCCAGCATTCTCCCAATGGACGGATGTACTTCTATTATGTCGATGAGACCGGAGAATTCCGATTTATCGAGGTTTACTTCAGCGTGAAAGTTGAGCTGCAGAACAAGATCGAAATCCAGGCCCCCAAGCAGGTGAAACCGGGTGCAGAAGTTGAGCTCGAGATCAAGACGGAGCCCAAGTCCTTTGTTGGCCTGCTGGCCGTCGATCAGAGTGTCCTTCTGCTGGGCAACAACAATGATATGACTAAGCAGGACTTCAATTGGCTCCTCAGCCGCTACGACACAACCACTCCAAGGCAAGGAGGATACTCCTATTATCCCGGAGAACGAAGTGGCGTGGTAACGATGACCAATGCCTACTTCTTCTACAATCGCACCGCTCCCGTTCGCCCTTTACGTATGTATTATGTACTAAGACCACTAGAACTTACTAAAACTGGATTTTAAATATACAGCCTTCCCAAAAGATAAATCAATAATCAATAATCAATCAATAATCAAAACCAATCAATCAAAATTCAACAAATTAACTTTGGCTGTAGGTCGATCAGCCAATCCTGTTGTGCGAAAGAACTTCGCGGAGACTTGGTTTTTCGCCGACATTGAGAGCACTGAAAAGGAGGTTTTCAAGTGGGTGAAGACCATTCCCGACACGATCACCAACTGGGTGGTCACCGGCTTCTCGCTGAGTCCTACCAAGGGATTGGGTGTCACCGATGACAAGGTGAACATCAAGACGTTCCAGCCGTTCTTCGTCTCCGTTCGACTGCCCTACTCCGTTAAACGTGGCGAGGTGATCAATGTGCCAGCACTGGTCTTCAACTATTTGAACAAGCGACTGGACGTGGAGTTGACCCTGGACAACGAGGATGCCGAGTACGACTTCGTGGATGCCTCCAACGAGGTGATTGGCGATCAGAAGCGCACCCAGTCAATCCGAGGTGGGTGCCAATGAAGCCGCAGGCGCCTCCTTCCTGATTCGCCCGAAGGTGATTGGCAACATTCTACTCAAGTTCACTGCCATTTCTCCTCTGGCTGGCGACGCCGTTCACAAATCTCTGAAGGTGATCCCCGAAGGTACCACCAAGTACCAAAACAGGGCGTTCTTCATCAATCTCAAGGAAAAGAAGGAGTTCAAGTCCAACTTTGAGTTGGAAGTACCCGAGAATGTGGTGCCCGATTCGGAGCGAGTCGAATTCGGTGTGGTGGGTGATCTCCTGGGACCAGTGATCAAGAACCTGGAGAACCTGCTGCGATTGCCCAGCGGCTGCGGTGAGCAGACCATGTCCAAGCTGGTGCCCAACTACCTGGTCAGGGACTACCTGCAGAGCATCAAAAAACTTACCCCCGCGTTGGACACTCGCATCAAGAGGAATCTGCAGGAGGGCTATCAGAATACGTTGCGCTTTCGCCGCGACGATGGCAGCTTTAGCTCCTTTGGACACTACAAGATTTGGTCCGAGGATCCGGTGCGCGGTTCCACCTGGCTAACGGCCTACGCTCTGCGTTCCTTCAGCAAGATTAAGGATATCGTTGACCTCGATGAACAGCTCTTGGCCAAGGGCTATGAGTTCCTGCTTAGTCGTCAGACTGAAAATGGCAGCTTCATCGAATCCGGAGAGTACTTCTACAGCTCCCAGAAAAGTCTTCTGACCCTCACAGCAAATGCCTTGCTGGCTCTGCTGGAGGAGGAGAAGCCCAACCAGGCAGCCATTGACAAGGCCGTGGCCTATCTGAGTTCCAACACGGCGGAGTCCGAGGAGCTGCTGCCCAAGTCCATTGCCATTTATGCTCTGCAAAAGGCGAAGGCACCTAGTGCCGGGAAACTTGTGGCCCAACTGAAGTCGCTGGCCAAACAGGAGGATGATCGCACTTGGTGGACAGAGGATTCGGATAAGATTCGCTCTATTGGATACACAAAACGTTGGTGGTCGCGGATCTGGAGCAACGATGTAGAGAGCACCTCGTATGCCCTGCTCTCCATCCTGGAATCCGATCAGGAATCAGCAGACTCTGTGGTAAACACTGTTCGTTGGCTGGTGGCCCAGCGCAATAGCTACGGAGGTTTCGGTTCCAGCCAGGATACAGTTGTGGGTCTATCGGCCCTCATTAAATTCGCCCAGAAATCTGGCTACAAGGCGGCCAAATGTGAGGTGACTGTCTCGAACAAGGGCAAGCGTGAAAAGACCGAAAAGCTAAGCACATCGGAGGAGAACGACCTTCTGCTCCAGACGATCGAATTCCCACAGGGCACCAAGTCCCTCGAGTTCGAGGCCAAGGGCACCGGATCCGCTCTCGTCCAGATAAGCTATCAGTACAACGTGGTGGAGAAGGAGCCGAAGCAAAGTTTCAAGATCGAAACCATCGTCTTGCCAGAAGTAGCGCCAGCCAAGCTCGAACTCAGCGTTTGTGTGGACTTCATCGAGGAGGGCAAGGCCAAGGAATCCAACATGGCCATCCTGGAGGTGTCCCTGCCTTCCGGTTACACGTCCGATGAGGATAGCTTCAAGGCCATTAAGGAGATCGAGCGCGTTCGGGTGAGTTTCACTACAACGAAACAAGGCAATCTTAATCTTTGGAATCTTATTTATAAATAATTTTCTTACTGATTTCCTTTTCAGTTGGTGGAGGCCAAGAACGGAGATTCCGTGGTGGTTGTCTACTTTGAGAACCTGGCCAAGAACGACAAGAAGTGCATCCCTATCGAGGCCTTCCGGACACATTCGGTGGTCAACCAGAAGCCATCTTCCGTGGTCCTCTACGATTACTATGACACGAACAAGAGGGCCACGGAGTTCTACTCCATCGACTCCAAGCTGTGCAACATTTGCGAAGGTGCCGACTGCAAGAGCAATTGTTGATGACATCGAAACCAAAACGAGGAAACAATACATTTTTCCTTATATCAAATAAAATATTGTGAATATTGTGATTGTAAAGTAATCATATTTTTACATTCTTTTACTCCACCCGGGAGCTTAGAGCCTCTACAATTTCTTGTAGACACTTCACTTTGTTTTTAACTTGGTTTGTGAAGACCTAAAAGAAAGAGCGATGATGGTTGCCTACTCCGAAAGCCTGACCAAGAATGAAATCTAATGCATTTCCATCGAGGGAAGCAGAACCTTGGTGGTGACCAATTCAAACCCGACCAACATTGTTATCTATGATAATTATGACTGGAAGGCCACAAAATATTATCATCGGATCGGAGAGATCGGAGCTCAGCAGCAATTAGGGCACTTAATGTCCCGGTAGCGAGTGTTAAGCCTCGTAAATCAAGCCGTGTCATATTAATCTCGGCCACCTTTTTACAGTACCACTCTAAGTTAATCCGGTATACTATATATACTTTTGGCACACTCAATGTCAGAGCGTAGATAAAAAACTGCAAACTCAGCATTTGATATTTGTAAACATTGTGCGGGTTAATTCAATTAATGCGGCTTATCTTAGACCAAAAATTTTGGCGTACTTACGCATTTAGTGATTGGCCAAATACAAGCAATTTTTGGTTTGACAAAAGGTAGTAAGTGGTTTTCAGAACTCTGAGTATGTCTGGTGTGGTAACCTTTATCTGGTACGTGCGATTTTGCATTGCGATAAGGAGGCGGTGACTTGCGAGCCGACCAAAAAGCATGAGTATTATATATATATTAATAAGTGGAGCAAAGTGTGGGAGTACTTGAGTATCAAGAGTCTAATTAATATTAATAACCCCTCTAAATTTACTGACCGTCTCATGTCAATTCCGGGGAATGGACAACGTGAGCACGACCGCATATACAAAATGCTAATCCTTTCTACTTCTCCTCGAAAAACCAACACTAAAATAAGCAAATGAATGAATGGATGTCGATAAGGATGATTAGATCGTTTGGAAAACGATAAGGCGAACGTGGACGTGCAACGGCCCACTCAATAACATTGTATAATCCCTTTAAGTCGAATGCATTAGAATGGGTTACCCAAAATGTTACTGATAAACCGATAGCAAACTAATAGTCTGCCAGTCTAGTGAAAGTCATCAAAGAAGGTCCAATAAAAACCTCAGTCTCACATAGTTCGTTGTAATTACTTGTTCCAAACGGTTCGACACTCTTAAGGCAGTGGCCATAAAATACACAGATACAGTTAAAAAATCCTTTAAAAGGATATTTTTATTTCATAAATTAATTCTAGTTAAACTTAAAAAAGTTTAATTTTAGTTCCCTTAAATTACAGTAACAAGTTTTATGAAATTAATACACTGTAATTATTACAGTTTTTGTGAAATTACAATTGCCATTTTTGTGAAATAAGTTGAATTTAGTGAAGCCATGGGTGACGAAAAATCCAAACCCACCTCAGTGCTGCAGCATATAGAATCCGTGCTATATGTGATCAACCAGCTGTGCATAGGTTTCGTTACTATCTGGGTCAGCTGGAGCTGTTTGCGGAAGGACCTCTCGGGAATTTATCTCCATGCCTGGCTGGTGACCTTTGGATTCGTTTTCCTGATGGCCGAGGGCATGATGTGCTTCTACGATGGCAGTTGGCTAACGCTTCGCTACTCCAGGAAATACAAAACTGCATTTCACATAATCCTTCAGATCCTGGGAGGCGGCATGGGCGTGGCTGGCTGTTTAGTTCAGCTAATTCGGGACGATTGGTTAATAAGCGTTACACTTCATTCCCGTCTGGGTTTCGCCGCTTTCGTCCTGTGCCTCATCTCATTACTCAGCGGCCTAGCTGCCTTCCTGGCAAGATCCTTTAACCGGATAATATCCCCGCTGGTCAACAAAACCTTCCATGTGGTTCTCAGCTTTGCCGCATTTGTGATCGCCATGATGGCTCAGTTCTATGGATACACGCAAACTGGAATTTTCCGAGGACAAGGGCAGGATTTTGTGTACCTTATGCAGGTTGTCACGATGGTCCTCATGGTCCTCACCAGCATTGGAGCTATGAAATCTCTCTATCAGAAATTTGGCAGCTTAACCAGTTAGCCTTTCCGCTGAACTTTGTTCAAGCTGCCCATTAAATTAAGCTAGAAAATTACTGTATTTATGGTCTAGAATAAACAACCTGTGGTGGAATATTGTACAAAAAATGTTTAAACACATTTAAAGGATAAAAAAATTAATACTAATATTGTTTATAAGAAATTGAATAAATACATTTTTACAAAAACTAAATCGTGCGTTTCCTGTAACTTTTTTAAAATAGGAAAAGGATATACAAAAATTTTTTAGGGTACTATAATAAAAGTTCCAATAAAAAGTATTCCATTATTTGTATATGAAATTCAAAGCATTTTTTTATGATTAGAATTAACCGATTTATTTCAAATAAGCATCATTTACATAGGTTATGATTACATAACATAATAATCAACCAAAAAATCAAACGATTCAATTTTAAAAATCAAATTCGTTAAGGAGTAAAATATCTAATAGAAGTATAACTGTATTTTGTCATTCGTAAAATGTATAAGCGTGCGTATTACTTACAGATAAAAAGATATGTAGTGCAGAAATGCCTCTAAAGTAGGCAACATATTTTTCTACTGAGTGGGTACCCGCTTAAAAGTTACTATAGCACTCTTTCTTGGTTAATTGGATCAAATTTACTTTTAATAGCTACCCTGCCAGCACTGTTGCATTGGACAGAAAGCGGGTTTAGTGTTGATAAGTGCATGTTGATAAGTTGACAGTATATCGTCGCAGCCAACAATTGCGCGCTATCGAAAATTCAAAAAAGTTTCCTCGGTTGAAGGTCTATTTGCGGTTTTCTTGCGCACTTTAATAGCTTCTCGAGGTGTAAACCGATATGAACGGGAATAGAAGTTTAATCATACTGCGGTCTGGGCCAGCGATCGTCTAAATGACTTGGCAGTAAATGCTGCGGCAGTCGGCAATAAAGATTTGACTTACTAAGTTCAATGGGCGTATCGGTCGAAAATTAACCATTTAATTGCTATTGTAGTTAGAGCACACGACCGGTTTTGCCCAATAATAAAATTTTGCGCTAATTTGTCTGTGAAAAGTGGCAGGCAATATTATCAGTCGACAAATGTATAAATGTTAACACGAAAATAACATTATTTCGAGGCACTGATAAAAGCTGGCAAGCAAAAATTGCAAAACGGAAACTACAATGTCCGAGAATAAGCAGCCGGTGGTTAGTAGAACCCAGCCCGTCGTCGACTACGGCAGTACAATCCGGACGGAATCACAACGCCGACCCACTTTCATTCCGCTCGAATCTCCGCGTCGTTATTCAAAAATGGGACACAACTCGCTATCCGGTCATGAGACGCCGAGTCGCCTGCAGAGATTGGAATACTTCCTGAATGTCCTGAACCAAATGTGCATTGGATTTATCACCATCTATATGTCCTACCTGACCCTGCGAACTGGATTAGCTGGTACCGGCTTGCATGCCTGGCTGGTCACCATTGGGGTAAATATTTTTTTCCGATGAAAACCTCCAAAAAACGGATGTGCTAAAGATCCTATTTATCACAGTTCTCGTTCTTCATGGCCGAGGGAGTTATGATCCATTACGGTGGAAATGTCTTGACAAATAGTTACAAGCGCCAAACGAAGACCACAATTCATTGGGTACTTCTGACATTGGGAGGCGTTTGTGGAGCATCTGGTGCTCTTATCAAAATGATTCAGAAGGGATTTATGCTCCAATCAACACATGGGAGACTGGGTAAGTTAACGCCGATAAATAATGTACACTTTCACACAACAAACAAATTAAAAATACTTTATTTTTTAAATTTAAAACATTGTAATTCGTTTAAGAGGTATTTCAATGCTTTTAGTTGACATAAATATTTATTTCTTATCAATGCCATCACCTCCCCAATTGCAAGGCTATTTAAACAACATTTTTGTAAAGAAACTCAAATTGAATTGATTTGGAGTAGAACTATCTAAGAGATAACGCTCCTCATCAAAACGAAATAAAAGCTAGTCTTCATAGTTTTATGTAATAATAGAGGTTTTGACTACATAACAAACTATTGATAACTTAAAGTGTCATGGGTAAATTCCAAAAAAGTGAGGCCATTAGCCCAGCGTATTTTCCTTATAACGCTAATCAGACCCGATCGTAATCTCTTTAAATAACAAAGACTAACAAATACGTTAATCTTTCGCAGGAATTACCGCATTCGTTCTATGCATTTTGTCCATGTCTTCCGGATTGGCTGCCCTCTATTCTCCCCGCGTGAAAAGGATAATTTCACCACTACTAAACAAGACGTTCCACAACTTTCTGGGATTCGCCTGCTTTGTGATCGCACTTGTGACCCAGTATTACGGATACCAGACAGGATACTTTAAGAGCCGCAGTGAGACAGACTTTCAAATCCTTATGAAGTGCCTCACCCTCATTTCTCTGGTTCTTTCGAGCTACGGACCCATGAAGGCACTGTATCAGAAATTTAAAAGTATATCCCAGCAGTTTTAAGTAGGAGAATTAAACCAAGCTCTTCGAATGTACATAGAAAAATAAATATAAATTAAAGAAGAATTTAAGACTTCCCTTTAACTTCTCTGACCTATCTAACAATTTTTGTGATTCCACGCAACTACAGCTAATCTTATCGTTCATCTATTTTAGAGTACTTATTAATTTATGGATCCCATAAACATGAGTAAATACTTGAACAATGCATCATTAGTGGCTGGGAAAAACCCGGTGTAGTAACTAGCCGGTAGACATTCAAAAACGTGTACTGTCACCGTCTAGAGGTCCCCCTATAAATAAAATGAAAAAACCCATTTGATTGACAGTTGATAATAACCGGACCGTTAAGGTTATAGATCGACAAGACTATTGAACACACTCCGCCACTTGATAACAGTGCGGATTGTTTATCTACAAGATAAATTAGTTTTGAAGTAACTGCTTTCATTGTCCATTAACAACTTTGATTTAAATAAATGGTTATCCTTTCATTAGAAGCATCAAACAAAACTTAAATTTTAAAGTAAAACATATATCCATTAGTTAAATTAAATAACTCATTCGTTTGCATGGTGCAGTTTCGTAAGTTTATTTAGAAAAATTCAGATCATTTTTTCTTAAATCTCTCTCGCAATAAATAATACTTGGCGCGTGTTTCGCGTTGTGTTTGTGATACGCATATCAGTTAGCAATAATAATAAATAGCTAGCATTAGGTTTTTAAAAATTCATAGTCAATTGGGTAATACAAGGCTCGTTTAAACCACATTTCTGGGTGAAAACTTTCGGTACAAGAATGTGAGAATCTCTAGATAGTAGGGTTTAGTGGACAGTTCTTGGGTACACACATTTAGCGTTTAGTAAATAGGTATTTTATCAACTATCGACTAAAGCCCAATGTAAATTTGTGATGGGCAAGGCATATTCGATATAATTCTATCTCCTCACAGCTTGTTGCTGCGTCGAATGGTGAAGGACATGAGAGCGTGCTCCAGCCGCATGTGGTAGGGAAGCTTTCGCTCCACAACGATCGGCTCATCGTCATCCGGACAGCACTGATTCCGGCAGCATTCGCACTGGCCGTCGTCGTCATCGTACTCCTGCTGCATTTCCTGCTCCAACTCGTAGGCCTTCTTGGCAGCCCGCTGCTCGAAGCGCAAATAGAAGGCCAGGCAGACGAACAGCATGAAGACCAGCGCACACATGGCTCCACTCGCAATGCTCGCCTTCTCCAGCATTGGACGCGGTCGCTTGGGCAGATAAGTGTTGTCAATCTCCTTGTACTCGCACCGTTGGCCCATAAAACCAATGGCGCACTCGCAGCTATAAACCGGCAGATCGGCAATCTTCACCGCAAAGCAATGGGCATCATTCAGGCAGTACCAGGTGTCGAAGTTCTCCGGGCATTTGTACGTGGGGAATGTGATGTTCGGTCGGGGCGTGGTCGTCGTTGTAGGGCGCATTGTGGTGCTACTAGTGATTGGTGCTTGAGTGGGCGGCAAGACAGTCCCAGACATCGACGAGGAGATCGAAGAGCGCGGCTTGGGCACCGTGCGGCTGGAGCAGGCCTCGATGTTCGATGGACAAGCCAGACAGCTAATCAACAGCAGGGCGACGGCTGCCAACCCATACTGTCCACTCATCTTGGAATGCATTACAATATGTATCTATTAACTATAGCTTTTTTGGATTTCTCGTTTTTGGCTTGCAACGTTTGGTTGTTTAAAAGTGCTTAAAATGTACTAAAACTAGTAACTATCACAATGATAAATTAAAATATTGGTTGGTTGTCCGCTGCTAGGGCGTCGTCAGATCTCTTTGGAATTGGATTTTCTCTAAGATATATAATATATGCTGCTGGTGGAACGTAAACGTTGAGTTAGGGGAGATGTGTATCTGTGAGGAAGATAAAACGGCATTAGTGGCAAGAAATTTCTTGGTCCCTTTAAAGGGTATTTAATTCTATAACTGTGTACTCAACAAAAAGGGGAAAAAATCAAACTGCATTAAATCAAAAATATATATTTGTGTGTATATATAAAATGTAGTCAAAAACTTGTATGTGTTAATGAACCATTATGTTACAATCAGCAAATTTTACATAGATCTCCGAATTAGGTTTTAGTTCATCGTTTTTTTTACGAGCAATTCACTTTTTGTATTTTGTTTTTCACAACCAATTCACTTTTTTGTTTTAAAATTTCCATTAATGTTGTTTCCCGTTGATTATCCTAGCTCATCAAAGCTGGCTGTGATATGCGTTGGGTATCCATATCACAACCACTTGATGAGGCTTAGATAATCAACATCGTATGGATGAAGCGTCGTTTTTGGTAAATAGTTATGAATGGGGTTGGTTAGTATAAGGCGTTCAAAAAAGTCCTGCGGTATTTTCGCTAGATGTCCTTGCAACAGCGTAGTTCTAGTTGTTTTCATTGCATTGGGTCCTGCTATACCTTGTCGGAAAGGACCCGTTTTTGAAGCGGATGATAACTGGCGATAAAAAGTGGGCCACTTACGACCACGCAAAGTAGTGTTCGTAGCGCAGTAAAGCGGCCCAGACGGTGGCCAAGCCAGGATTGGCGGCCAGAAAGGTTGTGCTGTGGGTTTGGAAGGGAATCATCCACTGTGAGGTGATCCCCTATGCAACTACTGCCAACAACTGGACCACTTAGAGGCAGCACTTAAGCTGCAGAACAGGCCATCTTTGATCAACACAGACAAATTGTCTTTCATTAGGAGAACGCCAGCCCACACACATCTTTGGTGAAGCGCCAGCAGTTCCTGGAGCTCGGATGGAAAGTTCTTTTGTGAATAATTAGAAATTCAATAAAAAATACCGCAGGACTTTTTTGAAACCATCGTACCGAATGTGTGAAGTCAATTTTGGTTGGGTGTTGCGTCTGTGCATTTCTCCTCCGTCCTTCCAAATGTTCTTCTTTTTACGTTGTTATTTCCTTTTCAAATTGTCTTTCACATCGCAGACCTTAAGTTGGCATGTTTTAGGATGGACGTGTACTTTGGGCGTGTGAATCATGTGGTGGAGGTAGTATTATCATGATTAGATGTACGATACATTACGCTAAGCTCATCAAAGCTGGCTGTGATATGCCGCGCAAAGCGTCAATGCATTTCACAACCACTTTGTGAGCCCAGCATGAATGCGCCAATAAATTTTGTTGATTGAGGTCTCAGGATATTTGACTGCGGGATTTTAGAATTTTAAATTTCGACTTTTATGCTCATGTAATGATATAAATAAAATTATACACTTGGAACGTTCTTAGTCAACAGTTTCACGATTTTTGTAATATAATTAAAATAATTTTTTATTATTCATTTTTTTTTTTTAATAATTTCAGAATATTCGAATTTGTCCTTTTTGCCTTGAGCATCGCGTCGCTCCTCAAAGCTGGCTGTGATATGAATAGGCATAAAAAGGCAAACATTTCACAACCACTTTGAAGAATGACACAATTCTCCTTCTTTGATACGGTGAGAGAGCCGAGATTCAGATTCAGATTCAGATTGATACTCGTCTTTTTCAAGAGTCTTTTTCAACGTTCTCACGGCCACGGGCTTCGAGTCTTGAACATTTTTTGCAGCCACGGCACAATAAACAAATATGAAAAAATACGAAAATAAATGCGACGAAGACTACAACAACACGATGATAATGATGTGATCATGACGACGGTAAAGATGATGATGAGGCGCTGGCGATAATACACAAATATGAATTGACATGAATGGCGACAGAGTGCGGCGCGAGTGAAGTGAATGAAGCAATTTTCGTACATTTCTACGCGATTGCTGGTCGTCATATTTCAATAATAATGAAGAAAAACAACGCACACACAACACCAAAGAACGGAAACAACGAAAAGGGCGTCACGGGCAAAAAGCAATGCACCCTTAATTATAATAAAAATGTAAACAACATTTTGGCGCCAGCCTATTGGCAATTTGTCTCAAAATTTGTTTTTATTCTTTTCAGAATTTTAAACATACTAAATGATAAGAAAATGCGCAGGAAAAAATGAGAGTGCAGTGTCACCAACATCTACATACAGCTATCACTAAAACATAAACAAAATCTTTTTTTTCTAGAATTTCTATTCCTCTGCAAGGGTAAAAGAAAAAATACTTTTGATATATTTTTAGAGCTTATGAACATCAAATCAGTTTGTTTTAACTATTAGTTTACCGTTTTGAGCCACCACACTGTGATACAGCGCAAAAACAGTTATGCGATGGGTGTGGGGACTTATTTATGCATTAGAATGTTTTTACTGTTAACAATTGATGCACTCTCTCTATCTCCTTGCCATTCCCACTCACTCGGCATCAGCGGGCAGCTTATTAAAATTTCCGTTATAAAAATTAAATCCGCCGCCGCTTTTGAATGTATGTGTAGATGCGATGTGCGTTTGTGTGTGAGAGGAAGTGGAAGTAAGGTAATGTTCGCAAAATTCAAGTTGAATAGCCATATAAAATTCGCTGAACTTGCGAGCGTGTAGGTCAAGATCAGTGGCGGCACTTTATAAGTTTGATTTTTTCTTATGCGAAAAGCAATTGAGCAAGTTCGATGATCTTCTGGCGAATATAAATGATGGGAAATGAGCCAACAAACACAATAACAACATACAAGCGCACCACAATAATTACAACAACAATAACAATCGACTATATAAGTGTGTGGACGACAAAATGTGTGCATACATACATGACAACAACAACACCCGCTAATAAAAATACTGTTGTGGCTGCTGCTTCTTCTTTTGCGTCTTTTTTACAACTTCTTCGGTGAGCCAGCAGTTGTTGTTGCTGTAATTTTCATGTTGCCTTGCTCTCTTTCATTCTTGGGCGTCGCTGCACGAGTTCGTTGGCTCTTCTCGTGTCTGTATGTGTGTGTGTTTAGAAAACTGTAAGAAAAGCAGAGTGTGTGAAAAATATGGTTAAAGTGAAAAAATGCCAACACAGGAACAACACAGCTCGCTCTCTCTTTTCTCAGCTTGCAGTTTCAAAGAAATGTACCGGTTTTTATGTTTTTGCGTTTGCAAAAAGCTCTCCGAAAAAACAAGTCCTACAAGTTTCATACTATAAGAGAGGAGAGGAAGAGTGCAAAGAAGACTTATTTAGCAGAGACAACAACCTTTTGAGGTGTGCTGCGTATACGTGCATATTCACACATACAGCAATGCTCCAGCTTGCTCTCCCTCTCTCTGTCTGTCTTCTCGTCTCACTCTTTCTCCTTGCCGTTCAAGGGGGGATAAATTATGTATGTATGTACCATCGTGTCTATGTGTATGGGTGTGCGCGGGAATGTTGCGAGGAATTCTAAGAATTTTGCACAAGCGACAATCGAAACGGGGCGCGGACCATATTCAAAAATTACCCAAACAAAATTGCTGAAGAGAAAAACACATTATGCGTTGTTAAATAGGAAGCGTTAACACCCAAGAAACGAAATGTATCACACCAACACAAACACAGTTGTAGCAAAAAAAGACGCAGAAGATGGGGATAAAATGAAAGACGAAACGCGTGTGTAGGCGTTGATAATTCGTTTTTTTTTTTCGAATACCCAAGCGGCAAGTCACTAAATCACTGAATGATTTTTCTTTGATTTCACATATTACCAACTGTATGCATATCAATTTGGACAACATTAGCGCAAAACGCCGAAAAAACACAACCGCACCGCAAAAGATTCCAAAACCGAATGCCGAACAACAACAAAGTCGATTCTAAAGATGGACGTTTGGCTGAGCGAGCGCAGTTCTCTCTTTTGCTCTTTTGCCCGGAGAGAGAGCCGCCGCTCTCGTCTGAAAATGCGGCATAATAACAACAAAGTGGCGAGCGGCTTCGGAACTCATGTTGTATGTAGTTTAATACCCGTTAATCAAAGAGTTTGATGGGGATATATAGCATACTATACTAATAAATATATTACAGTGGATTAGTATCCTGGGTTTTGTCTAGTAAAGTAACCTTGTTTGTATGTTTATAACTGATTTAAACTGGACTATTGGGTTGCACTAAATGTTATACTTGCTGCGTATATTTGGTTGGCATCTCGGGATCTGCAAGATCTAAAGAACCGAACAAGGCTTTTGCCTTTCTCAATTTAAGAAAAACAATTTTGGTTTGGGTTCACTTGGTAGTGAGTATCTTATAGTCGCGACACTTCTTAAATGACCTGCACTTCAGCTTTGTTTTTGTTTTGGTGTTGCCAGAAGATTTCGCACGATGTAGGATCAACATGTTATTGACACGACGCCGCCGACGCCGCCAGTTTGAGTTCGAGTTTGGTGGAGCGAAAAGCACACAAACAAGAAGCGACGCAGGGTGGCGGTACGAAAACCACCGAAAGCAAGGAGGGGGCGGAGGCAGAAGGGCGGGGCAGGTAGCCGGCCAAACGGGACGAACAGGATGAAGCCCAGACGAGTTCAGTCAGAGACCAACTGCAGATTTCATGGAACTGGCCGAAGGTTGAGGATGCGCAGGCGCGCAAGTAAACAACATTCCATTCCTCGGGAAATTTCTTAACTTGCCGCTCGAGAAGCGCGCCAAAAATAAAGCCCCGCTAAAGTTAGCAATCGGGGTTGCCAGATTCAAAACAGTTTTGATTTTGCGTTATGTTTATACATACATACATAAAACTATAAGAAAATATTGATATATGTATTAATATAATGTAACAGTGTATTAACAAATATACATAAGTATTCTTGTTAGCAAAACTAAAAAAAAAGGAAATTTTTGGTATTAGGATTGGGTTAAACAAATTTTTTTCTTTTAAAGATTGTGAACTAAAATTATAGTTTTTAAAAATAAAAACTTTGAATGGATTCCAAAGAGCACTGATTTTAAAAAGTACTTGTTTTCGGAAATCAAGTTCACAACTCGAGCTATGGAAGTTGAAATGTGTGGATAAAAGCAGCACAACTACTCGTTTCCGGTGGGTACTCAGTTCGTTATGTGGGCCGCCGACACCATTCCGAAGCCAATTGACGTCACAAGCGACACAACAGCAACAACCTGGCACAACGTTTTCTGGGTTACAACAGCTCACGGATGTCGGAATGCTTCAAAAAACAGAAAAAAACCAAGAGTCACCGGATGGTGATTCAGGAGCCTTTTTACCAATCAATCGGTTTTTTTTACAACCGGCGGGACTCGAATATCACAGGTTCAACTGTACAATACCTAGATGACGATGATAATGTGGAATGAGATGGGCGAAATGTTAATGGATTGCCCTAGGACCTGCCCTCATTCTGTTTGCCATCTTTGTCGCTTCGTTTCTGCACTTGTGCATTCCCTCTTTTATTCTTGCTTCTTTGCAAAGCCACCTTATGTTGCCCCTTTTTTTTGTGGTGTTCTGTTGCTTTTGTTGATGTTACAATGTTGCACTTGTTGTGTGCGGTTTAGGACATTGAACCACGAGTCGACAGAAATGCAGAGCTGCACGCAACTGAATGGCAAGTGTACAGCCGTGGTCAAAGAATTAGTATTGCACTGCGTAGGGTTTCTCTAAGACAGTTCTATGAAAACATTTACCGATGGGATAGCAATTGCGTTTATGTTTTTCTAAAATGGGTCAAATTGTCCTTTCTATTTTAATTTACGAAAAAATATATGTAGCTTTTTTTTAAAGGTAACCCGTTTTTAAGACAGATCTTATAAAAATCAATAAGCTGACACATTTGAGTATGTATGTATATGCGGATGTCCGGATAAATTATGACGATAAAAGGTCATGACGAAGAATTTTTCGCCAATTGCCTGGTGGGTCGCACAGTCTGGGTCGCGAGACGTCTGACTAGACAACATGCAAATAGTAACGGTAATCATTAGACACACACATTGGCATTTATTTGCATGTACTCTCTCTTTTGCTCTCTCACTGCCACCTCGCTCTCTCTTCCCATTTTCTATGCTGAGTTCGACGGCCTTCTTACGTAAAATCAACAACAACGCTCTGTGGTATTTCTCTTCTAATAAGCGGGCGTTTGGGGTTGGGGGGACATGCACTCTGCGGACAGCGTTGCCATATCGAGCCAGGCATCAAACTCGTTTTCACTGTTTTGACTCCATATATGTAAGTTTGTATACATGTATGTATGTGTGTTGAGTGTCTTTGCAACTGTACAAGAACAATAAGTATGTCTGAACTATGGGCAGCATAAAAGCAACAACACACGGCGCAGACGCCAAGCAAACCGCTCCCCCTCCCCCTGCCGTACTTAATGTTTGTCTGTCTGTCTGGAACGTCTCTTTATGTATGCTTTAGGTGTGTATGTGCCTGTGTGTGTAAGCAATTTTTATTTTTCTGAATGTAAAGGAAGTGGCACGTACTGTACTACTCAACTCACCGCTGCCGCCGCTAACGACAACAACAACAAGAGCAGTGACAGCCGGATCAGGCTGGGAATTCGAAATTGGAAATGTGGAATGAGAGCGGAGCGCGTCGCATTCGCGTTCCGATTCCGCGTCGTTCCTAAGCAGCGGTCAGAGGCCCGACGGCACAGTGGTTGCGAAAAGTGAAATGCAATGAAACCGAAATTCGTGAATGATCGTGGGCAGAAGATACCGATGAGAGCGAAAGTGGGCGGAAGTCCGTTTCGCGGGGGTGCTTGCAAGCAAACAAAACAGAAAATTTAACTAAAAGTTTTGCACAACAGCATAATATTGAAAGCTTTAATATTTTTTTCTATACATTATAATCAAGATCTCGGTTTTTTTTTAAGGATCTATTTATTTATCCATTGTGCAGCATCTAAATAATGCGAGAGAGTAAGCAGAGAGGAAGAGAACCGGCCGGTTTGCGTCTCCACTGTTTGGCAGGCAGACAAGACGCCATGCGTACGGGAGAGCCTGGAAGAAGGTGGCGGAAGAAGGGGGTGTGCCCGCAATATTATAAACAGGAAATGGAATTTACCCACACGGATGCAGCAGCCCTCTGTGAATTGCTGATGAGCCGACAAACGGACGCGGTGCTTAATTGACAAATGAGCACAAGAGAGAGAAAGAGAGAGCGGGCGACCGCTTACAAAGTTGATTGAAATCAATAGTGTGCGAAAGCCATAGACAAGTGTATCAGTGTGAGTGTGTTAAGACCGCTCGTGGAATGTGTGAAGAACGCGGCCAATGACGGCAATCAAACGACGGGAAGAGCAAGAATGTTGAACTCTGGAATGTGGCTGGAAATGGGAAGACGTTTCTGTAAATAGAAACGGGAGAAGGGGGGCGAGAGGCTTTTGCACCTGCCACGCCCAGCTGCCCCTGGAAACTATTAACATGTTGCACAGTTGCAACGAGTCCTATATACACATGGATATATATATATATCTTACGCACACAGATGCGCATTTGCAGATGGCGACGAATATAGCGTGTGTAGTTTTTTCTCGGAAATGAGCAATGAATGAAATTCGGTTGTTTTCAGCGTGTACTCACACACATGCACACTCTTGCAATTTGGAGCAAGAGAGAAACCCAGCGGGAAAGTGAGAAGTAGGTTTTTTATTTGAGTGGAAAACCTCCTTCTTTTAGCAGGCGTAGGGGTAGGGATAGTTGAAAACCTACTTCTTTTGGCAGGCGTTGGGAAGGGGTAAATAATTTCGGACCGCTAAATGGGGTGGGTTTCTGAATATGACCATAAGTTACAACGAAGTTGTGACTAAATATTGTCTTTCTTCGGGATTTTGTTATATGATGCCCGGTCACATCAGTATAAAATTTCGTGCAAAAAGTGTAAAAAGTGAAAGAATGTTGTGTTAATCTTAAAAAACAAGATAAAGGTAAGTTATAACATAAATATTTTTGTTTGTATATCCTTATTTCAGCGTTACGGATATGGTGAACATAGGCATTTTTCCAAAAACTACATTTTAGCCGCCGGAGGCGTTTGTCAAGTAAGTATGTAAGTTTTTCATTTAAATTTATTTTTCAATTTTAAAAGAACAAACAATGTTTTTTTTAGAGTTTGTAATAGATTCGACTTCAAAGATTCTGGCCCTTGTGTTAATATTAACGGCAAATCTGAACAGGCGCAAGCGGACAATTCGATTTCGTCATTTGAAGAACTCGGCCATTTAGACTCCGATGCGCCATCCAGAAGCATTTGTAAGTACTCACTACATTTTTAATAAGTTTCAACAGTCCTGTGTTCCCATGCTTTTTACTATGTTTATTACTTATTTTTCAAAATTTCTCTATTTTTTCCCATTACTTTATATATATTTAATATTTGTATTAATATGTAATATATTAATGTATTATGGTTTTTATTTTCAGAGTCACTCAGAAACGACAATTACAGACTTCCTCAATATCAAGATGATCTGCGTTCACCGTTCACTAAGGCAAAAAATAAAACATACAACAATATTTATGATAAAGGCCCTTGGACTGTAAATAGATTAATAAATGCATATACCAAATTAAAAAGTATTATTTTTTATTGTGGAAATTCTGTAAAGCGGGAAGGTCAAAAACCAGTGGATTTTGTCCTGCGTTAAGCAGCCAGATTTCCACTGGTTTTTTCAGTACAAAAACCATTGGATTTTGCCCTGCATTCAGCAGCTGTAGGTCCACTGGATTTTGTCCTGCATTTAGCAGCTGTAGGTCCAGTGGATTTTGTCCTGCATTGAGCAGCTTTGGGTCCACTGGATGTTTCCCTTTACCCCTTACTTTTGTGTGTCACCCCCGTGTATTTTGAAAGGAGAGACGGCAGATTTGTAAGGGGTAAAGGGGATTTTCCACATTCCGCTTGTATGAAGAAACCACTGGAAAATAGCATATTTTCCACAGGTTTTTTCCCGCTGGGAAGTCTGCACGACATGCGCTCTGGCGTTTGTGTGTATACAATTTGTTTACTTTTTGCGCTACAATTGGCAAATAAAACAATAGCGCAATTTTATAAAGCATTTAAGCGTACTAACCTACATTTTGGGTCACCAAACTGGTGATTTACGAATAACCAGCAGTAGACCTGTAAAACAAACAAAAAACAAAGTCGAAAAAAAAAAAAATTAAGGCAAGGCGCAACTGTGTTGTGAGTTAGTGTGTGTAAAAAGGAGACGACCATAGAAAAAAAAACACATATACACACAGGAGAATTTACTGCTGCTTGCGGCGCCCACAAACACATACAGGCACACACTTATTTAGTACAGCTACTGCGTAAATTAAATAAAAATAGTTTTCTGGAACAAAAAAAATCGTTGCTTCCTGTCTTCAATTCCCCTTTTATTCACCGCAAGTACACAGTCACTAAGTTATAAAAAACACTCACACACGCGCAAATAAGTTATCTACGTTTATGATCCAATTTACAGTGTTGTTACAGTTTCTCCTTTTAAAGTTCACTTACTTTGGGTTTTTATCACTTTTTTGGCCGGGTTTTATGCCATTTTCCTTTCTAGAAAACTGAAAAAGTACAAATGCTCTGTCGCGTCTTAATTTAACAAGTATGACCAGAGCTTGTACAAGAGCTGGAGGTGGGACTATCGGCATAAATGTAATTTTAGTGTTGAAAAGCGCAATGTTATGTCCTTATACTTGAATAAAAATAAATACTGAACATTAGAAAACTCGTTTCTGCTAACAATTTAAATTCTTTAACAAATGTCAACATGATTGATAACAAATAAATGACTCATAACAACCTCGAAATAACTAAGTAAGCCTCATTGGAATATATAAACAATATGTTGAATAGAAACTCAAACAGATTAAGCTTAAAGTTTGATATGACAAGAAAAAATCTATTAAAAGATTTATTTTTTCAATACCATAGGTTTTGCCATAAAAATATCTTGCCTTGCGTTACTAACACTGTCTCCAGTAACAGATTCCAGTCCAGCCTTCCAGTACACTTTTGAAGATCTGGTAACTTTAAGCGACGCCATTTCAAAACAAATGCGCGGCAACGAATTTTATTTCTCCCTGAAAAATTGATCGTGAAAGAACACAGATTATTACATTAAAATGGGAGCAAAGGCAACGAAAATGGAGGGTGAATATTTGCCGGACACGCCGACTCTAAACAAAATGCGCATGGTTAGTGAAAAACAGGAAAGAGTCGAAATGACGACGCCGACAAGAGAGCAAAACAACGCTTTGCTCGATCCGCGATCACCAAATGGCTGTCGTACACCTTTAAATGTGAGTTGTTCTGGGGTTCTATTTGCTGAAAAGATTAATAATAAAGGGGAATGCAGTTTTTGCAGCAAGGAACACAGGTGCAAAGGAAACAGGAAGAGGAGCAGCAGGTGGCAACCAATGAAAATGCGTTTGCAGTGTTTCGCAAGCGTTTGCTCAAGGGTTTTTCCCTCAACGATCCCCGTTCTCCGCAACTCAATCGTACTCCTTTGGTACTCGACGAGGTGCGTTCCCTTAATCTAGACGACACCTTCGCCGATCTGTTCGTGGACACGAGAGCGGGCTCAGCGCCAGCAGCAGTGCCTGCTACTCCATTTCAGGCAGATTTGGAGGAGAGCTGCGATAGCTTTGGCACTCCACCTTCTGTTCTTCATAACAATAGTTCCCTGGAGATTGTTTCTTTGCCCTACGACCAGGAGGAGACCATGCCTTGCGAAGATCTGCTGCTGCAGAATCAGCAGGAACTAAAGGTGGAAACTCCACCTCCTGCAAAGCAGCCACTTCACAATGATCCCCGTTCGCCAAGTCTGGGTGTCGATCGTACACCTATTATCTTTTGTGACGACGAGGAGGAAGAGGCTCGCGAGGCACAGATGTTGGAACACATCCTGGAGACCCTTACTTTGAATCTTAGCACCAACAGTAGCATGACTTCTTTTGCAGCTGGTGAGGAGCAGCCATCAACCATGCCAGAGAACAAACATTTAGAGCGCGTTCGTTTGGGTCACAAGCGAAGGGGTGTTCCACCGCGCAAGCCAGCCAGGGCCAACAAGCCAAAGATTTACGTTGACCAGGAGGAGAAGTCGCCGGTTGTAGGAGCCGCCATCACACCCAAATCGAATAGCACTCCTCTGTCCGCTCAGAAACGCACACCACTTAGTTGTGTCAAGAACAAGCCGCATTTGCGTTCGCGTTCCGTTGAAAAGGAACTAAGAAAGACACAGATTTCTCAAGCCCAAAACTTCAACGATCAGCTGCGGTTAATTTCCGGCGGCGAGGGTCCGAATGGACCTATTTACTAACTCAGTTTAGTAGCAACAATTGCCTTTTACCCACCTATAAACCACCAAAACATTTTGCATTTTCACAAACACATACTTTTATCATACGTTTTTAATAAAATATTTTATTAGTTTGCTTGAAAGTTTAGTGTGTATTTGTATACCCGTAAAAAATATAAGATTTACACTTAACATTTAAATACCGGTTTCATTTAGTTCTAAGAGTATTCTCTAGCCGAACCTTTAAGTACAAACTTAACTTTTCAGTAATATTGCATATTCTCCGCATTTTGTGAGGTTTCCAAGTCTTCGCAATACAAGTTTTATCAAAAATACATTAGTGCAAAAAGCCTTTCGAGTAATAAGTTAAAGCTCTAGTGATACTGTAGCTGTAGCTTGTCCAGCAGTTGGTCAATGTCCTCCTGGTTGAGTTCCTGGTCGTTGGCCAGCACAAAGTCGAAGCCACCGGCCAGATCGTCTAGATCGCACTCAGATGGAACATCGTCGATGCCCTTGGTGAAGGTCCAGCCACGCGTACATCGCGTTTCCGGGCGGGAGGTGAGTCGCAGGGTGATGACCCTATCTGGGCCGTATGTTTCCCGGAACCACTTGATGTCGTTCTTGCGCCGCACATCGCTGACCAGAATGTAGGGCGTTTGCTGCCGGGAAAGAGCCTGCTCCATCGCCGCGCGGCAGAAGTAGCCGTAATCCTGGGCCCTCACTTCATCGCTCCACACGATCATGTCGCGGCGATACTTCTCCTTATAGGGCCCATCGCTTAGCAGGGCTTTCAGATCCAGCTGCAGTTTGCGGGCCCATTCCGACTTGATGGGCTCCGAGATTCGAACAATGCGCGACCGGGAACCTAATCTGAAAATATAGGATTTTAAATTGTATTTTGATTTAAATCTAGATAAATTCCTTTACATGATTAGAGTCCAATTCTTAATACGGTAAGATAATTTTAATGATGTAATCTTCTAAAAAAACTTTTAAAAATAACTTAACATGAATGAATCCTTAAGTTTTATAAAGATTACTTTTTGGCCTATTAAAAATTTATTAGGCAACTTAAAATTTTCGAATTTTAAGCGTTTACCTCTGTTGTAACCTCTCGGAAATATAATCCTTTCCGCACTTTCGCTTTCCACTGATTAATACAATTTTCAACATTTTCTATTGAGCAACTTTCACTTTTACTCGCACGTTATTTTACAATGCAGCTGCCTCGAGTTCTGCCCTCGAAATTTTGGGCTCGAAAGTTTGGGTTCGTAGAGCACATCAGATATCGTGTTTTTCCTGGCCTTCGTCTTGACCTCGGGCCTATTATTTGTATGCTAATGTTAAATTTAACAATTGCATTTGTTTTGTAGAGAAGTTTAATTTGTTTTTGACGTCTCCGCGGAACGTCTAGAGATGGAATTAAATTCGATGATTTCACATTTGTTTACCTTTTGTGTTTTCCCCTAACAGCTGTTATTTTTATCGTTAATCGAAAAACATTTTTTCGAGCGGGCTTTTTGATATTTTGAACCGATTTTGAACTGCTTAAAAGTTGAAACAATATAAACTACAAGATTTTGAATATTTCGGGTTGGCCTAACCCAATAAAATAGTTTTAATAAGATCCTCTTAACAATACAAGTCATTCTCTTAATTAAAAGCCGTGCCTGCGTAAAAATCAGCTGCCCCTGTGGACTGCGGTCCCTTATCTGTAGTATTGCGCTTGCTGCCAGTTGCCACTCGAGCCACCCGCTGCCGTCTCGGAGCCGCCGGCCTGGGCACCTGGGCCACCCGAAGAGTTGCTGGGATTTGAACCAGCCGGTGGTGCGGCACCCGGTACACCGAGTCCAGATCCCGCCGCCGCCGCTGCTGCCGCACTGCCGAAGGAGGCGAGCACGCTGCTGTAGTAGGAGGCGTCCGCCACAGACTCGGACTGGTGGGGCGGACCCTTCTTGAGGCTGTGGTGCAGCGAGGCCTTGCCCTGGTGACAGTCCTGGGCATTGGCATTGTTGATCCTGGCCAGATTGGCCAGTGTGAGCGTTGAGTGGCCATGGATTGAGCTTTGGGCGGCGGCAGCAACCGATCCCGGTGGCGGTATGCTACCGATGCTGCCCACAACTCCGCTCAGTGGACGCAATGTGTGGGGTCGGGCCATGGAGACCGAGGAGGAGGAGGAGCAGGAGACGGAAACGGATACAACGGGGGCAGACGACTCGGAGAGCTGCAAGGGGGCAAGCGGGTTTTTATAGACAGGACGGCTAAAGTTTAGGAGCCATAGCTACCACTCGCCTTGCGCTGCTTGTGCAACTCCAGGCCCAAGCCGACGCCGCCCAGATCTTGGGGTATCTTCGGCTGCTGTTGCTCCGCCGACGACGGCAGCTGCGACAATGGCTGCAACGGCAGAGGCTGTGGCGCCACATGTCTGTGATTGATGTGCGCCTGCAAGTCCCGCTGCGAGAGGTAGGTTCGCCGGCAGCCGGAGCTTCCGTACCGACTGCCGCCGTGTGTGCACATGAACACGGTGCCCAGGCCACTCTGCTCGACGCGCAGCACCTTGTCCGTGCACCGCGGACAGCTCTTGATGGGCTCTGCGCGGGCGCACTTGAGGCAGAAGACGTGCTTGCAGGGTATCATCCGGCCGTACACAAGTATTGGCTTGTCGCATTGATCGCAGCAGTGGATCATCGGGTTGAGCACTTTCTCGCCGATCAGGCTCACCTTGTGGTTCCACTTGAGGCGCAGCATTGGCTCCGGAGGTCCGCGAGACAGTGTGGTAAAGGTGGGCGCCTCCAGCTGCGATATGTCCGCCTCCATGTCGACTGTTAAAGGGGAAGATCTAGGTTAGAAATTTTCTCTTCTGAGTAAGGCCTTATGAAACATACTTGTTTGGCTGAGCACAGGTGGTGGCACCTGCTGCAGGACCTGTGGTTGTTGCGTTGGTGGCGTCATGTCCTCGCTGACTGTTCCCTGAACTCCTTGTTGCAATGGCTCCTCCAACCCGGACTGCACCTCCAAGTCGCCGTCCTTTTCCAGGTCCTGCATGATGGAATCCTCGGATGGATCCAATCTGCCAGGACTGTCCTCCAGGGCTGCACAATTGCTGGCTGCCAGGGCTGCAGCGGCGGCGGCATCGGCGATACTGCTGTCGTCAATTTTCTTGCCACGACCGCGTCCGCGTCCCCGTCCACGACCACGCGCTCTGGTGCCACGCCCACGTCCGCGACCACGCTTTCCTTCTTCCGTTTCCATGGCTCAATCCGAATCCTTTGGGTCTTTTTGCCGGATTTTCGTGTTTTTCGGATTTTGTTTAGCTCCGCATTCAGCAGGGTTGTCAACTTTTCTGAAGAGAGTTTGTCAGTCGTAGAGTGACCCTCCAAAAGAATACTAAAAAAATCTGGCAACGCTAGATACATCAAAATGGTTAAAAATAATCAAAACAAACTATTATTATTTTACAATTTAAAAGAGCAAGCAAGTGAGTGGTAAACCATATTTATTTTCAGACAAAAATGGGTAATGAATGAGCATTTACAATCGGTCAAGTTATGTTTGATGTCATGTTAGTTTAAAAAAATTAGCTAAAAAAATAACAATTGTCTTTCATTTTCTTTATGTCGGTTAGGAATCAGCGTCATCAACTTTTGGTGCCAAATAGTATCGTATGTAACCAAAGTCTTCAATTGGGTATTCTACTAGTAAAGGAACCTCAGGGGAAAGGCAAATCTTGACTCGATCTGCGAGTGGAGTCGCCCTAGTAAAGGTGTTCAGGTAACGACCGGCAAAGGTTTGAGTTAATGGATCTTTCACCTCGATGCTCACATCCATTTTGCTGCCTTCACTTAATTTAATGTTGGCCGAACCCAAATCTCCGTTGGCCGTGAACTTAATTCCCTGTTTGGAGCAGGCAATCGTTAGGGATTCACTAAACATGCTCATATCCCTACAAATACGGGCAAACTCCATTGAAGGCAATTGGATGATGCAGGTATACTCTGTATCCGGTATTCCCAAGTGGTCCTCGTCCAGATTGAGCAGTTTTAGTTCGTATTCCGCCGTCCGTTCTTTTCCCTCCGATTCGAAGCTGAGTAGAATTTTGTCCGGTTTGTCAATGGCTTTTATTGTGACCCTATCGTCGCTATTTGCACATTTTAGAACCTTCGCTAGAGATTTAAGGTCCAATCCCAAGGAGACGTTGCGATCACAGCGGAACTTCTCGAAGCAATCCGACTGCAAATTAAGAGCCACCAACGATACGTGGGAATTGTCCATCGATTGAAGCTAAAAGTTTGTCATTTTAAATTTAAGTTTACTTTAATCCTTGTTTCAAAATGTAGATTTTTAAAAAATCCCTGGGGATGAGCAATGCATGTTCATAATTTTACCTGCAACCCGGAATCGCTGCAATCTAGTGTTCCCTGGGCGATGATCTCCTTAAGTGCATCAATAATCTTCTTCAAAAGCAAAGTCTGTCCTAAACGCGCCTCAAGCATTTTCAAAAAGTAACAATCGCAGTCCCGTTAATTTCACAATTGGAAATAAACATTCTGACATTAAACAGCTGTTTATCCCAAGTTGGAAAAATCAACAGGGCCTTGGACTCATTAAGGGGATTCCTGTTTATAAAAACTGTTTTAACATTTTAAAATTGTAAAAAATTTTATTTTCAAATGCATAATGGCATGATAACGTAATTTTCTGGAATTCATATATAAAACTAAGTCTCGAGTTCAAATGTTAGTTACTTTTTTAAAACGGTTACCAGCATAGTGGCACTACTTATTTATGTACTACACTATTAGTATTTCATTTGTATTGTAGAGAAAGCATTCCATAAAATTTTTATTGTTGAATTAAGTTTTCAAAGTTCTTTTGCAAAATCTGGCATCGTCACAAACAAAAGTTCCGGTGCCGAGTGGAACCAAACCTTTTTGTTCCCAGATCCAGTTCCAGTTCGGATTCAGCCATCGTCCAATATGTTTACGCTGCACGGGCATTTATTTATAACCAATTGATGAGCTCTGCGATGGCCGCCGCCCAGTTGGCGGAGCAGGATCCAACAGCTGGGGCCAATCCCAGACGAAGTTTTAGCGACTGGCGGCTGTGGTGTCGCTTATGCGCAAAGGATGATCTGCAGGGGAACATGAATGTGTTCCTCAAGAACGAAGACTCCGGCGAGGCATCCTCTTTGGAGTTGGCTACCGCCATTGGCAAGTACTTCTGGGTGAATGTGAGTGGGTGTGGGAACGCCTTGGACTGTTCACTAATTCGTCTTCTTTTTTGTACAGATAACTCGGGGCGAGGATTTGCCGGAGATGATTTGTAATGAGTGCCTGTCGCTAGTCACCTCGCTGGTGAATTTCTCAGAGCGAATTACTCGTGTTCAAAAGCTCTACTGCATTCTGCAGAGTTCATCCACTCAGGAGAACCTAAATCTCCAGGAGCTGCGCTCTAAATTCGGTCTGCTAGAAGAGGAACCTCTGACAGAAGTGCACTATGTGGATAAAAAGCCAAAGTTGGGCGAAGAGGTAGATTTTTTGCCAGAGGAGTCGGCTTACGAAGTGGAGAATCCCTTAACGCCAGAGGAAAAACACGAAAAAGAGCAGGCAGCAGAGCAGGAGCCTCCCGAGGATCAATCAGAGCAGGAGGAACCGGATGACCAAGATCGAGACTATGAAGCTGATGAGGATGCGGTGCTGTTTAAGCTTTGCGATGCCTATGGCATTCAGGAGGGCAACTCCTCAACTGGCAGTTTAAGCGACTCTCTGCCGGGGCAAGAAAAAGCTAATAAAGGAGAATCAGATTCCGACAAAAGACACCAATGCAGCGAGTGCTTACGAAGCTATGCCACCTCCAGGACTCTTCAACGTCACCTGCGCCAGGATCACGGTGAAATCCAATCCTCAACCGACCAGCTGCAGTGCCCAGATTGCCCAAAGAAGTTCCGGCTTTTCTATCAGCTGGAGCGTCACCTCAAATGGCATGTTCCTCTGACCAAGCGAAAGCAATATTCCTGCAGCAGTTGCGACAAGAAGTTCACCACCAGTGCATCCGCCCAGCAGCACGAGCAGTATATGCATCTGGATGAGCGACCGAGGCCGGTAATTTGCGAGCAGTGTGGTGTGGGTGTGCATTCGATGAGCGCCCTCAAAGAGCACGTTCTGAAGCACACCGACTATGCTCCTTTCGAATGCGAAGTGTGCAAGAAGTGCTTCAAGTCGGCCAACCGACTGAAGCACCACAAGGAGACGCACGATCCGCACAAGTACATCTGCCCGGAGTGTGGTATGCAACTGAATTCGCGTACAACACTGAATCGCCATCGCCTGGTGCACACGGATCAGATGCAGCACAAGTGCGACTACTGCGGCAGAGAGTTCAAGCGGGCCAAAGCCCTTAAAAATCACCTCATCCTGCACACTGGCTTGAAGCCATACTCCTGTGACTTTTGCGATCGCACATTTGCCAATGGATCCAACTGTCGCACGCACAAAAAGAAGTCGCATCCCGAGGAGCTGGCCGCCCAGGAGGCGGCGGGTGGTGGAAAGTCCCATAATCGAAATATACCCAAGTTGGAGGCTCTCAAGGCATTGTATGTTTGTATACAAAGTTTCTTATTGCTTGGTTATATGTTAATGCTTTTATATTGCAGCACCAAAAACAAGGACAACCTTTCGCCGGTTGCCACTAAACAAAGTGGTTGCTTTGCTTTTGGAAAGAAGCCTAAACCGCCCATCAAAAATACTGCCAGCCTTACTCCAGCCTCAAATCCCGCTCTTTCTCTAGATAACCCGCCCGAACCAGCACCTGATCCTGGAGGGGAAAACATAGCTCAACCCGATCCTCCAGCTTCGGCCATACCCACGATAGATAATATCTACAACCACATTATGATTGACTATCGCTGATGACACCTACAGTTAGTTTGCAATTTTTAATAATGCACTTTTACAAGTTTTTATTTCAAAGCTTTAACAAGTTATTTTTTTAAATATGTTTAGTATCCTGTTTGGGACACCAATTGATCACCTGACTCATAAAATCTATGTTTAGAGTAAAAAAATTTTAATTCTGCTTCTGATTGATTGTTATTAAAGAATTCATGATTAATAAGAGAGCTTCGGAGCTGAACAGAAAATAAAATATATTGGTAAATTATTACATTTGTAAGTTAGGTGCCTTAAATAAGCAATTTATTGAAGAACTGACTGAGCGGGAAAATTGGGTTTAAATGGACCCGGCGATTGGCGCATGTGCTCTCGGTTTTGGAGTCGGAATCTTAGGCGAAGTCAAGTCACCCCCATTTTAAGTCTATCCTGGTATAAAGGAATTTAGTTCAGTTGACAGCGTGCGACTTCCTCGTGTCCTGCTCTTTATTAAGATTTTGTTTTAACATTTTCGCCTAAATCGGGTAATTAAACCCTTAAAGATGTGCGAAAACCAATTGGACCGAATAAAACATGGCCAATTTGGGCAATAAACAAAGTGAAAGAAAAGTGTGAGAAGCAATTTACTTAGATGTGTGAGCCGAAAAATCAAAAAAATCGATTTATCCCCCAATAAAAACAAAGTGCATTAAATGGCCATAAACGCCCGATGAATTTAAAAAAAACCGACTGTGCTTTTACTAGTCAAATTTGTGTGCTGAAAACTGTATGCTTTAACACCCATAACCAAAATCTTTAAATTAAATATTAATTGAACTAAAAGAGAAAAAATCAAAAGAGCAGGCAGAGCAGCTGACGAAAATACTGAGCAAAAAACTTAACAAAGTTCGAAGAGTGTAAGTAATTTAAAAAAAAGAGGAAATTGTTAAAATACAATACTTAGGGCTTCAATAGTTTAAATAAATGCAAAGTGCTTGTGCGTCCCTGGTACTCAACTTCACAGCTGTTTATTTCATCGACATCCCTGGTTTTGGGTTTCGGAATCAGTTCGCTCGCGAACAACACGATAAAACAACACCAAAACCTATTTGGCTGCGTGAAATTATTCGAATATTCGTGGTTTTTAATTATTCTGGGTTGTCATTAAATGTGTGACATGATAGTTTTGGTTTCCTGTGTTCAAATAAAGTAATGGTCTTGAAATCGAATTTTGTTATTTGACAGTTCTTGTCGGCGTTTTTCCCACTTGTTTTTTTTACGCACACTACGCGCGTACTGTCTGTGTGTGTGTGTACGAGTGTTCGTGTGGATACAAAAATCGATTCTGTTGTAAGTTTTTGCCATTAATTACTCCGCGACATATTAAAGTAATTCTTCTGAATCGATGAAAATGTGTAACATGTGTGGTTGATTGTTGACCAAACCCAGCAGCATAAAAATCGTGTTATGCTGGTTGAAGTTGTTGTTTATAAAGCCAAAAACCAGTCCAAAAATGAGTGGCGTGGGCGGACTTGAAGTTTGCCATCGGAGACAAAGTCCCAAAGTTGCCACAAAAATGTGCATAGTATCTGTAATCCGACGCAACAGTGCATTCTAAAATCGGTGCAGTCAGCCCGGTTTTTTTTTTACCGTATACCGCAGTATTTACGAAGAGGAACTCCAGTTTGATTTCGGTGTTTCATGAATTCAAATTGGAAGGTTGAAAATGTTACATTATTTCAAGAATGTTGGCCTTAAGAAGAGAACAGATTTATAACCAAAAGTATAGTTATACATATTTATTTATCTTATTGTTTACGTCAAACATAATTAATGCATAAATTAAAGAAATTTAGTAGGAGTTGAATATTCAGCTTCATAAAATCTCGTTGATTAAGTAATCTAATTGTGTTAAAGTGACTACTGTAGATTCTTGCCGAAAGTGAGAATTAGAACATAGGGGTTTGGCAAAGTAGAAGATGCAAACAAAAGTTTCGGTTGTTAGTAAAGAAGAGAAGCCGCGAACCGCATTATCTTTTTGGCTTGACCCAAATTGCAACTGCAACCTCTGAACTCCCGCCTGTGGCCTTTGCTTTGTCTTTGTGCCTTCAACTTCATTGTCCTTCTGTGTCGTGAGTTGGTTTTTTCCCCATTCCAGGACCTTACTCTCACTCCGCTTTTTATTCGATTCCTTCTTTTTATCATTTAATGTGCGGCAAGTTAATTGCCGAAAGAACTTTGCCGAGCTGTTGCTACTGTCGCCTTTTATCTGTGGCAAGTTTTTAAAGTATCTCACCCTCCCCACTTTTTAAGCCAAGGCGAAATTAAAAACTCCCCCGCCAGTCTCATTAGTTGGCAATTATGGGGCATTGGGCCCAGGCCAAATGGCTTGTCAAAGTAAGAATTTCCTTATTGAAATTGTTTTGCCCTGCGGCCCGAGGGGTAAGATTCTCCAGTTCTTTCGCTATCAATAGGTTTGCTATACTTTTTTTCCTTCCCATCTCCGGGTGCAAACGCTCATTTCCTCCCGCTTAAATGACTTTTCATTTCTATTTGACGGAGGCGGCGTTTTAATTAGATGTTTTAGCTGAATACACACGACACCCGATACACCCTAGTGTGGAAATTCTTAGCTGGTTGCACTTGCCTTGGAAAAGTTTGCAGTTTTTCATTTAGGGTTGCTCCGAGTCCATTGACCAGGCTAGGCATCCCCTTAATCCCTGGACCTGCGGGGGTGAAAGGAAATAGATTTCAGAGGGGTTTCTAATATTTTTGCAGCCCTTCACTCTTTGGTTCTAAACAAGAACGAAATTTGCGGATGTTAGATCTAAAACTAGAATAATATGAAAAAATTCATTCCAGCACAAAATATTTTCGCTTACTGGATATTTTCAATTTATGCACATCAAGTTTAGTTCCTAATTAAATCAAGATTCGGAAATCAAGAATACACGCCCTTGTCAAATCTTCAGAAAATCAGAAAAAAACCTTTTTCTATTTGATTATTTATAAATGGACGAAAATTACGTTGTTGTCTTTTACCCAAAATATCGAATCTTTTTAGATCCTTTCTGCCTGTCACATATTTGAGTGCATTAAATAATACATTAACAGAACTTCCGATTTTCACTCAAATAGTTTGATTTCCGATACGTTTAAATGTCATTTTCTCATCTTTATGAAGCACTATCAAAAAGCACTTCTTATCTTAATTGAATGTTTTTTATTCTTGTCAACTACTCAGTTGGCACTTCAATAAAAGTTGCCTTGTGGTAGTCTTTGACCCATATCAACACTCATAAAATGGGAAATAACTCATGCCGAACGCGGCCAACTAGCTTCATATCTTGGCCGTTAGTCAATTTTATTTTTATCTCTTGGCCGGCTTATTTGGCTCTTTGAAGAGCGCCTACGCAAAATGCTGAAATATAATCCACTTGGCATACGCATGCTTAAGAGCCTTCATTCATTCATTGATAAGCTTCGGTCAACTTTGTGTCATGGTTTTCGGCATGTGAAAAAGTGTTTGCCGTTGTTTGCTTTACCTTTGTGATACAAATTTATAAATGTAATTCATTCACACTTCGCTTATCGTCTGGAATTTGCCACCGCACTTTCCCGAATCACATTGCGTAAGATCCAGTTCGCACACAATTATTCGCTGCGATTCTTACCTGTATTTGGGATTAATAGGAAGCCGGTCTGCGATCGTAACTGTGATAGTTGTTACCCAGAAGGAGAAGAGACAGTAATTAGACAATACTCAGGGGCAAAAACATCTCCGTTTTTCTGCAGCCCAAATTCTTGTACAAAATATTTTCGACAGGATTTTACTTGACTTTACATTATCTGTATAACATAGCTAACATTTTAAATCTTATTGCCTGTAATGTACAATTTTTTGTATCCTTTAAAATTCTATGTTTAAGAAGTCGTTCCATAAAAATTGAGAAGTTTAAAGCTTTTAGGTATTTGTGTAGACTTTTATTATGGGAACTTTTCTGTTAGTCGCTTAAAGTCAAAGTTTTTCTGTTATAAGTATAACACTAGGATTCAAAATACGTTTTGCTTGTTCAAATGTATAACAGAGTGAAATTCACGAGTATTCCATTTCCAATAAAATTGTTATAACAGTTAGGTTTTTCTTGCTTTCGTTCTTGTAGGCTTTAGTATAATTGTAGCCTAGTATAACGCTCTTTTTGTATAAAAGTATTCACAATATTTTGTGTCCTTGGGTTTATAGTAAAATTGTTATACACTATAATTTGTATTACTGTGAAAAATATAACCCATCTGAATCGAAATGAACCCTCTTTCATACAAACTGAGTGTTCTACAGCTTCTAGCGTTCATTTCTGCTATAAAACAGCCCTGACTATTCGAATGAATAGAAACTTCCCCTACACTACCACCAACGTAAATTGAAATGGTTTTATTGCTCACTCAGCTGCGAAGCTAATGAATGAGTTAAAAGTGTATATTCCCCTATTTGAATACCCCAGAGTGACTTGCTTTGCCAGAGCTTCTGTAGAATAGAAAAAAACCTAGTGCCACGCATATAAATTGCACGTTATTACCCGGTGCAACTGGAACTGCAAAGTCGGACAGACATTGCATCCCTTGACGGTCACATTTTTTGTTTTTGCGAGGTTTTTTGCATTTCGCACTAACAGAAAAATAAGCTACCCATGCAAAATGAGTAAAAAGCAAAGCTTTTACTTTAATTAAATGCGTGCGTGCTGGGAGAGTCCCAATTTAGATTTCCTCTGACTTTGTTCCATATCCCCCAGATGTTGGCTCCTTGATTAACGGCAGCCGCCTTTAGCTTCTTTTCCCGATGCTCCTCCGACTCCCCCGATGATTTTGCATAGCACACTTTTATGCTGATTGAGTGCGGCTTATCTGCACTGCCATGTGCCATATGCTATATGCTATATGCTATATGCTATATGTACGTCTTCAGCATGTGTGGGTGTGCGGTAAGCCCCGCTGAGTTATGACATAACTCAACCAATGGTCGTTTATGTCAATTGTAAGCAAATCAGCGCTCGGGTATTATCCATAAAAAAATGGAGACCGTATATAAGAAAGTAACCGCAGCGAAAACCGAGACAAATGTCATTATTAAAATGGGCATAAAAATAACGAATGACATCGCGAGGAATGTAGTGCGAGGGTGGATATAGGAATAATAAACAAAAGATTTATCGTTTTACGAAAATATTTACTCTGAGTTTACAAATAAAAACACCTCCTTGATTTTCATTCTTTACCCAAACAATTGAAGACTGT